TATATATATATATATATATATATATATATATACAGAGAGAGATAGATGTTGGTTGGTTGCATTTATCGAACATTACAACACAATTGTTTTAAAGTCGATTTTTATTTCACTACAACTAGACGATTGTTGCTATTGTTTTAGACGAGTACTCAAGTGCCTGTCCACGACATTCTATTCTGACATCAGGTCAGCATGTTCACGCCCGAGAGCTAATCCAGAACCATTTTTTAATTTCAATTTTAATGATCGAGAAGATTGAATGAAACTGTCATGTGATTGAATCGATTGCTTCAACTAAATTGAGAACCGGTCTTTACGTTACCAGACCTTAAATATCAGATTCTGAAGTATAGATTGTAATTTATTTTAAATTTTAAAACTGGCATTGGTATTCTTCATAATGATTCATATCAATGTTATGGTACCCTTCTATGGAGTTAGGTTATAGGTAGTAAACTATTAGCTATTGTTAATGTCAGCCAACACTTCTCCTTACCTTTATCCAAACAAAATCATAGATTAAAGCAACTACTGGCCATAACACAAGACTTTGTATTTTGATACGACATAACATGTGTGTATAAGTATATGCATATATATTATAGGCTTATATATATATATATATATATATATATATATATATATATATATATATATATATATATATATATATATAAAAATATAAATATATATATATATATATATATATATATATATATATATATATATATATATATATATATATATATATATATATATATATATATATATATGTAAAGCCATTAAATGATTGGCCAATACCAAAAACCACTGCCTCTTTACGACCAATCTATACGCAATAAAGATCTCAATAAAATGTGTAATGTAAACAAAAGAAACGTAAAAATGTCGTGTAGCGTCGCTGTGTTTATTGACGTCAGAACGAGACCTATTTGTATTGGTTGTGATTACAATGCAGCATCTGTTACCGCACCACATTTAGGTGTTTAACTTTTATCTTGAAGGCGGCAGTGAGAGGGGTTTTAGAGAATCAAAATAGACTCTATGTGTAAAAGGAAAATATCTCTTTTTTTTAAATTATCTCCAACAAAAAAATACTACATGTTGTTCTGTTGTCATAGTATCGTTGATTTTATTTCTTAGCGTTCTTATAAATGTGTGCCTTGGTAATTATATCCCATGATTTATTTGCATTGTGCAAATTTTTACCCTGGTTGAACTTAAAACGATAATACGTTTTTCAGCGCCTCCTTTATTTAAAATACCGTGTACACAAAACTATCACTGACGTTATCTAGCTGGTCAGGTTCGTTGTGTCACACCGGTGTTGGGTCTGGTTGGGTCTGGTTTAGCTCACACAACACTCTTCATGTTCAGCAGACGTCATTCACAACCTTCATTCAACTAGTCAGACGTCATTCTGATAGTTCTCTCTTCAGCGAGTTAGTTTATTGGTTAAACGTCATTAACAACCTTCTAGATGTGGTTTGAAATAAACAAAGCTAGCATGTAAAAAAAAACAGATTTTTTTAAATTTTAATTTATGTAAAATAAGGTATAACTTATTATTATACTCAAACAGATTATATATATATATATATATATATATATATATATATATATATATATATATATATATATATATATGTGTGTATATATATTTATATATGTATATATATATGTATATATATATATATATATATATATATATATATATATATATATATATATATATATATATATATATATATATATATATATATAAGCCTATATATGGACAATATGATCATGTTGTGGAATGCTCCAACAGCTACGAATAGTTGTACTAGAGAAAGCACCAGAAACACTCACCACTGAGCAGGGGCGTAGCGAGGGGGGGGGCGGGGGGTGCGGACCGCACCGGGTGACACCATTTAGGGGGGTGACACCAAGGCAAAAAATAGCAAAATATATAGAGAAAAACTCGAGGGGGGGGGTGCAAATCGAAAACTCGAGGGGGGGGGGGTGCAAATCGAAAGTTTGAGGGGGGGGGGGGGGGGTGCAAATCGAAAACTCAAGGGGGGGGTGCAAATCGAAAGTTTGAGGGGGGGGGTGCAAATCGAAAATTTGAAAGTTTGTCCCTGGGAAGGGTCTCTATGCCTCTGGGGGGTGACACCATTAAGTGCCGCACCGGGTGACACCCGACCTCGCTACGCCACTGCCACTGAGTCAAGTATGAGGTGAGAGAGTGCAGTCAGGATATTCGAGTTGTTTATCATTCGTGGCACAACATTTCTTGAACCGACTCAGACGCTTTAAAAAAAATTTAAACCTAAAAAGTTCAAACTTTCAAATGGGAAGCTAAAAAAAAATCTGGCACATGCTTGAGAGTTGAATGCCAGTGTAGCCTAAGGTTTATCATTTTTGTATAATGATTGGGTTGTATTTAAAATATTTCTATAGATACACAAACAGAATTGTTTAACTCTCTGCACGAATCTGAAACAAAACTTATTTATAGCGCACATTTTAAAATTTGATCTGGCATTTCGATTTTTTAATGTTCTTGTTTATCATTATACAGTACAAAGTATTCCTTGATTAGTTTCGTTTGTCTCAAAACAAACAATCATCTCGCCAACAAGAGAACAGCTTTACTTTAGGCTTTCATAGGCGGTGACATTTTTCTTTAATTGCTTCCATGCTGGTTTTCTTAAAATCAGTTTGTTTTTTGTTATTTTTTTTAGTCGTAAAACCTGAGAAAGTTTTCAGCTTAGTGATTGGGGCAGATAAGTAAAACAGGTGGATCTTCAAAGACAATTTTTTTATCTCCCATTTTTGCCTGTTTTTATCAAGATTTAAATTTACTTTTCTTAGTTGTAAATGTTGTTTTTTAGGTACATTTTACATCTTGCTTGAAACACTATGGGAGATACTTTTATTTATTTTGGGTTTTTTGTTTCGTTGTTTTTTAAGTTCCCTGCAGAGCTGTAGTTACCTGAGGAAATAGCTAACAAGAATTTGTATTTATTTTTTTTAAATTAAAATAATTCTTTACTCGCAACTTAAATTAAGCCAGTTATGTTAAAATTCTCTATTTGTTTGAAATTGTCACGCTCAGATTGACGTTTTAAGTTGTTTATTTTACAGTTAGCTGAATAACAACTAACTTTAATTTTTTACCACTTTTTGAAAAATCTTTCAACAAATACAAAATCTGATGAGACTTATGGTGACTTAAAATTATTCCATCTTGGAAATAGTCATCATACATTACTTCATAGTAGTTCAGTGTATTTTAATAATATGTGTATGTAACAGTGACTGTAGTCTATTTTGTATGTTGTGTACCCTTTAATAAAGAAATGAAAGATCATACAGTTTGTTTGAATACATCTTTAATAACATTATAGTGTTTCATACATTTTTCTTGGACGGCTTTCAAAATGTAAATAACCAGTATTTCTAAGTAGTAGTTATGAAGATGAGTTTTAAAATATTGAGTATATAATACTACTTAATAATAATAATGCAAAAGTTATTGATTAGCCTTAATAACAATAAATTAAATGAAAGTTAGAAGCTAATTAAACAAGTTCTCTCAGATCAAAGAACAGATTAAAATAACTAAAGGTTCCATATCTTTAAAAAAAAATCAGTTATCTATACATTTGTATACATGGTAGTGTTAAAATAAATGTGTTTTAGATCCAAAAGACATACTATAAAAATTCATTTAAAATATGCTTGTAAAAATATCATTTATCACAGTTAATAAGTGTGTTGTTACAACATATTTAGCTAAATTATAACAATTCAACATATACACTATTTCCCTAATGAATTTGATATGATTATGTCCCTTGGCAAGAAAACCACAGTAAAACAACAAAAATCAATAATTCACTCTAGAATTGTTTAGCAGACAGGTAAATGAGGTAAAACATTTTAACAGACACAGTGAATACTTTTCTTAGATCTATTGCCCATTATATTCTTTGATCAGAAAATTTAACTGTACAAAAAAATTATAGTATATACAAATGGCATTCTAAACACTAATTTAAAATATTTATGTTTACAACAGATAATTATTTACAAATTTAATATTATTTTTTTTTATTATTGATAGGACATGTAACTATCAAATTCATAATAACACATCAAGTATATAATATTGTTTCTTTACAGTTCAGAATTATATCAATCTTCTAAAAGAATCATAAAAGGCCACCATATTGTTCATTAATTAACGAGTTACTATTTATCGTAGCAAAAGGTGTTGGGGATGTAATCATGAAATAGGCTAATAGGTGGTGCCTGACATTAACATGACACTATTGGATATCCCCACTCTGCAAACTGTCAATCAAACTATTTTATTGATCACAGGTAATTTCTACCTAACTGAACATATTCCCTTCTCCACCAAAAAAAAAATGTGCCTCAAGGGCACTAATTTTTGTTGACAGTGTGATTATAAATCATTTCTTTATCCTGCAGGTAAGTGGTAATAACCTTGTCGTATGGGACATAACTTGTCTAATGACTGCCATAACCTGCAAACCTAATGATAGTCCCTGTAATTTGACATGACAGGTCATTCACATTAATTCTGATGTACTATTTCTAAGTGTCTATTAAGATACTGCCATCCAATAGTTAAGGAAATTTATATTGACATAATTAACACCTTCCTGCGCATCTTAAATTTTTTTATGTTGTCTGAATAAAGGGAGATTACAAGATGGAGAATCATTAAGGGGCAACAATTAGAACAAATGTTTATAGAAAGAAGTGTTAAGTAAATTAATAAAAACTTAAATATAAAAATTTAGACTAAAAAGAAATAATTTCTAATAAATTTGACAGGATCCAAAAAAAACCTTAGCATCTTATTTTTGTGGTTAGACTAGCACATGTCTTGGTAAGTTAAACAAAAAAAATCCTTAGCATCTTATTTTTGTGGTTAGACTAGCACATGTCTTGTAGCACATGTCTTGGTAAGTTAAACAAAAAAAAATCCTTAGCATCTTATTTTTGTTTAGGCTAGCACATGTCTTGGTAAGTTAAACAGACTTGATGAGGTCTTCTACTGCGTCCCAGTCTATAACACTGAGAACACTGCCACTACCCACAGACACAGCATCAGCTATACGCTCAATTTCCTGGATGTCAACAGAGGACCGGTAGTCCCCAGCACCAAACTCATCTGTTACCCTGAGAATGTTACAAGCTCAATTAACCCAAGGTTACAAAATTAACTGACTCTAGGAAATTACAAATCAACCTAAGTTTTACTAAATTGACTGACAAGTTAACCCAAGGCTACTTAATTGCCCCAAGGAAATTACAAATGAACTCAACCCATGAAACGTACACTAGACTGCTAAACCGATAGTCTCAAGTTTAAATCCAGGTACAATTCAGTATAGACCGTCCCTGAGTCTACCCAGTCCTGTTGGGTACCTAACTGACCACACAATCCTTTCTATGCCAAGGTCACAGAAACAAGTAAACTGTGCTTCACTTGCCCCAGTCAATAGGAGCATCGGGGTCAAAAAATGGAACTTGCGAGGAGATTTTTAGTTTAATTCAACTTATTTACTATTACATCTTTCAATTTCCCAAAATCAAATAACATACAAATATTTGTGAATATTACCTGAAAGGTTCTCTCCGTTGCATGATTGCATCAAAATAATCAGACTGGCCCTCTGATGGAGCCATGTGGGTACGTGGGTCACCACCTGACATGCTCATGTCCAATTCATCCACCTGATCAATGTGAAATAGTTCATTTAATGATTTGGCTATGGTTCAACATTACAGTGGTGTTTGTAATACAGACATTGGGTGAAAGACATTTAGTAACACACCATTAAGAAAATTATGAAGTTAAAGATTCTATGTACACAAAAATTGTTGCTGTACAGTAGAATAAAGGTGACAGAGGAAAACATTTCATGTCTAAAGCATAAGCAAACATTGCATATTTACTGTGTCTCTTACCTTACACTTAGAAGAATGCTAGTTTTGGCAAAAATAAATGGGAAGTTATGACCAACTCTAAATAATGAGACAAGAGAAGGGAGAAAGCCTAATTGATAAGAGAAAGGGAGACAAACAACTCTGAGATTTTAAGTATTGTGAAACTCACCTGGTAGGCCATGGAGCTTGTTGCAGTAGAGCCACCGTAGAGGATGCCCCGCACATTTTCATCTATCTCCCAGTCGCTAAGTACAGACGCCAGCTCTTCATAGTCCATGTCAGAGTATGGATCGTTGTATGGTCTAGGTCTGACTTGGCTCCGGGACACAGAATGGCGCACAGTTACTGGGGGGAAAATTACTGAACTATCAGAGACACTGAGCAGCTAGAGAAAGGGGACAGACATTTACCTGTTGACAGAGACAGGTGACAGACATTTACCTGTTGACAGAGACGTGACATTTACCTGTTGACAGTGACAAGTGACAGACATTTACCTGTTGACAGAAACAGGTGACAGACATTTACCTGTTGACAGAGACAGGTGACAGACATTTACCTGTTGACAGGTGACAGACATTTACCTCTTGACAGAGACAGGTGACAGACATTTACCTGTTGATTGCATAGCTGGTCGAGTGTGAACTGAGTCTGTGTGGTGTGGGTGTGGGTTCAACTCCTGGAGCTGCTCAGCATAAGTTTTAGGTTTATGTAGAGGCCCATGAGAGCGCATGAATGTTCTCAGTGGGAGTGATGTTTTCTGTTGGGCTGTTTAAAAATTTGTGAAAATAAATTCAACTACTGATAAATATTTTGTTTACTTTCAGAACAAGATCCATTCTATTATACTTTTTGCAGTAAGTTTTATCATGCTAATAGAACAAAGCAATGTTGTTGATGAAAAAGACAGCACATTGAAATGCTTGTAGTGCATGTAGAGTACAGCCAACTTACATGTTTGTTTATGGGTTGATGTAGCTTTAGCATGCGGCTGATCAAGCCTCTGAGATGGAACATATTGAGAAGTTGATGGCATTGTGGCACTAGATGTTTTCACTAGAGGATAAATAAACCAACCTTCAACAACTATTTTATTTTTTAAAAAGGACATGACTACATGTAAAGAAGAAAGAAAGAAATTCATGTAATTCTCCATGATTTAATAAATCTTTTTGAATAGAGAAAAGTTGTAATTTAAACTGTGGTAATGAACAAGCTAGTAACTTCCATACAGCTATAAAGACTAACCTGAGCCTTGAGCCCCCCTTACTGCCTGGTTAGTGAGTCTTTTAGTGGGTTTCATCTCCTGCAGTCTCTCAGAATAAGTCTTTACCCTGCGTGTCACAATCTGCCTTGTGCTGGAGCTGGGCATTTGTTTGGATCCTAGGAGACCAACAACATTTTAAACACCAAAATATTTCAATTTGTAAGCTTGAACTAATCAAACAAATTTAATCTGAACATCTTAAGCTGCAATTGTAGGAATGGCGTGGCTTAGCAGTATAGTGTCTCAAGTTCAGAACCTGAGCTCAAGTCTGTAGGACATCCCTGAGTCCACCCATCTCTCCTGGGTACCTGACTCAAATCACAGAAATGAAATTTAAGCGGCAGGGCATTGTGCTGGCCACACTATCCCCCCATATGCCGATGTCAATGAAACAGATGAACTCTACTTCATCTGCCCTATGTGTCTTGGGCACAAATGGGGACAGATAATGATTATGCTGCAATTGTGACATTTTTTTTTTTAGATTTAATATCAGTGTCTTTTGAACTTAACAGAGAGGTTGACTTTATAAGGCACCAGAAATACAATTTTTTTTTAACATTGAAGAGATAAGCTTATCAAGAAAGAAATCAGGCCCACTACATTCACTCACCATATTCCTTGGTCTTAGCCTTGGGTGTGTTGATGTTCTGAGTGATGGATTTGTTCAGTGTGTCTTGTTGGGCAGCTTTCCTGACTTCCTGCAGGTGGCGCTGTCTGTTGATCTCCTTCCACTTCCTGGTCGCCTCTGGTCTCTGCAGACGCACCATTTCTGCGTAGGACTTGCCTCTAGGGGTCAGCACTCTCTTTGCCCCTGGTGATTGTGGTGCTGCTCTTTGTGGTTGCTGAGGTTTAGCTCTGTAGGAAAAGACCACAGAAGTTCAGTGAGTCAACAGACCATAAGCTTGTGAAAATAATAGTGCCTTCTGTCAGAACCCTAAGAATAATCAGTCTCATATTTAATGAGCAATTTTGGTAATATCCTATGATGTCCATTTATGTAGACTACTTGATTTGAATGTTATTTTATAACTGGAAGGGTGAGTTCACTGCTTTTAAGTAGCAAAGTTGAATACAATATTTTGTGTAAGAGAAATGTTATCTGAAATAAAATTGTAGTTGCTAGAATCTATTAATTCTTACCTTCAAAGTTAATTAAAAGTAAAATGGTACTGAAGTTTCAAGTTTAGGTTGTAATAAAACTAAGAATTGTACTTACTCTAGGATGGGCTGGTTATAAAACAAGGAATTGTACTAATTCCAGATAAGTCATGGGCTGGTTATAAAACAAAGAATTGTACTCAGTCTAGGATGGGCTGGTTATAAAACAAAGAATTGTACTCACTCTAGGATGGGCTGGTTATAAAACAAGGAATTGTACTCACTCCAGGAAAGACATGGGTGGGGAGTTCTCATCCCTGTTGTCTGCCTCCAGCACACGCTTGGCGTACTGGATCAGGTCAGCACTTGAGTCCACTGACCGGTCAGCTTCACTGATGGACGACAGGACCCGGTGGTCAAAGTACAGGTCAGTGCTGCTCAGCTGGGTCTCTTTACCTGTGGCTTTCAGGATGCCCTTCACTGGGGTTGAGTCCCTTGACTGTTTGGATCTTATCCCTGGAGGGGCTGTAAAAACAATGTTTTTAACATTCAATTTTTACTTTAGGGTTAATAATAGAGCTATTGAAAAATGTTACAACTTTTAATAACATAATACAATCTTAATAATAACTTAAGATGTCTAGTGATTGATTAGAAGTCAACAAATCATGCATGTTTAATCACTTGATTTTTTATGATGTACCAAAAGCATTAAAGATTTCTTATAAGTATAAGCTATTGGCTATTGAATGTAAATCAATATTTTAAGAATAGAACCACAGTTCAAGTTTCTGGTTGTGACGGCTTACAGTGACTGGAGGAGGCTGGCTTGTAGGACGAGGTAGCCACACTCTCTGTCCTTCTGGTAGGTGACCTTGACTTCCTGACCCCCATAGGACCTTGTCGTGTGGGAGACGTGGAGGCCGTTGACCCAAACCTCTTTGGTGACTTTGAGGGTAGCCTCCTCTTCCTGGGCTCTGGGTCCCACGGGATCTGCGGCCGGTCCACCATGATGTCCCCAATGAGGTGCTCTGCCTCCAGGATCCTCTGGTTCATGAACTCTGACATCATGTTGATGCGCTTCTCCGTCAGTTCTTCATCCAGCGTCTTCAGGTTCACTCTTGTTATCTGTGCATCATTCCGTTTTATTTTTGTTAAACACAAATAACTTAAATGGCGTCACAATTTTTCAAACATGTTCTAAATTAATGCAAAAAGACATGTCTTAAAGAGCATAAAAGTGCACTGTTGAACCTAGGCAAAGTTGAGAGAAATCCTAGCAGGTTGGACTAAAATTAGCAACCACACACAACCCTAAATGGTAACGTTTAAACCTACACCCATTACATTCTCTACACTCCTCACACTGCCTACATCCCTTACACCCCCCCCCCCCCCCCACACCCCTACTCACAGTGGACTGAGACTTAAAAGGCTTGGGCTCCCTCTCCACCAGCTCCCTCCTCCTCCTCTTGTACTCCTCGTTCCTCTGGTGGAACTTCTCTGTCATCCAATGTTTCAGCATCTCCCTATCTGCCGGAGCCCTCGGAGATCTGCCCTCCCTCTTCATGCTCTTCAGCCTGTCCCTGGGGGTCTGACCCTGCCTGCATCAGTCACGTCAAACAAGGTTACAACAGATAGTTCATTTCACTAGTAGGCCTGCTACTTATATTAAAAAACTATACAAGAAGTTAATAGAGGAAACTACACAATGTTACTGTTAGAAATATTTAACCAGAAATTTGCACACTAAAAACTTCTTACAGTCAAAATAGAAAAAAAATAACATTTCAGTAACTTAGGTTAGCATGTTTCCGATATAATTTGGAATCTTCACTATAATTTTTTTGTTATTTCTCAATCTTCACATATAATACTGAACAACCTTTAATGACATGATGTTCATACTGAAATACTGAATAGCCAGTGATGACAAACAGCCCACTACAAAAATGACCCCCCACCTGTCCATCTGAATCTTCTCCCTCACATCTTTCTCCAGCTGTTGAGCCAACTCCTGCGAGTAGCCTGCTGCCTGCAGGTCTACACCCTCCTGTGCCAGGACCTCAGTGATCAGCTCTGTAAGGTCACTCTCAGAGGCTGACAGGACCTCACGACTGAGGAGAAAACAAAGATCTCAGTACAACAGTACAGTGGACTCAATGCTTCCTGTCTCCTTCTTGAGTCAAAATATTTCCATTGAATGTAACAGCACCTCAGTGCAGCCATGCCACAACAAACTAACCTTCCGGTACTTAGACCACTCCTAGACTTAACAGATCTGGCGCTGGTTTGAGGTGATCTGGCGCTAACTTTAGGTGACCTGGCTGACCCAGGCGGAAGAGATTTTTTCTGGAAACAAAATCAAACGGTACAAAAGTTAAGCATCAAGTACATTTAATCAAGTGATCAGTAAATTATAACAGCTTGTTTGGCTGACTCCATTTAAGTGTATAATTTTTCCAATTTGATGTAGATAATTTAGCTGATATAGACCAAACAGTACCAGTGCTAACCAAATAAATGTATGATACTCATGTAAAGAATGTATCTGGTGCTGATAGAAAGGTCACTGTGATAGCCACCAGTGGACTTTACCTCATCGTCATCTTCTTCAAGGGAGTATCTCAGCTCTTGGTATTTTTTACCCTTTGACCTGGTAGGACTAGGAGACCTTGACCTTTGAATTGAAGCATTCACATCCTGGATGGTGGTCAAGAGCTGTCGGAGAATTAAAATTTGTAATAAATTATTATTAAGTGTTGATAGCAAATCAAATAGTTGGAAGTATTGGACTTTGGACAAAGAGGGACAACTGGATCATTTAGTTTAACATATAGTTAGCAATTGTTAACAAGCCTCTTATTTTATTATTGACTTGTTTTATATTAAAGACACAAGTAGAAGAAAAATCCAAAATGGGTTTTAATATTTAAAGGGATAGATGTCATCTTATCTAACAAGATTCTCTTACCCACCATGTGTAACAAGCCCCTTATCCACCAACAACTTACCTACAACAGCAATCTACTTACAACAACAACCTATCATGTGAAACAACATCAACCTACCTACAACACCAACCTACCATGTGAAACCAACAACCTACCTACAACACCAACCTACCATGTGAAACAACAATCTACCATGTGAGACAACAACAACCTACCATGTGAGACAACAACAACCTACCTACAACACCAACCTACCATGTGAAACCAACAACCTACCTACAACACCAACCTACCATGTGAAACAACAATCTACCATGTGAGACAACAACAACCTACCATGTGAGACAACAACAACCTACCTACAACAACAACCTACCTACAACAACCTACCTACAACAACCTACCTACAACAACCTACCTACAACAACCTACCTACAACAACCTACCTACAACAACCTACCTACAACAACCTACTTACAACACCAACCTACCTACAACACCAACCTACAACACCAACCTACCTACAACAACCTACCTACAACACCAACCTACCTACAACAACAACCTACCTACAACACCAACCTACAACAACAACCTACCTACAACACCAACCTACCATGTGAGACAACAACAACCTACCTACAAGACCAACCTACCTACAACAACCTACCTACAACATCAACCTACCATGTGAAACAACACCAACCTACCATATGTGAGGACTTGAAGTCACAAGACCAACCTACCTACAACAACCTACCTACAACACCAACCTACCATGTGAGACAACACCAACCTACCATGTGAGACAACACCAACCTACCATATGTGAGGACTTGAAGTCACAAGACCAACCTACCTACAACAACCTACCTACAACACCAACCTACCATGTGAGACAACATCAACCTACCATGTGAGACAACACCAACCTACCATGTGAGACAACACCAACCTACCATGTGAGACAACACCAACCTACCATGTGAGACAACACCAACCTACCATGTGAGACAACACCAACCTACCATGTGAGACAACACCAACCTACCATGTGTGAGGACTTGAAGTCACGCTCAATGTTCTGGGACATCTCATCAATGAGACAACATCAACCTACCATGTGAGACAACACCAACATACCATGTGGGACAACACCAACCTACCATGTGAGACAACACCAACCTACCATGTGAGACAACACCAACCTACCATGTGAGACAACACCAACCTACCATGTGAGACAACACCAACCTACCATGTGAGACAACACCAACCTACCATGTGAGACAACACCAACCTACCATGTGTGAGACAACATCAACCTACCATGTGAGACAACACCAACCTACCATGTGAGACAACACCAACCTACCATATGTGAGGACTTGAAGTCACGCTCAATGTTCTGGGACATCTCATCAATGAGCTTCATCTGGTCGCTCATGTCACGCAGCCTGCGCATCATGGCCGCCTTGGACTCGGACACACTGCTGTGGGGCAGCACAGCCATAGAGATGCTGGTATAAGTAAAAACAGGTTATACATGGTCAGATGGTACAGGCAAAAACAGGTTATACTTGGTCAGATGGTACAGGCAAAAACAGGTTATACATGGTCAGATGGTACAGGCAAAAACAGGTTATACATGGTCAGATGGTACAGGCAAAAACAGGTTATACATGGTCAGATGGTACAGGCAAAAACAGGTTATACATGGTCAGATGGTACAGGCAAAAACAGGTTATACATGGTCAGATGGTACAGGCAAAAACAGGTTATACATGGTCAGATGGTACAGCAAAAACAGGTTATACATGGTCAGATGGTACAGGCAAAAACAGGTTATACATGGTCAGATGGTACAGGCAAAAACAGGTTATACATGGTCAGATGGTACAGGCAAAAACAGGTTATACATGGTCAGATGGTACAGGCAAAAACAGGTTATACATGGTCAGATGGTACAGGCAAAAACAGGTTATACATGGTCAGATGGTACAGGCAAAAACAGGTTATACTTGATGGTGCAAGCAAAAACTGTTATACTAGGCCTTACAGATGCTGGTACAAGCAAAAACAAGGCACACACCAGACAAGCCCATACAGCCAACAGGTACCAGCTGATAACTACTTAACTAACTTACCTGCTGTCTTTGGAAGCTTTGAGCTGCTCAAACAACTTGACAGTGACAGAGTCAAATCCTCTGGGGGCTCCAGACTTGGCAACATTTGGTGCCAGTTTTTCTCTTAAAACTCCTTCTATGGCTTCTGAATGGATGATTGGAAGCATAATTCAGTAGAAAATAGATGACTCAATCTTTTAACATTAAATAAAATAGTCTTTACAAATGTGTTAGCGAGAGGCATGCTCATGCATGAATTCTTTAGTTTACTAGACATGCTGCAATAATTATCCTAATTACCAATCTGATTGACCGTGTTCTGAGACTGTAGGACAGCTGAGTCCAAATCATCCTCCCCCAGCCCTGCCCTCTGTGACTGCTCAGGTATGTCTCGCAGGATGGATGACGCTCGGATGTCAACCACATTCAGGTAGGCTCTCCCTTGGCCAGGCTGTGTACAAACAAAAAAAATGAAGATAAAAATGTTGATCTCGGCCTAGCCAGGAGAATTTTTATCTCTGTGCAGTCTGGCAACATAGACCCCCGTTTTCAAGCAGTAACATGACCTAAGATGTCAAGTAAATCTCACTTCTCTCATACATGCGCACAAACAGGTTATAATTATGCTGTCAATAAGCAAGCCTTTTATACTATACGATGTATAATCATGCGTTTCTAGCACCCATTTTGCCAGTCACTACTCTTTGTATATTTTAACCAGGTCTTTAATAAAGCACTTTTGGGTAGCAAGCAAGTACTTAAGCCAAGTAACTAAAAGATTAGAAGATTTTCAAGATAACTCAACTTTCTGATGGCTGCTTATGCAATAAAAAAGTCACAAAAGAAAACAAAATGCTGAAAGAGAGAGAAAGTGAGTACTCACATGCTCATTGGCTGGTGGAGCACCAGAGGTGGCACTGCCTGCCTGCTCACCAAAGCGCAGGCCCATGAAGATGTCAGGGGGAAGGATGTTGTTGTGTAGCTTCATGTTGTAATCATTGAGAACCTCTTGAACTGGGTCAACTCCTGGGGGGGGGGGGGGAGGGTTGCATACAGATAATTACCCAAACTCAACAAAAGTGTTACAAAAACAACAAAACAAAAAAACTTACATAAAAATCTCATAGAAAAGCCATTTCATTCTAAACTGGCTATTTGTTCTGAACCTGATTCTACAGTTGCTGATCCCCATCCAATTTAGGTGCTGTACAATTAGCATTAAACAATCATTGAGGTTAAAACTTAATTAAAATATGCCTGTCTAATGTCCACTGCACAAAGGCTGTGTTCAAACAATTACTGTTGGCTGTACATTGTGCGAGCGTACCTGTGTCCTTGGTGATGGATGTAGCAGCCTCAGCTGTTCTAATGACCTCCATGGCAGGGTCAGTTGACATGGCCATATCCACCTGCTCTTGTGTCATAGTGCTGAAGTCCACCTATTACAAGGGGAAATAACTCCTCAATCAACAAGGGGAAGCAACTTTTTGTACTTTCCAATCTAACAATAAATGACTAACAAATTTTTTGTATCATCTTACATCATCACAAAAGTAAGAGTTACACAAATGTTAATACCAAATGTGAAAAACTGGCAAAAATTCAGTTTCAAAATTTTTATTAACATCACTTTATTAACCATCACCTCCTTCCCCCTTGTCACACATTGTGACAAATGTTCAAACCCCTCAACCCCTTCCCTCTGTATGAGTGTGACATCATACACATAGTATGCTACAAGGGAAGAAATTATTTTTACAACCTTCAAATCTGAACAGCATTAAATTATTTAAAACATGTCCAACTGTTTTAATTTCACAGATTAGACTGCTGTGAGTTTTATTTGAATTATCTTTTAATAAAAAATGTAATTGTTTTAATATCTATATTTTCTATTCAAATGTCGGTATTTCAAACAAATTTTGAGTCTCCCACTATAAGTAACAGCTAAATTAAATCTAAGCAACATTAATTAAGGTTATATCTTCATTAAATGAACGCTAATTAATTTCATCAAACTTGTTTACCTTGGTCCTAATTCTTTTCTCCACCTGTTTCTGCATGGCTAGCGCCATCTTTAACTGGAAGGCAGCGTTAGTTTGGTTGACATCAGGACCTACCAAGTGCTCACCTAACTGCAGGTAACTTTCAAAAACACCTGAGAAAAAATACAATGATGTCACGCTTTATAAAATATCTCACCTCTTTAAAACTAAATTTTTTAAAGTTTTTACATATATTTAATGTTACTATGTTTCTTTCTTCTTATTATTACTGCAGTAAATTGAGTATTTTCTATGTTAAGGTCAAGCGTTATGGTTTGGGTTAGGTTTGGTTTACTAATCAAACTACACTTCTCATATCTCCACACAATGCAGTAAAAAAAACAGCCTCACTGTACAAACCAACCAGACAAGCACTGTGGCAAATCATTCATCACAACCGGAGTAACAGACAACTATCATTTGGTGATACATTTGAAGTACATTGGTATAAACTAATGAACAAATGTTGAGCAGTTTACCTGGAGGGAATGCAAACCCATGGGAGATCTGAGTGTCACTGGTAGTGGCATCAGCCACCTGAGGGGCAGCCTGGGAGGCCTGGGCTGAGGTGGGCTTCTCCAGGTGTTCTGACACCACCTGCTCACTCTCTGACCTTGATGGACTGCGACCTGATGACCTAGATTTCTCTGACCTGGCCGACTCCTATAATAATAAATAAAAGCATGTCACGGAATGGAAGCAGCAAATCAGTAGTTGGTGCAGCCAACAGGAATAGATCATATACAGCCAACAGGAATAGATCATACGCAGCCAACAGGAATAGATCATACGCAGCCAACAGGAATAGATCATACGCAGCCAACAGGAATAGATCACACGCAGCCAACAGATCACAGCCAACAGGAATAGATCATACGCAGCCAACAGGAATAGATCACATACAGCCAACAGCAATAGATCATATACAGCCAACAGGAATAGATCATATACAGCCAACAGGAATAGATCATATACAGCCAACAGGAATAGATCACATACAGCCAACAGGAATAGATCATACGCAGCCAACAGGAATAGATCACATACAGCCAACAGCAATAGATCATATACAGCCAACAGGAATAGATCATATACAGCCAACAGGAATAGATCACATACAGCCAACAGGAATAGATCATACGCAGCCAACAGGAATAGATCACATACAGCCAACAGCAATAGATCATATACAGCCAACAGGAATAGATCATATACAGCCAACAGGAATAGATCACATACAGCCAACAGGAATAGATCATATACAGCCAACAGCAATAGATCACACGCATCCAACAGGAATAGATCATATACAGCCAACAGCAATAGATCATACGCAGCCAACAGGAATAGATCATAAACAGCCAACAGCAATAGATCATATACAGCCAACAGGAATAGATCATATACAGCCAACAGGAATAGATCACATACAGCCAACAGGAATAGATCATATACAGCCAACAGCAATAGATCACACGCATCCAACAGGAATAGATCATATACAGCCAACAGCAATAGATCATACGCAGCCAACAGGAATAGATCACATACAGCCAACAGCAATAGATCACACGCAGCCAACAGCAATAGATCACATACAGCCAACAGCAATAGATCACATACGGCCAACAGGAATAGATCACATACAGCCAACAGGAATAGATCATATACAGCCAACAGATCACATACAGCCAACAGGAATAGATCACATACAGCCAACAGGAATAGATCACATACAGCCAACAGCAATAGATCATATACAGCCAACAGGAATAGATCACATACGGCCAACAGGAATAGATCATATACAGCCAACAGCAATAGATCATATACAGCCAACATATCACAGCCAACAGGAATAGATCATATACAGCCAACAGCAATAGATCACATACAGCCAACAGCAATAGATCATACGCAGCCAACAGGAATAGATCACACGCAGCCAACAGATCACAGCCAACAGGAATAGATCACACGCAGCCAACAGATCACAGCCAACAGGAATAGATCACACGCAGCCAACAGCAATAGATCACATACGGCCAACAGGAATAGATCACATACGGCCAACAGGAATAGATCACATACGGCCAACAGGAATAGATCATATACAGCCAACAGATCACAGCCAACAGGAATAGATCACATACGGCCAACAGGAATAGATCATATACAGCCAACAGATCACAGCCAACAGGAATAGATCATATACAGCCAACAGATCACAGCCAACAGGAATAGATCACACACAGCTTCAGCAATAGATCGCAACACAGCCAACAGCAATAGATCACAACACAGCCAACAGCAATAGATCATATACAGCCAACAGCAATAGATCGCAACACAGCCAACAGCAATAGATCACAACACAGCCAACAGCAATAGATCATATACAGCCAACAGCAATAGATCACATACGGCCAACAGAAATAGATCATATACAGCCAGCAGGAATAGACCACATACAGCCAACAGTTCACATACAGCCAACAGAAATAAATCAGACTGTTCAATCATACTGACACTGACAGGACTATTTTTATGCAGCCTGGCCCATTAACATGCAATTATCTGCCCCTTGCACATTAAATGAACCTTCTTATCATTTGTTTTTGTTATTAACCTCCCCTTACTGTATATAGATACAAATATTTATTTATTTGACCTCGGCTCTTCAGGATAAGATTCCAACTAGCTCCTACTTTTAGATCCCAGATTCTATGCATCTTATGATCTTTTTTGAGTAACATTTTTTTTCAGGCAACTTTTTTACATGTACAATTTTACAAGCACCATTTCCCCATGCACCATTTTACATGCACCATTTTCCCATGCACCATTTCCCCATGCAACTTAAGTAATGAGTGGTTGACACCTGTGTGTCAACCTGTCATTCAACCTTCACCACCACATTTGGTCACAGCAAGGTAATTTTAATTTACAGATTTTAATAGATCACTTGTTATTAGAAACTACTAGTTGGGTGATTATTTGCTAAAGTTAACAGGATACTAGGCAGGTAAAACTATCAGATGTTTTGGGACAACTAGGCAGGTAAAATTAACAGGTGTTTTAGGACTACTAGGCAGGTAAAACTTACAGGTGTTTTAGGACCACTAGGAAGGTAAAACTAATAAAGGTGATTTATGACCACTAGGCAGGTAAAACTAATACAGGTATTTTAGGACCACTAGACAGGTAAAACTAATAAAGGTGTTTTAGGACCATTAGGCAGGAAAAACTTACAGGTGTTTTAGGACCACTAGGCAGGTAAAACTAATAGATGTATTAGGACCACTAGGCAGGTAAAATTACAGGTATTTTAGGACCACTAGACAGGTAAAACTAATAAAGGTGTTTTAGGACCACTAGGCAGGTAAAGCTAAAAGATGTATTAGGACCACTAGGCAGGTAAAACTAATACAGGTATTTTAGGACCATTAGGCAGGTAAAACTTAAAGGTGTTTTAGGACCACTAGGCAGGTAAAACTAACAGGTGATTTAGGACCACTAGGCAGGTAAAATTAACAGGTGATTTAGGACCACTAGGCAGGTAAAACTAACACAGGTGTTTTAGACAACCAGGATGGTGAAAGAACCTACCGGCCCACTCCCATCCTCCAGGTGTAGCATATGCTGGCCCAAAATATTTTTCTCCAGGTTTTCCTTGTCATGTAGGATCTGCTGATGGAACTGTGACAGCAGACGTCTCCTGGTTTCTTCAACCCTGTCCTTGACCTCTATGACCTGGTGGCCAGGTGGCAACAGTTTTAACAGGGGAAACCCTGAGGCTGGCATCTGGTCAGGTGGGAGGGAGGGGGGGTTGTGCATGTAGGGGGGCGGGGGGATGTTGAGGAGCTGGGGGGCTGGGAAGCTTTGGGGAGGCGGTGGAGGGACGGCAAATAAATATGGCTGAGGAGTTGGGGGGATGTGAATGAGAGCAGGTGTTTGAGAAAATGGGGGGTGTCTGGACTGAGCAGGTGGGGGATAGGGGGAGGTGGACGTCTGCGGGGGAGGAACTTGGGGTAAATATTTGCGTAGGTTCTGGAAAGGATCGTGGGGTTCCATTGTTTTGTTGATCTTCAACAGCGGCATGTTTTGTTGCTGCCCAGGCACAAACTGGAAGAAATCTTGTTTCTCTTCTGGCCAGGCAGGGCGCAGTAACAATGGCAGCCTAAGGTTTCCTTTCTCGTTAGTCCTACGTGACAAGACAATCACAATTAACTAGCTGTTTTAAGCTGTATGCTGCTTAAGGTAACAACACAACAAATGTAAAAAAAAAATATACACAAAAGTACAGAACACACTATATGGCTATGTTGATGATAAATACTGTCAACATTCAGGCCCCACCCCTCACCAAGGAATATTTTGTCTGATTTTTTAAAAAGTTTATAAAAATATAATTGGTAGATGACTTACTGGGGATAGCTGGAGTAGACCCAGTTGGTAGTTGGACTCAAGTTATTGTAGCTGGACTGGTACTGGCTGTCTTTCTTTGATTGCTGGATGTGAAAGGTTCAAACACATTAACACTAACACTGTGAGTAGACACAAACAGATCAAAGTGGCCACCTAGAAAACAAATGCTAAAACCTGCCCAAATTAAGGCAAGTGCTAAAAAGCCCAACCTAAACAAAGTACTAACACCCCAGTACTAAAATCTGCCCACACCTATGACCCCAGTACTAAAACCTGCCTCACCCACCACCTATGACCCCAGTACTAAAACCTGCCTCACCCACCACCTATGACCCCAGTACTAAAACCTGCCTACACCTATGACCCCTGTACTAAAACCTGCCTACACCTATGACCCCTGTACTAAAACCTGCCCCACCTGATATGTGACCTGCTGCAAATTTTGCAGCTCAGCAAACACCTCCCTCATGTTGCTCCCCCTCTTGTCTCGTCTCATGGCCATCTTGGGTGGAGACTGTGGAACCATCTCATCCTGCAACACACAGGTAAGGAATTATACGTAGTCTACATACACAGGTAAGGAATTATTTGTAGTCGTGTTACACAGGTAAGGAACTATGTGTAGTTGTGTTACACAGGTAAGGAATTATGTGTAGTTGTGTTACACAGGTAAGGAATTATGTGTAGTTGTGTTACACAGGTAAGGAATTATGTGTAGTTGTGTTACACAGGTAAGGAATTATGTGTAGTTGTGTTACACAGGTAAGGAATTATGTGTAGTTGTGTTACACAGGTAAGGAATTATGTGTAGTTGTGTTACACAGGTAAGGAATTATGTGTAGTTGTGTTACACAGGTAAGGAATTATGTGTAGTTGTGTTACACAGGTAAGGGAATTATGTGTAGCCATATTACACAGGTAAGGAATTATGTGTAGCCATATTACACAGGTAAGGAATTATGTGTAGTCGTATTACACAGGTAAGGAATTATGTGTAGCCATATTACACAGATAAAGAATTATGTGTTGTCTACATACACATGTAAGGATGCAGTCTACATACACAGGTAAGGAATTATATGTAGTCTATATACACAGGTAAGGAATTATATGTAGTCTACATACACAGGTAAGGAATTATATGTAGTCTATATACACAGTTAAGGAATTATATGTAGTCTACATACACAGGTAAGGAATTATATGTAGTCTATATACACAGGTAAGGAATTATATGTAGTCTACATACACAGGTAAGGAATTATATGTAGTCTACATACACAGGTAAGGAATTATATGTAGTCTATATACACAGGTAAGGAATTATATGTAGTCTATATACACAGGTAAGGAATTATATGTAGTCTACATACACAGGTAAGGAATTATATGTAGTCTATATACACAGGTAAGGAATTATATGTAGTCTACATACACAGGTAAGGAATTATATGTAGTCTATATACACAGGTAAGGAATTATATGTAGTCTACATTCACCGGTAAGGAACTCTTTGCAGTCAAGTGAAAATCAAACAAGCTCGCTCATAAAATAACAATCTATTGTTATAAAACATTACAGCTATTGGTCCTTTATAACTGTATTAAACCATGTGCAGGAAAAAAGTTTTAGTTTTATAAGTTTTTAAAATTATTACATTTCATTTTAGTCTCTTAGGGACCCATTAATCAAAATTGCCATTTCAGCACTATCATATAAATACAGCTGACTTCAAGTCTACCTCTAATTATGGCATAAGATCCCATAATACTAAATCCTGCACATCTACTATCACCACAGACCTGCAGCGCTAAGTTTAGCCCTCACCCCACAATCTCACTGCTTCTAACCCCTACCATGTTTTCTTACAGGAACAATCTGGAAAAAGTTCAAGACAACATCATACACTACAAACCTGCAAAGATGGGATCTCTGCCACAGATTCTGTTTCCTCATCCTCCCTCTCTTTACTCCATGCCTGTTGATTCTTTACTGCTGAAGACTGCCTTAATTCATTTTCTTGTACTTGCTTCAGTTTGGCTGCATCAGCTTGCCTGAGCTTGGAATTCTGGGAGTTCCTGTGGCGGGTAGCAGAGTCCAGATTGATGGATGAGTTGGATGGTTTAGGCAGGTCAGCAGGGGATGTTCCATCTATAGCCCCCATCATGGCCAGAACACTTCGATGCTGGACCTGAGAAAAAAATGTTTTATCGTTTATAAAGAACAGTGCATATATTTACAGGAATCAGAGAATTTTTTATAACACTAAAATTTTCAGCACTTTAAAAAAAAACTAGAATCAAAGGCTATGATTGCAGCTTTTCATACTGTCTGGGCAACCCAGGAGCATACAGAAAAATGTAAGCATTATATGGCATTCATGAGAATGAAAAAAAAAACTAAAATAGTACATCTTTCAAGCCTCACCTCCCACCCTCCCCTCCATTACCCAACCCTCCCCTCTCCCAACCCTCTCCCCCATTACCCTCCCCTCCCTTATCCTACCCTCACCTCCATTACCGTACCCTCCCTTATCATACCCTCACCTCCATTACCCTACCCTCCCTTATACTACCCTCTCCCAACCCTCCCCTCCATTACCCTACCCTCCCAACCCTCCCCTCCCATATCCTACCCTCCCCTCCCTTATCCTACCCTCCCCTCCCATACCCTACCCTTCCCTCCATTACCCTCCCCTCACCTCCCCTCTCCCCCATTACCCTACCCTCCCTTATACTACCCTCTCCCTCATTACCCTCCCCTCCCTTATCCTACTCTCACCTCCATTATCCTCCCCTCTCCCAACCCTCTCCCAACCCTCCCCTCTCCCAACCCTCCCCTCCCTTACCCTACCCTTCCCTCCATTACCCTCCCCTCACCTCCCCTCTCCCCACCCTCACCTCCATTATCCTGCGCAGCTCATCCCTGATGATCCCCTGCAACTGGCTGGCAATGCCTTGACCAACATCCTGGTTCTGCTGTCTTCTCTCTGACACAGGTGAGTCTCTCAGTGGTGAGGTACCAACAGATTCATGTGTCTTCTTTAACATCACCTTTTCTTCATTATGTACCTTCAGTGAAGTTGATGGCGGATGCCCTTTTTTTCAATGATAAAAATATAATAAATATATATTCAGTATATTTTCAACCTAAACTAGTTTCACTAAATTTATTTGGTTAATTCTGTGTTGTCAAATGGTAAAGATATACAAAGATTTTTACCAGATTTCTCTACTGCTTTAACTGGTGTGCTGCTGTCTTTAGGTTTAGGAAACTGCTGAGAGGACTGGTCTTTTCTGTCAGGTGACTCATCTTTTGGGAAGATTGTCTGATTCAGTGCTGACCTGGAGAGAAAATATTGGAAAAATGTTAGGGAAGATTGCCAGAAGTGTTAGATATGTTGTTTTTTAATGAGTTGATTACAACTATAATTACCAATACTAAACAAAGTAGAACACTGATCAAAACAGATTTATCACCTATCAAAAGCAAATGAAATACAAAGCTATGGAACCTTGTAATATGGCCCAGTTATGTGTTGACTTACTTCCTGATCAGATTGAGTGTATTCCTTAAACTGCCTTCCAGCTCATCAGATCCCAGAGAGCTGACGTCTAGGGAGCTGCTCTCATCTTGCCTGAAAGGATGGTCACAAGAGATAGTTTCAACACACAGTAACAACATTCTGGACCAGAAAAATTTGGTCACAAGAGTCTCAACACACAGTAACATTTTGGACCAGAAAAATTTGGTCACAAGAGATATTTCAACACACAGTAACATTTTGGACCAGAAAAATTTGGTCACAAGAGATAGTGTCAACAAACAATCACAACATTCTGGATCAGAAAAATTTGGTCACAAGAGATATAATCAACACATACTGTACCATAAAAAGATGGTCAGAAGAGATATAGTAAACCTGTACCATGGAAGGATGATCACAAGAGAAATAATCATTACACAGCAACAAAGACATTCTGTACCATAAATAGATGGCCACAAAAGAAAAACACAGCAACAAAGACATTCTCTACCATAAAAGAATGGATACAAAAGAAAACAGAAAAACACAGTAACAAAGACATTCTGTACCATAAAATAATGGCCACAAAAGAAAAACACAGCAACAAAGACATTCTGTACTATAAAAGAATGGATACAAAAGAAAACAGAAAAACACAGTAACAAAGACATTCTGTACCATAAAAGAATGGATACAAAAGAAAACAGAAAAACACAGTAACAAAGACATTCTGTACCATAAAATAATGGCCACAAAAGAAAAACACAGCAACAAAGACATTCTGTACCATAAAAGAATGGCCACAAAAGAAAAAAGAAAAACACAGTAACAAAGACATTCTGTACCATTGATATAATCAATACACAGTGACAATGAATTAGCCAAGATGAAGACCAGTGACTGACACTGACACCAGCAAATCTCAACTGGTTACAGACCACTGTCTAAGACAGTGAAGATGAGGAAGCTCAACATACCCATCTAACATGTGTGTGTAGGCACTGATCATTTCATCTTGCTCTTGGGTTCCTGACTGTTGGGACTGCCACAAAGGTTGTTGCTTAGAGTTGCTGCTTTTATCTATGGAAGGTGTGTTCCTGCAAACATTATACAGCTAATTAAGTCTGTATCACTGAATTATATTAATTTGGAGGTAAATTTCCCCAACACAATGAATAGAGAAAGAACCAAATTTTGTAATAACTTTATTAGAGTTCAATGGAAATGACAGCCAAACAATAAGGCACATCACAACCAACCACTACAAGGGAAAATAAGGCTTGATTCTGACCTTAAGTCCAACAGCTGTTTAGACATCACTAAAGATTCGACTGACTGTAGTCTCTCTACTGTCTTCTGCTTTGGAGGGGTCACTGACCTTTGTCTTGGTGACCGTGCTGAGCTGTGTTGTGAGGGGGAAGTTGTCCTTGATGACCTTTAAATATGCAAAATACTTTACTCAATATATATGTAGATTTATAAAATCATACAGCAAGTGATCCACTGAGCGCAACACATAACTTTTTAAAATAGTGATCAATAGTTTAAGTGACTTTTACAAATGTAAGTGTATTTAAGTAAGTTAGTCTATCAGAAAACTCTACAAATGTAAGTGTACTTAAGTAAGTCAGTCTATCAGAAAACCAGAGTGTAACAAAACACTCACCTGTTAGGTGGACTCTGTGACTGACCCCTGAAAGGACTTTTACTCAACCTCCGAGACCGCCGCCCTCTGTTGCGTGTGGGTGACTCACGCCTCACTTCCACAGGTGTGTTGACAGTGTACTTGTTTTCTAGCAGCCACAGGGAGAGCACGATCAGCTGGGCAGGTATCCTGATCCTCATTTTAGCCTGAATCATGGACATAACAAAGGTATTGCAACTAACAAAATATTTCAGAGGTATTTTGATAACAACAAAAAAAGCAACGGTATTTCAACAAACAAAATATGTTCAGTGGTATTTCAAAAACAAAATACATTCAAAGGTATTGCAACTAACAGAGTACGGCCAAATGTACTTAAACTTGATCAAACAAAAAATGATAGATATTATTTCAACTAAGGTTAAAACAAAATTAGAAACAGATTTCTTTTTTAAGAAATTTCAGGGCAATTCAGATGAAACATTAGAGCCAAAGGGATTCTGGTCCAGTTCCAAAACTGGATACACTATAATGGCCTGTAATACAGCTATGTAGATGAACTGATTACCACATTTTGCTTACAATGTTGCTTTAAATTCAAACTCTCCTTACACCCATCTACCAACCAGTCCACTGATCAACCAGCTAATCAATCACTTGGTCAACCGGTCAAACCACTTACATGAGTGTCCAAGATGTCTCTCTCCTTACACCCATCTACCAACCAGTCCACTGATCAACCAGCTAATCAATCACTTGGTCATCTGATCAAACCACTTACATGAGTGTCCAAGATGTCCTCTCTCCTTACACCCATCTACCAACCAGTCCACTGATCAACCAGCTAATCAATCACTTGGTCATCTGATCAAACCACTTACATGAGTGTCCAAGATGTCTCTCTCCTTACACCCATCTACCAACCAGTCCACTGATCAACCAGCTAATCAATCACTTGGTCATCTGATCAAACCACTTACATGAGTGTCCAAGATGTCCTCCCTCCCCTGGACCCCCAGAGCGTGTGACTTGTTGACCCAGACCTCCAGCCACTCCACCAGCTGCTGCAGCAGGGTGTACTTCTTGCCAAAGTTGACCGTCAGCGACCACGCCGTCTGCTCCCTGGACAGACTGGACCTGTAGAGGTTCTCGTCAGACTGGCCAAACCTGGAGGCCAGGCTGGACAAGTTCTGGGCCCCCCCTCTTCCTGGCGTGGACCCAACAAAGTAGCTCAGGTCCACTTCATCCAACAGAGGCTCACTCTCAGATCTGAAAAATTTGTTGCAATTCTTCTTATACAAATATTTTAGCTAGGTCAGTCAAAACATTTTGTTTAATTTTGTCGGACAACTACTTTAGATGTGGACTCAAAAATAAAAACGCAAACATCACTAAATCAGATCAATCTATATTAGTATTAAATTTAAAACGTTGGACATACTGCATAGCTATCTTCCCTTAGTTGCTAAATATAGTCATCTTAACACTAATTTTTAATGATTAATTTTATATCAAATTAGATTGAATATGAGATAGTTTTTCATTGTCATGAGCAATGAACTATAAGGAATGTTTAAAAGATATAGCTGCATTAGAAATGGTTGAAATTGAGTTGCAAGATTTTTCACAAATCAACAAGCATGTAACACCAGGGGAGTGAAGTAGGTGAAAAAAAAATGAACCCACATTGAAAGCACTGGTTATACATCTGTAGGGACAAACCTTTGAATACTGGCATGTGATCTCTCCACCCTCGCCTCCACCACACTTTGTCCTCTAAACAATCCAACAGGTTGTCTTTTCTTACCATCTCTCACTTTATTCATGGCTGTATCATCATTTACCTCCCCTGCAAAAGACCTACCAGGCACATTGTTCTCAAACTTTTTACCACTGAAAATTTTTCCCTGGCTACTTGCTCTGGCAAGTGCCTGTGATGCGCCAGACAGCACAGACAAGTTGTTGCTCCTACCCTGAGCAAGGGCGCCATTTCTCTGGATAAAGAATTTTATTTCATCGTCCACAATGTCTTTGGCAAACACTCGCAAAAATGGGAGGCCAGATACTTTATTTTTGCCGGCCATCACTTCCAAAATTTTGCTGAAGCTAACCGCAACAAATGTGTCGAGAAACTCGATGTAAGATTTTTTGGTCTCAAAAGGACGAGAGCCAACATTCAGTTTGAATTTCTTGGAGCTCTTTTTAGGGAAAATAAATTCCTCATAAGAGCCATAGCATTGGGTTTTTTTCTTAAGTACTTTATCCATCATCTGAGGAAATAAAAAAAACAATATTCTGAACTTGAGAAGAATAAAAAACCCATCATCAGAACATTTAAAATGAACTTCCTGTATAAAGTGCACAGTTTTTGGAACTGTAGTGGAACAAAACAGTCATAAAATTAAAAAAGTTTTTCTATATATTATTACAAAAGTAACTAAAAAAGAGTAAAAAACCATCAAGTTTTTGCTGTTTAAAGCATCTCATAGTACCATAAAAGTAAAATGACTACAGCCAGAGCCGGCGTTAGGAATACGCGGGGCCTAGGGCCAACCATCCGCGCGGGGCCTTTCCATTATATATATATATATATATATATATATATATATATATATATATATATATATATATATATATATATATATATATGTATAAAGGCCTATATAATGTGATGTACACATAATTACACAAATGTTTTGGAGTTTATAAGCTAATGTCAAACTTTCCACTATAATAACAGATTTTTATTTTTCCCATGTATTAACCCAATGTTCGTAGTTTTTTTTCCTTTGCTAAGATATTAAATCACTTTTGACAGTTATGTAATTCATACCAAATAACTTAAGAAAATGTAATCACGTGCCGAATATTTAGGAACATAAAGTTTACAATACAGCGAACTCGGCCTGATGTATCAAAACAGTATAAACTTTTGACAGTTATGTAATTCATACCAAATCACTTAAGAAAATTTAATCACGTGCCGAATATTTAGGAAAATAAAGTTTACAATACAGCGAACTCGGCCTGATGTATCAAAACAGTATAAAATTCAAAATTTGTTTAGAATTCATACAATATTTTAAAACCAAAAACATTATTGTCTTAATTATTGAACGGGTGAATCCTTAAGGTGACACAACATAACAACAGTTTTAACTTTCTTCCAAAAAATAATAAATCACTCTGTTTAATGCCGCCTGATATAAATCCTAAGAAGCCCCCCCCCCTCGTCGCCCTCCTCCCACCCCTCTGCACGCAACTGAATGTTAATTTTGTTATACCGGCCTACATATAGAGTTTCTTCCAGGCATCTCTTCGGGGGTCAAGCCCCCCCCCCCCCGAAAACGAAATGAAATTTATATAATTTATATAGAAAATATATACTTTTAACAGTGTCCGCCCCCCCCCCCCCCGAAGAAAATCTACCGCCCCCCCCCCCCCCGAAAATTTCAAGTGCGCCCCCCCCCCCCCCCCCCCCCGAGAAAAAAGTCTGGAAAAAACACTGTACATATACGACATTATACAACATCTACAACAAGGAAGTCAGGACTAGAGTTCATCAGGTCACTAACTGTCTACTACAGACATCCCGTCTGCTCACTAAAAGGACGTCTTCATGGGTCCGCATACAATAGGATATCTCTTTACGTCGTGGGCTAATTCTCGACCGCCATCTCCAGTCAGCTCAGGTCAAATGCCAGTCGACCGTACACTATACAAAGGGGAGGTGTGACACTATTTTTGTATCGAATTACGGCCTGTCCCAGTTCAGGTGGGACTCACCAACATCAACCGTGGCCTCAGTTATAACAATCAGCAACGTCGGCATTCGACCATTTAGTTTTTCCCAATTGAATTCAGCAACAATTTTTTTTTAAGTTTACGAACTAATTCAGATAACAATGGCATTGCTGAATCGCGGGGCCCCTTCAAGCGCGGGGCCTATGGCGACCGCCCCGTTCGCCACCCCCTAACGCCGGCTCTGACTACGGCAGTCTAGTCTGACTTACCATGCACTGTTTATGGAAGTAGACACTCAGACTCTTGCCCCTGGGGCTGGCAGCTAAAAATGTGACAGACTTGCGTCCATCTTCCTCCAAATCAAGGCTGTCCCCCACAGATCTGCCGTCTGCTTCAGGCCTCAGAATGATGCTCTAGAAACAACCAACATTTGCAGTAATAAATTCTTTGTTCTTTTATGTTCTTTTCATACAGACAAAACATTGTCACATTGAGTTAAGATACAAATAATGCATTATTGTTATTGTAAATATAGAATTTATACAGGCTTATTAAAATGTTGGATCAGTACTCAAAGAATTATAAAGTGGTAAACACAAGGAAACATATTCAGCAGTCTAGTTACCTGCCAAGAGCTGAGCATACGCTCCAGCCGTTCCTGCACCTCGGGGTGAAGATTGTCCACATCGTACATATGTTCTGCCAGGATGTTGGCTGTGTCTTCAGTTGATGGCAGGTCCAGCAGCAACGAAAGAACAACCTGCGTAATACATTACATTTTTGTATTTTTTTTAAATATCAAAGGCTCTATAATCAGACAGACTGATATGTACCATTATTAATTAGGGATGGTCTAATGGTAGAGCATTGACTGCTAACTCACAAGTTTGAGTTCAAATCTATGTTCAAGTCCAGTGAATGTGCCTGATAAGTACCTGACTCGCATTAGGGAAAGTAGAGACTACTGGGCATAGTGCTGATCACACTATCCCTTCATATGCCGATGTCACAGAAACAGGTTAACACTACTTCACTTGCTCCATGGACCGATAGGTTCGAAAGGGAACTTTACTTACCTACTTACTTCCTATTAATTAGGAGACACTACTGAGTAAGGAACATACCTTGTAGATACTGGCTTCGTCAGAAAAAAATCGACTGAAAGGCACCATGTTGACAGCCCACTGTAGTGTAGTGAAGCATTCTCGTAGCCACTGCTCATTATCTTCAACATCTAACCCCTAGTTTTGAAAATAATTTGGACAATGCATGTCAATGTTTTGGCTTAAAAAACAATGCAGGCTATTTAATAAATTCAGAATAATAAAAACTCTAAAACAAAATTTCACTTTTTGCCAGTAAAACAAATGTTTGGGAAAAACTCCAGCTTTTCATTGTCTATTTTAAGATCTTTACATAAGGCGACTTTAATATAGTTTTACAGTCAACTTTAAAACTACAATTAATTATGCTTATACTATTTTTATAGGTGTTTTTAACCATACCAGTGAAAGGTACTTTTCTCTGGATCTTATATACAGAGATAATTTATCTCGGGCATCAAGGAGCCAAACTAATGAGCAAAAGTCTCGGAAATTGGAGAGAGCTGATTGGATGGAGGAGTCTTCAAACTTTTGATAAAACTCCGACTCAGCAGCCAAGTATTGAAACAAAACATCAGGGAACTCAGTGCAGGGTCCCTCTGTGTTGGCCTGGGAAGAGGGAGAAAGCAAAATTGTCTTGTAAATTTTAAAAAACTCCATACAATTTTGAAAAGTTTGATGGTTAATTTCAATATTTTTTGTAAAACAAATTTGTTCATAAAAAATGACATTTAGATTTGTATATGAAGTATATTGCCCTTTTACTGGAAATAATTCAATTATTTTAATAAAATGGATTCAAACATTTTGAAAGACTGTAGATGAATAGCTAAAGCCAACATTAATTTTCTTATTTTGACTTTTTAAATGTTCGACGTAATAAATTCACTAAACTTTAATTGCTGTCCACAGAATTAAACAAACAAATCCATGCTAATGAGTTAATTACCTTGAACTGCCTGGCTTTTTTCTGAGCCTCCTGCAGCTCCTGCACATACCAGCGTATAGACGGGACAGAGAGATGGGTAGCATTCATCACACACACAGCCAGCTGGATCACAGAGGCAGCTCTTTGTCTCAGTGTTATTTCATCTTCTGCCTCCAGGGAATGATGGGCCTACAAACAGGTAACAGTCAGTTAAGTCATGAAATAAAACTAACATAAATAAAATTTCAAGAAAAACGATGGTGTTTTTATTTCTATAAGAGAGTCATCCTTATATGGCCATTAAAGTCATTGAAATTCAAACTTTATTTAACCATTAAAGCCATCAAATGCTAACCTTATCTGGCCATAAAACCCATCAAATGCTAACCTTATCTGGACATCAAATGCTAACCTTATCTGGCCATAAAACCCATCAAATGCTAACCTATCTGGCCATAAAACCCATCAAATGCTAACCTTATCTGGCCATAAAACCCATCAAATGCTAACCTTATCTGGCCATAAAACCCATCAAATGCTAACCTTATCTGGACATCAAATGCTAACCTTATCTGGCCATAAAAGCCATCAAATGCTAACCTTATCTGGCCATAAAACCCATCAAATGCTAACCTTATCTGGACATCAAATGCTAACCTTATCTGGCCATAAAAGCCATCAAATGCTAACCTTATCTGGCCATAAAACCCATCAAATGCTAACCTTATCTGGACATCAAATGTATAACCTTATCTGGCCATCAAATGCTAACCTTATCTGGCCATAAAACCCATCAAATGCTAACCTTATCTGGCCATAAAACCCATCAAATGCTAACCTTATCTGGACATCAAATGCTAACCTTATCTGGCCATCAAATGCTAACCTTATCTGGCCATAAAACCCATCAAGTGCTAACCTTATCTGGCCATAAAACCCATCAAATGCTAACCTTATCTGGACATCAAATGCTAACCTTATCTGGCCATAAAAGCCATCAAATGCTAACCTTATCTGGCCATCAAATGCTAACCTTATCTGGCCATAAAAGCCATCAAATGCTAACCTTATCTGGCCGTGCTGGCTGTGGACAGTAGAGTGGTGGTGAGGGCAGATAGAAGTCCTTGGTGACCAGAGGTGGGAACAGCTTGACAATGGACTTGAGCTTGATGACCAGTTGCTCTAGCAGCCAGAAGCCAATCTCAGCGTAGCCCATGAGCCCAGCCAGGGCAAGGTCCTCTAGAATCTTTGTCAGGTGGGTCAGGTCTGAGGTGCCACTGGTTATTTCTATATCTGGTGAGCAGGGGTTAAAAGGTCAACAGGGGTTAAAAGGTGAGCAGGGGTTAAAATGTGAGCAGGGTTTAAAAGACGAGCAGGGTTAAAAGGCAATCAAGGTTTAAAAGGTGAGTAGGGTTTAAAAGAAGAGTAGGGTTAAAAAGTTGAGTAGGGTTTAAAAGGTGAGTAGGGTTTAAAAAGTGAGTAGGGTTTAAAAGGTGAATAGGGTTTAAAAGGTGAGTAGGGTTTAAAAGGTGAGTAGGGTTTAAAAAGTGAGTAGGGTTTAAAAGGTGAATAGGGTTTAAAAGGTGAGTAGGGTTTAAAAAGTGAGTAGGGTTTAAAAGGTGAGTAGGGTTTAAAAAGTGAGTAGGGTTTAAAAGGTGAGTAGGGTTTAAAAAGTGAGTAGGGTTTAAAAAGTGAGTAGGGTTTAAAAGGTGATCGTGATCAGAGTTAGATATAAATGTGATTTTCTAAGTGTAGCATGAGTTCTAATTTTAATGTTTTCACCCAGAAAGGAATACTCCTGCACCCTTACCCTCTTTATTTCACAATTTAAAAAAATAGTTACAATAAACAAGTTTCTATACTATTTTTAAAAAGTCATGTCCAAAAAGAGATATTTTAAAGTTTTTGGAAGTGATGCATTTCTTTTAATTTTGGAGAATGCGGGGATTTTTTCAAATAGCTTTTCTTAACAAAATACTTAAAATAAGTGTAATTATAACTACCCATGAAAAATGATTAGTCCTTAGCTAATATTTTAAACAGATTTTATCCTTACAATAAACTGTATCAACAAAAGATAGGTAAAAGCAAAATCATAACATTAAAAAAAACAACCAACCATCTTTGATAAGCTTCTCCAATCTCCTTTTCATAATGGACTCAGGACCCAGCCAATCAGGTAACATAAGAGGTTTCTTTGGCCTAGATTGAGAACAAATATTCTTCATAAATTTCACGAAATACATAGCAGCCTGTGGTACCAAATGCACCCAGTGTAATGGTGGTCATGATGTCAGGGCAAGACCAATCAGTACATATCATGAACACTAGAATGATAGACGTAAATAGATTGAAATATATATCACAAAACAGAAATTCATCAGCACTTAAACTAATTCCTCTCCTCTCTCTAAGTATTGTCGAGTCCAGAAGACATTTCACCAGCATACCCAATGTGCAGGTATCTTCTTCACTTCATTCCATGACACTCCAGCACTGCCCCATCTCCTTCTTGACAGATCTTATACAGACAAAAATATATACTCACTTTTTATAATTCATTGTGTGATCATAAGCTAGCAATCAATCACCAGACAAAACTATTTCTAACAGTTTCATGTCAATCTAAGCTCACTGTGATGCCACTTCACCAAAGCTGACAGTAAACATCAATGGAACTCAGAGAAGACTATAACTATAAAGAGGAAAACTAAATAGCAGGAACTTACTGCTGATACAGGGGTGGAGCCAGGCGCTTGTGTATTTCATGGGAGACTGACAGCTGGTAGGCCGCCTTCCAGTCCCCCATGCGGTCAGCAAACCAGGTGGCCTCACACACCAGTCCACCCAGCAGCAGGTACTCTAAGGTCCTCTCCACTGTCCACACAGCTCCCAGCTTCTGGTGCCGGATAATGGCCGCCATATCTTCATGGTACTTAGGAATGATGCGGCTGTCTACAAAAGTTATATCAGAACTTTATTATTCAGTGAAATAAAGTTAAATCAAATATCTGGCCTCCCATTTTTGCGAGTGTTTGCCAAAGACAGTGTGCGTGTGTGTGTTTTATTTAAAAATGTAATCCTACTCACTGGCAATGGAGGTCTCAAAGTGTACTGCAGGCAGGGGGGTGGGGCTGTGGGGTGGGAAGATAAAGACCATCTGGTTACTGAAGTAAGCGGCCATGAACCTGCCCAGGGACTGGACCACTTGTCTGACTGCCCGGTCACGTATACACGGCACCATGTCCGCCTGATGTAAGGCCTGGGAATGTTACATTTGAACACTTTTTAAAAGTACGGGAGAGATAACAATGTTCTAATATAAAATACTGAATCTCACTTCAGCTGTAACTAATTAAAACAAAATCATCAAAGGGAAAGGGTATAAACAGACCAATATAGTTTCAGTAATTGTTTGCTTGGTAAACACAACAACTGGCAATCAAACTGTGTACTTACCTGTGCCTTGAGTGTACCCGTTACAAAAGTCATGAGAGATGGCTGAAGTTGCTGACTGGACACTTCTCTGTTTGGGTCAATGTCTTCCACCTGCCCAGAGTTGGGCTTTACAATGAGACCATCAACAAAAGACACAGCCGCCACCAGATCATTACGTAGAATGTACGTGTAGAGAAGTGAGTGAAACAAGCGAGCGGCGTCCTTTACATTTCCAGATTCTAAACAAATATTTCATTATATATTTTTACAATATTTAATTTTGATTTAATAATTATTATTTGACAGATGTTTAAACGAACAGTAGTAAATAAATATTTCAAAGTTAAGCAAAAAATTTAAGCTAAAATATTTTTTAATAATAACCAAATTAATTATTAAACACTATATTAAAGCTTGTAACTAAATATATTTTATTACTTTTTAATATTATAAAATAAGTGATTCAAATAAGAGTGGTTGGTACCAATAAACAAAAATATCTTAAATACATTGTATAAGAATGTTTATTAAAATGTAGATAATATTATCAACAGACCTTGAAAGTTTTTTAACTGTTCCTTCCAGGCATTCATTGCCAGTGTGTGTTTCCCATCTAAACTAAACCTTTCACCTAAACAAAAACAAAAAAAAAATTTAAAAATTAAAAAAATTAAATTTTTTTTTTAATTTGTAATTAATTTGTAAAGGTTAATTTGTGGGATTCACTATTATTTAAAAAAAGATAGCAATGTTTAGTAAAAAAAAAACATCTAAATTTCTACCTTTTTTAAAAAAAAAATCCCAATAAACATTTTTTATTTTTTTAAAAATTAAAACAAAAAATTAATACATTTAAGGTATCATTAGTTTTTAAATGTATGTGACTAAATCTTATCAAAAGAAGACAATAAACAATGTTCACACACCATGATTCAAGACAGGGGCTTCCATGAGAGGGATATCCCCATCCACTTCCACCAGACACTGCTGGATGGCACTCTGTAAGATCTGGGCCTGCCTGATGTCCTGGGCTGTCTCCTCACTGCTGGAGAGAAACTGCAACACAGACTTGTACAGAAGCTTCCACGAGGCTGTAAACCTGGGGACACAATCAGGGACAAATTTGGAATAGCCCATTACAGTTCTATTTTTTAATTAAAGAGCTACATATCTATTTTAAGATTATTTAGATTTACCTAAGAAATTAGATCTTATCAGCTTGTCTTAATTACTTCATTACAAATCAAACAACATTTTCTTTGCTTTATTTCAGTTGGTATTTTAAATTTTTATATTTAGATTGAACAAATAGTAGTGTATTATTTTCAGAAAAGTATGTTTGGAAAAGACTAGTTCACTCCCTTGTAAGCCCTTTAGGACTGAACTAAATTTAAGTCTTTTTTCCTATACTACTTAGGACAGCCCTAAAGCTGAGTTCACTCCCCTCTCTATCTCTAATCATGATTGCTAGAGCCTATAAGGGTGGTCCAAGGCTTTAAAAAGCTGAATACCTATGTGAAACCATAAGGGTAATCTAATCTTTTAGAAAACTGAATATCTGTTGGTGAACTAACCTTTTAGAAAGCTGAATATCTGTTGGTGAACTAACCTTTTAGAAAGCTGAATATCTGTTGGTGAACTAACCTTTTAGAAAGCTGAATATCTGTTGGTGAACTAACCTTTTAGAAAGCTGAATATCTGTTGGTAACCTCACCTTTTAGAAAGCTGAATATCTGTTGGTGAACTAACCTTTTAGAAAGCTGAATATCTGTTGGTGAACTAACCTTTTAGAAAGTTGAATATCTGTTGGTGAACTCACCTTTTAGAAAGCTGAATATCTGTTGGTGAACTAACCTTTTAGAAAGATGAATATCTGTGTGAAACAAGTCTCCATCTCCAGCCTGATTCTGGCTGTCCACAAATCCAAGTTTTGGTGTCATCCCTTTAGCCTTCAGACCAGCAGGGGTCATCACATAAGTCTGCTGGACACTTTTCTCTGTGAACTTGAGCAGGGTGAAGCAGCCAGTTAATGTCTTCAGCCGGGGGTCAGACTGGGCTAGGCCAGTGCTGGACAAGATGGCCACCAGAGTCTTATGGCTGAGCTGTAACATGGGAGCCAGCAGGTGGCGCTGCTGGCAGTCAAACTGGAGGAGATCTGTCAGCTGTTTGAACATGGTTATAACCTGCAGGGAGAGAAGGTCATGTTTTACATCACTGTGTACTGTTTCAGACACAAAAGATGTTTTTTATACCCAAATATGAAGGTATAGCATGATCAGCATTATGCTGTGCTGCACTCACTTTCCCAAACTAGAGACAGGTACTTATTAAAGCTGGGAAGACTCAGGGTTGTTCTCTAGCCCAAAAACTGAACTCAAAGACTTTCAGATTACAAACTGTGTACTCTTAACATGCCACACTGTAACATGGATAGAATTAGCTTTATTTTGATTCCCATGGTCAATAACCCAGATAAATTAGGAATTAGCTCTTCATGATGTCCAGTGTCATGATACTAGGGCTGTGAAAACTATCAGTTCAAGATTAGAACATAAAGACAAATTGTAGGAAAATTAAAAATGGTTGGAATGCAATTTTTACTAAAACTAGAAATTGTATAAAGTATTTTTTACAAGTAACTATATATATATTAAATGCTAGCAAAAAATCTAAAATAAAAACAAGCTATAGTAATTCAATTTACAAAATCAATATTTAAGGTAAAATTATTTAATTAAAGATCACCTTAAATAAACTGGCAGTATGAATAGCTGGGGTTTCAACCATTTGCTCAGTTGCTTCTTCTAGGAGATCTTTTATCTGTGGACAGTCTAGTAGAAGAGAGAACATCTTGACAATGTTGTGGACAGCGTGGGTGATGATTTTCTCAAGGTTTGTGGTCCACAAGTCTGAAGTGGAGGCTGCCAGTTTCCACACATTAAACAAGTTTATTTTAGCCAGCTGTAACGCTTTCATTGTTGAATTCGGTTCACCCAGAAACGAACCTTCAGACATAAGAAATACTTCCGGCTCCCCAAACACAATTTTCCCAGAACTCATGTTCTCCATTGCACCTGAACGCTTGGAAAACTCATCAACACCTAAAGCAAAGCTGACTTCGCTGTCTAATGTTTCGTTTATGCTAACACTTGGTTCTTCAAAGGAATAATGTTGATGGAGTTTACTGGGTCGGATTTGTTTAACACCACGCGGGGTGTGTTTAACACTTTCTAGTTCGCCTGCAGGCAGGTTGTAGGCGTTGGCTAGTGTCAGGTCTAGACGATGTGTCTCAGCTATTTGTCTGAGGTGGGTGGAGGACTCTAGGACCAGGTCCCGCATGAAGATCATGGCACTGAGTTCACTGGGCAGCTGAGCTATGGTGACTATGTAGCCATCGGAGTAGAGCAGGATGGGTAAAGTTGGGTGGGTGGACACAGAAAATCTTTGCTGCAAGGGGTCCCGTTCTGAGTTGATTGAAGGCTGGTAGTCGTCTACTCTAGACCTGTCTGACCTGTGACACATTCATCATGCAAGAACTGTCAACTATGTAAGTTAGAGTTACATCTTAGAATCTAATATCTTTCTTAATGTATATGTTTTTCCAACTAAAGAAATTTTAAACAATTTTTATTATAATATAAAGGAAACAAAAGAAAATTTTAACCTGAAATTTATATTTGGCTTGATTGTTATTAATATATAATAATTAAATAATTGTAGTAATTATCAAATAATCTGACAGAGTTAAAACTTTGGCTACATACTGGATTGTGATGAGAGGTGTAAAAGGTAAATAATAGGCCGGGCCCATTTCAACAGAGCATCCTTTAGAAAATAAAACCAGTGGCTCTCCAAGGCGTGACAACACCCCAGCAGATCCATTCCGCAAGATAACAGCCAGAAAAACATTGTCATAGGTCCAGGACATGTCTGCTATCCAGTATTGTCTTTGCAGATTTATATAAACAAATTTTTATAATTAGCAAAAATAGCAACATTTGCTACTGTCATTGTCTATTTTTCAATGCAAAATATAAATCAACACTTTATTTTAGGAAAATAATATCCAAATACTCATAGTAATGTAAATTTATAAAAATGGTTTTATGAATACAGAAATTGTTGAGAAAACTATAAAAGCTGTTGTGTACTGTATTTATAAATCTAGACAGCCTCACATTTTTAGGTAAAATAAAAAACATGTTAGTGTTCTGTATAATGAATAAATAAATGTAATTATAAAACTCTGTGAACATTTTTTACCTTCCTCTTCTGTTACTTGCATCTTTTAAACCACAACCTTTGATGTCTGAAACTTGAACTGTTTCAGTAAATGGAGAAATAAACAAGACACTGGTCTGGGATGGGGACTTTTGGTTTACAGCTACTGCCAAAATCTGGCCATCATGTGTGTACTGGCACACATAAGCTCCTTTCATGGCAATAGGTTCACAACCAGGGTGTATTGTGCTAAGTGATTTTACAAGACTGCTCCACAGGGGGGTAAATGATGCATCTGAATTGCTGATGTTAAAAAAACCCACTGTAATTAGAAATTCTCTTTAAACTACAGCAGCTCTAAGTATAAAATAAAACAAAGTATTTAAGTGTTTAAATTTTATATATTTCTTTTTAATAAAAATTTATAAAGGACTGGAATTAGTGTTTGATTTATAAAGGTTAACACTTTAATTGATTATTACAGTAGTGAGTAGTATTGGAAGAAATCAATTGTGAAAACAGATTGTAATTTTATTATATTAATAGGATTTTAGTAATAGTAGTACTGAACTGGGAAAATCCCTTATTGCTATTTACTTTTAAATCATAAGTCAATGCTTTACCCCATCCTAGTACAAATAAGCAAAATGTGATTAGATGAAACTTACTGGGGATCTACAGAGGGTGAGAAATGGATCAAAAGAGATGTTATGCTGAGATTCATCCTCTGGTTACTTACAAAGCTCAGCTGACAAAAGTTTCCTAGCATCTGTCAAAAAAAAGGAACCATTCTACTTAATTATACAAAGAAGAGAAAGATAACAAAAAGTATCCTCATGGACCAGATGGTCTATGGGATAAGAATATCATAAACATTTGTTAGTACTTAAAAATATTAGAGGAGATCATATCTAAATACATTCCAAAGTACTTGCCTCAGTGCTGGAAAACACAGCATGAATCAAAACCTCTCTGGAGTCTGGTGACGGGAGTTGGATGCTGCTAGGGGCTGGCAGTGTTGTCCATTTACCCAAAAATGTATTGTTCTTAGCATCATGAGAGTTAGGCTGCTGCTGCCATAGAAACACATGCTGGTTGGCCACAACCACAAGAATCTGGGAACAATCTGCTGACGGGAAGGCCTTGCAGCCACCTAGGGGAAAATATACACCATTTTTAGGAAATCATACAACTAAATTGCAGGGCTGATCAAGTAGTAGGGTCAGAATTGTTAACCCAAAGGTCTAAAGCTCAGTTCTCAAGTTCAAGTCTATGGATATAAAAATTATCTCAAGTTGTGTACTTTTATCTATATAAATTGATCTATCTGATTCACCATTATGCCTGAAAAGTTGTTTTTTTTCCAACAGAAATTTGTATCAATCACTTACACCAGTTAAATCTAATATATGAATAAAATGCACAGCCATGTTGAAAAAGTTAGTTACCAGAAAGTGATATGTCTTTACTAAGGAGGTGAGTAGAAAGTCCACAAATGGTTTTGAGCTCATCTTTATCTTTGTGCCAGGTAAATAACTCACCAGATGACTGGACACCAACCAAATACAAACCTAATACAACAAAACAAAAAATAAACAGCATATATTGTGATCACTACATCAATATTTTAGTCTTCAAATCTTTTGTTTATTTACCAAAATAATTTCTTTATATTCTGTACAAACAAAATTTGATTTATTATTACCTCCAGGTGTTGTAGTAATGTAGACAGTTTCAGGTAACAAACTAGACAATTTTTGAACATTTCTTTTTGTTTTACCAGATGGGATATAGAGAACACTGACACGTTTGTCATCCAACAAAAACAAGCTTTGACGTTCCTGAAAGGAAAATTTATATTTGTTTAGTTTTCTTGAGAAGAAATATAATTTTATGTGACAATTCTATACCAAATTAATTGTAAGGATAATTTAATATTTGCATCAGAGATCTGCTTAAAGCAAGCAGTGATGGATCAAATAAGACAAACAAATCTGCCAATGTTTTAAATGATGTTAGTAGTGTTTCATTTTGTAACATAAAAATACATTAACAATGGTTAAAGTTCAAATATAGGCCTATATGTTTGATTTACTAATCAACATTAAAACAATCACTCTTATACTACTTTATAATAATCTACAATATATATTTACCTTCCCTAACCAAACTATATGAGGCCAAGGTTTCTTGCGTTTTATAGCTGTTGAGGCTAAAATTTCTAAACGAATTTTCATGTTGATGGGCTTATTATATGCAAGTGGCTAAATGATATTTTTCTGAGGAAAATAATCAAAACAGATAAAAATATATAGTCTACGAGATTTAGATTCTAGACTATATTTAGTTATTAGCAGCCTAGCTGGGTAGTAGATCCAGATCTAGTACAGCAGTAGACGAGTAGTGGCTAGTCACTTGTGTTCTAAACCAGTAAACTGAGTAAACTGAGTAAACTGATCAGTGATAAACTGTATTACCAGTAAACTGTATTACTGTAACTATAACTACTGTAAGTCAAGTAACTTAAGTAAGTGTAGTGTAAAGTTGTTAACGTAGTTACTAGATCTAGTTATTAGTTAATTAGTAGGCAAGAAGTAGGAGTAGTAGATCTAGTGATCAGTGAGTCAGTGACTTTCTTCTACTCTAGTTTCTACTTCTAGACTCGACTACTCGACTCTAGAGATCTACTTATAAAACTACAAACATAACTTAGTAAAGACATGATAATACATTAGAAAAACAAACATATCTATTTTAAAAATGGATTTTATATTCAAATATATGAACAAGAATTCGTTTATAGTTTAAATGACTTTACTTTTACTTTTTTTCATGTTAAATCTTGCTACAAGGCCGCCATTTGTAAACCTATCCCATGATACACTATTGTGAAGGAAAAGGTATAAATAAAAAGCGAAAGAAACATTAGTAAGCGGCATATTATTTCGTTTTTGATGTTGAATACTAGAGTTAATTCTAATACACAAGGTTGCTATTTGTATATTGCCATAAAACGTTCTTGATTTGCTTTACACTTCTTAGCCCCTTAATGCTACTTCCACAAATCACACAAAATATATACGTCACAACATCAACAAAAAATAAATAGATCCACGTCATCATTATTTTGTGTTAGATAGGCCTAAATAATAAGTGATCGGTTACAAGTAGGTCCTCAATAATAACGCTCTAACAGAATACAGTCGTTCACGAATAGATGTCTGTGTCAAATACTTAAGATAAGATGACCAGAAAAATAAATAACCAATGGAGACCTATAGCAAACCACAAAGCAACAGCCGATTGACATGGATATCAAAGCCCGCAAATGGGGATGGATCGAGCACGCACTGAGGAGGGAGGAGATCAACATCGCGAGGCAAGCTTTAGACTGGAACCCCCAGGGAAAAAAGAAAAATAGGTCGACGTAGTCTAAGCAGTCCTGAAGAAGAACATTGGAATGAGAAGCGACTGCAGCTGGGCTAACGTGGGCTGAACTAAAGAGACCTGTCCAAAACTGAAATCGGTGGAGAGGTGTAGCAGCAGCCCCTTGCTGCTCTTGGGCTTCAAAGGTAGAATATAAATGGAGAGAAAAAATGTTAATACTTCACAGTCAAAGAGTATTTTATTATTGACTATGATAATTTTTAAATAAAAGTATATTGACTAATCTAATGTTTAATTGGATTTAAAATATTTTTTCTTGCATCGTCACTGAAAACGAATGTATCTGGAAAGTTAAAACGAAATAGCTAGATTAGAAGTGGCTTAAAATAAAGTTACCTTATTTGGGGAGACCGGGACGTGAGGTGGGAGGACTGGGTTTTTAGGTGAGGTGACGGGTTGTTAGGTGAGGTGACGAGGTGTTAGGTGGGAAAACTGTGGTGTTAGGTGAGGTGACCGAGGTGTTAGGTGGGAAAACTGGGGTGTTAGGTGAGGTGATCGGGGTGTTAGGTGGGAAAACTGGGGTGTTAGGTGAGGTGACCATGGTGTTAGGTGGGAAAACTGGGGTGTTAGGTGAGGTGACCGGGGTGTTAGGTGGGAAAATTGGGGTGTTAGGTGAGGTGACCGGGGTGTTAGGTGGGAAAACTGTGGTGTTAGGTGAGGTGACCGAGGTGTTAGGTGAGGTGACCGAGGTGAGGTGACCGAGGTGTTAGGTGGGAAAACTGGGTTTTTAGGTGAGGTGACCAAAGTGTTAGGTGGGAAAACTGGGGTGTTAGGTGAGGTGACGGGGTGTTAGGTGGGAAAACTGGGGTGTTAGGTGAGGTGACCGAGGTGTTAGGTGGGAAAACTGGGGTGTTAGGTGAGGTGACGGGGTGTTAGGTGGGAAAACTGGGGTGTTAGGTGAGGTGACCGGGATGTTATGTGAGGAGACGGAGGTGTGAGAAGGGGAAATTAAGTTCTCAGAAGGGGAGGTTGAGATTCTAATCACGCCTGTTGTCGCATTCAACACATGCGTCGCATTCAACTCACAAGCAGGACACGACTGTACCGTAGTCGCATTGAACACACTGATATGACTTGCTTCGCATCTAACACGCGTCTGTCATGACTTTAGTTGCATCCAACGCATTCGCCGGACACAAGTGTCTTCGTAACGAACACACGCGTCTGTCACGACCGTCGTCTATCCAACACACTTGCTAGTCGCAACCGTTGTCAAAACCAAACAGAAAGATCCAACATCGATTGAATCGAACAACTTTAAAAAGTAAACAGCATCTTCAGGGCTATACATTAATAATGTCACTTTGGGGACAGTTAGAGAAACTAATTTTGTATTGAGCTGCTTGGGTGAGACTTGGCGGCGGCTTACTCAATGTACAAGTGTGACAACAGGCTAACTTTTAAGTCCGAACTTTTAAGCTTTAGTTTCGTCACCAGTTTGCCAGGACATACAGGCTTTACTTACATAAATAGTCTACATTTTTGTTATAACTATGTAAACTTAGACTTTTGATTGACGCTTTTTCTGGAAAATTATTTCAAAACAAATTATTTAGAACACTCTGACTTAGTTGGAAATATCATCAGTGTGTGCATCTTACGTCACTGTACACATCAAAATTAATCGTCGCTTTTATCTCTTGCTACTACTGATGTATGGGACGAAAAATATTTTGTCTGCTTTGGAAGCGTCACCGCAAGTCATCCAACATCCTTATGACCATTGTGTAAGACAATTATTGGACACCCAAACGATTACAAATTACGAAACACCAAACTACAAGACAACCAAACTGAGTCAAGTACCCTGTTTCAGTTACCTCGGCGTGTTATGGTCAGCTCTTTGCCCACCCGCCTTTACTTTCTGTAACGTGCGTAATGTAGCCCATCTATCGGAACTGAGACAGCAATCCTTCAGTTTATGTTAATTACCCTCCGCAATGTTGAAGGGAAGCACCATTTGGCGACGACCCAAATGTCAAGGGCGTCGCGAGGCTCTTGGGAGTTACCGGTTATGTAATAGATTGAGTTAATTGTGAGATCAAGGGAACTCACTCTCTGTATTAGTATTATATTTATATTGTTATCTTGAGTGATGTCCCTTACATGTTGTTATCTATAAATAGTTCTCTCTCGCCATCTCTCTTCCTCTCTTTGCAACATGGCGTCTGTACATAATAAAGACTGTTAACAACCAACGCGGCTTCTCGTCAGTCATTACAATCCACGTCATTTGGCGACGAAGGATAAACATCTACTAGAAAGAGCACCTACTTACGCAAAAAAGAGGTTTGCTAGAGCTTATTAGCTAATTATTTCTAGAATTATGGCGCTGTATGGCCAAATAAAAGAATTTGATGCGAATGATGAAATCATTCAAGATTACCTAGAGAGGTTAAGCTTTTACCTAGAAGCTAACGACGTGACGATAGAAGCCAAAAAGAGAGCTGTTTTGTTAACAGTCATAGGGCCTCAACAATTTAGGCTACTAAAAGACTTATGCGCACCAGCTAGTCTAACTACCAAGAGCTTTAACGAGCTGAGCAAATTGCTAACAGACCACCATGCGCCTACCCCATCAAAGTTTCTATGTAGAGCTAGATTTGACAGTAGGACTCGTCAACCAAACGAGTCAATATCAGAATATGTTGCTGCTTTACGTCATTTAAGTAGATTCTGTGAATTTGGAGAAACACTGTCTGACAGATTATGTGAAAAGTTTGTGACAGGTGTAAACAGCCCTGATATTCAAAGAAAGTTGCTGCTCGAGTCAGATCTAAAATTGGAAAAAGCAATACAACTTGCAATGTCATTCCAGCAGTCATCAGATGCGGCGAGATCTTTAGCACCTTCAGGGATCCATGCAGTAAACAGCAGGTTAGTCAATAAACATCAACCCCATCAGAGCATTCCAACTTATGCTAAACAGCCTGCTCGTTCAAATCCTAGATCTAAATCTAGTAATAATTATCAAAAATGTCATCGATGCAAAGGTCCCCATGCATCTCATCGGTGCAAGTTCAAGTCTGCAACTTGTTATAAGTGCAGTAAGCAAGGTCACATTGCCAAGGCCTGCTTCGCAAAGTCTTCGTCTGTTGCTAAATCTAGCCAGTCAAGACAGTACCGCAACCAAAAGCAGCACTATGTTAACTCTCACCAAGACTACCTAACCCAACCAATGAACCACTCTACCTGTGAAAATTCTCAAACTGATTCGCAGCCGGATTTCAGCCTGTTCTCTGTGAAATCAATAAGTCATGCTCCCATCAATGTACAAGTTAATATCAACGGTAAGAGCATCAGCTTCCAACTTGACACTGGAGCATCTCTAACAGTCATAACAAAGAAAGAGTTTGACGCTGTCACAGGAGGATCAGTGCCTCTACAGCCGTGTCACAAGTGTCTAACAACATACACTGGTGACAATGTTCCGGTAATAGGAGAGTGTATGGTTCATGTAAGTTATAATGGTCAAAGTGTTAAACTTCCTCTTCTTGTGGTTGAAGGAAATGGACCGCCATTACTAGGTAGGAACTGGTTAAGTGATCTTAAGTTAAATTGGGAGAGTATTTGTTCATTGAAGAATGTAAAAGAATCTAGTCTTACTTCACTAGATAAAGTTATATCTGAAAATAAATGTGTTTTTGGTAACTCTGGATTACTAAATGATAGAACAGTGAAGTTAAGCATTAAAGATACAAATCCAAGATACTGCAAAGCTAGAGTTCCACCTTATGCAATGAGGAATAAAATTGAAAATGAGCTAAGCAGATTAGAATCTAATGGCATTATAAAGAAGGTAGACTATTCCGATTGGGCGACACCCATTTTGCCAGTGTTAAAGAAGGATGGTTCTATAAGAATTTGTGGAGATTATAAAACTACACTGAATAAGCAAATAGAGCTAAATAGGTACCCTATACCTAACATTGAGGAAATTTCTTTGAATTTGGCAGGAGGAGACAAATTCACTGAATTAGACTTTAGTCATGCTTACACTCAACTAGAACTGCATCCAGATTCAAAAGTCTATACGACAATAAACACACATAAAGGACTCTACCAATATGAAAGACTATGTTTTGGCATATCATCTAGCCCTGGAATTTTCCAAGCTGTCATGGACAGTATTTTTAAGGATATTCCAAATGTTTGTGTGTACTTTGACAATGTGTACATAACTGGTAAGAATGACACTGAACATCTTAAAACACTTGATAAAGTATTGAAAATTGTTGGTGAAAAAGGTTTAAAGATAAACAAAGATAAATGTCAATTCATGCTGACAGAAATTAGTTTTCTTGGTTATATATTGAGCAAACAAGGCATCAGACCTCAACCTGAGAAAACAAAAGCCATTAAAGAAGCACCCAAACCTGAAAATACCCAACAACTAAGAGCTTTTTTGGGCTTGATAAATTACTATGCAAAGTTCATAGGAAATCTGTCTGGTAAACTATCACCACTGTACAAGCTGCTACAGAAAAATGCAACTTGGCACTGGGGTAAACAACAAGAAGCTGCTTTTAACACAGCAAAAGAGGCTTTGTCTGCTGACACCTTACTAACTCACTATGACCCAGGGAAAAGACTTGTATTGACATGTGATGCTTCACCAGATGGTGTAGGAGCAGTCTTGTCCCACATGGATGAGAAGGGTGACAGACCCATTGCTTTTGCCAGTAGATCTTTGAACCAGGCTGAGAAAAATTATTCTCAGTTAGATAGGGAAGGCTTAGGCATCATTTTTGGTGTTAAGAAATTTCATAAGTTTCTGTTTGGTAGGAAGTTCACCATCTTTACAGATCATAAACCATTGCTAGGTTTATTTGGAGAAAACAAAACCCTACCTGAGCATGCCTCACCAAGAATTCAAAGATGGGCTATCACACTAACTGCATACAATTATGAATTGAAATACAAACCTGGATCTGAGAATAGTGCAGATAGTCTTAGTAGATTACCTTTAAAAAACCAAAGCCTGAGCTATGTACCAGAAGATGTATTTGTTCTCTTCACTATCATGGATAACTCCAATATAAATGTGAATGATATTAAGAGAGAAACACAAAAAGATGAGTGCTTAATAAAAGTATATGAGTACTGTAAGAATGGTTGGCCTGAAGAGTCAGTGAATGAGGACTTAAAGCCATATAAAATAAGAAAAACAGAGTTAAGTCTAGAAGATGGATGTATACTATGGGGGTCAAGAGTAATTATCCCCAAAATGTTACAAAAAGAAGTTTTAAGAACTTTACATGATACTCATCTTGGTTCTTCCAAAATGAAGAGTCTAGCAAGATCATGGTTCTGGTGGCCACATATGGATGCTGATATTGAAAAATATGTAAAACTTTGTTCAAGCTGTGCACAACATTCAAATCAACCAGCTACAGCACCTTTGCAAAACTGGGACTGGCCAATTGAACCATGGAAACGTATACATATAGATTTCGCAGGACCTTTCATGAACAAAATGTTCTTAATTGTTATTGATTCACATTCTAAATGGTTAGAAGTTAAAATCATGAACACAATCACTGCAAATGATACCATTATAGAACTTAAGGAAATATTTTCAACTCATGGATTACCAGATCAAATTGTTTCAGATAATGGGCCTAGTTTCACAGCTCATGAGTTTAAACTGTTTTGTGTGGCAAATGGTATTGAGCATATAACCACATCCCCCTATCATCCTGCTGGGAATGGTTTAGCTGAAAGAGCGGTAGGCATATTCAAAACCGCTATGGTAAAAATGAATACCGGTAACAAGTTTTCTCTTAGAGAAAGAGTAAACAGGTTCTTAACCAAATACCGCACAACTCCTCATATAACAACAGGTGTTGCACCATGTGAATTGCTATGTGGTAGGAAAATTAAAACTCATCTTGACCTACTACATCCAACTGTTCAAAGGTCTGTTTCCCAACATCAACATACACAAAATGTAAATCATGACAAATCATCCATTGAAAGAGAATTTGCAGTTAATGATAATGTGTATCTAAGAAATTATGGGAGAAAGGAAAAATGGATTCCAGGTCAAATTGTTCAATGTACAGGACCTGTGTCTTATAAAGTAAAAACAAATGATGGACTTATTGTCCGTAGACATGCAGACCAGTTAAAAATAACTTGTGCAGATAATAAGGGTGAATCTGTCAATCCCACCAAGTCTGATCAGTTCACACCAACTCAGTTTGTTCCACAACCAAGTTCTGTTGATATGAGTGAATCAAGTTGTCTAGAGTCAGAAAATGTAAATTCTGGAGTTAATGATTTAAATCCTAGACCTCCTGAGATAGAGAATCCAGATGGTCAGAATCTTGAGTCACCAAATCAGAAGCCACTGAGAAGGTCAAGCAGGACAATCAAAGTCCCAAATAAGTTAGACCTATGATTCTAAAGGTCAAAAGGACTTTGACATTATTGTTTTGTATTTTGATTATGTTGTAGCATATTGTGCATTGTTTGTAAGGATGTAATCTACCATAGTGTTCATGTTACAATATAATTGGTGATTTTAGGATACTATCAATTGTTCTATTGAGAGATGTGTTATTGTGTTCTAAGGGTAAAGGGATGTAATAGATTGAGTTAATTGTGAGATCAAGGGAACTCACTCTCTGTATTAGTATTATATTTATATTGTTATCTTGAGTGATGTCCCTTACATGTTGTTATCTATAAATAGTTCTCTCTCGCCATCTCTCTTCCTCTCTTTGCAACATGGCGTCTGTACATAATAAAGACTGTTAACAACCAACGCGGCTTCTCGTCAGTCATTACAATCCACGTCAGGTTACATTACTTCATGGGTAAAGGATGCAACCCCTGGTTAGATTTTTAATCATTAAATGTAGTAGCCCGACGTATCCATAGCGTAGGGTGCTCTTTTAAACGAATGTAAGGACCATAGTGCTCGTACGGATGCCGGGGCGCCCAGGATGACACAGCCACTGATGGAAGCCCCTACTGCAGCGTTACTGGTGATTGAAGTAGTACATGTGTCACCCTCTGTAAGACACCCAATCATAAGATAGCAACTGGCGCCGTCACTCAAATATTGAAACAAATGTTGGGCTATGACAGAAACATTTGCAGGCGTGTACTCAACAACTTCCCACATTTTCATGGCGATCACATGAATGGTGTAATAATGCATAAACAAACATGTTTTTCATATGTATGCGATCAGCTTAAAAGCGTCGGAAAAAACTTCTGGGGCCATCCACAGATGGCGTCACGATTTGTTAACGATCACAAAAAGCCAGATCTTACTCTAAAAATGGCTTCATTTATTAATAGTAATTAACTATAAATAATGTTCAATTAATTCATTTACTAATGAATACCATTTTTTAATAATATAAAAATAGTATTACTTTCCTTGTTTTGTAAATTAATACCTGCTGACTAGTGTCTGACAAAAAACTTGGCATAATTACAAAAGTGGTGAATGTGCGGTTACCTATTCACTACTTGTAAGACTAAGGGAGGGAGGGAGCTGGGAAAGGAACTTAAAAAATGAAAGGTATAACAAAGCACCGATGACGTCAACATCAATAGTCGAGCATTTGCGATGGTCGCAACTACATTTCCCAAAAACTTACTTAAGGGAAATAATTAAAAGTAGGCCTATACAAATTTACTATTACATCTTTTGTAAAATAAAAAACAAGTAAATGTAGATAAAAACCGAAATTACTGATGATACTAGATCTATATGCTATTCGTTATTAAATTATTTATAGGATACAGGATCGTACAGAAGATTAGTTATATCAATAAAACATACATAAATTTTACAATGAAAAATGTATAATGAATTCGGGGTCCCCTAACCGACGCTACAAATTGAGACAAAGAAGCACCGAAAACCGTCTTTATAGTTATGGACCATAATTTTTACTTTCTCTTATATACGAAGTATAGAGAAAGTCTTGTAATCGTGCAAAAAAAAATTAAGATTTTTACAAATCTAGACGTTTTACACCTCCCTGAGTCGGAAAAAGATATTTTTGCAATCTTGTCCGTATGTCTGTGTGTATGTGTGTATGTGTGTCTGTGTGTCTGTAAACACGATAACTTGAGTACCGTTAAAGCTAGGTTGATGAAACTTCATATATAAGTATTTTATCGAAATCGTAGATCCATATCAACTTTTGAGCGATTTCCGATAACCGGAAGTCGTACTTTTTCTACTTTGAAACTAAAGCCTATAACTTGTGTACTATTTCAGATAGATAAATGAAATTTCACATGTAAGTAATAGATCTAATCCTCTACCTTCTATCAAATTTTGAGTAATTTCCGTTGAACGGAAGTAGTAATTTACGCTATTTCCGATTTCTCAAAAAAAAACGCATATAAATTTATAAAGTACTAATAATATTCCGCACTATTATGCACATTTTGTATTGGCTTTCGCTTGGTGCGCAATTCTTTTTTTCTACGAGATTCTATTATATTTTTAAAAGTTTAAGTAATTAAAAATCATGTCTATATTCCGAGTTGCCATCCCACGTAGTGTTATATAAGAATATTCGAGAAGTTTAGGGGAGATTACTCCCGGTTTATTTTTTAAAATAGATTTTGCCGGCGACAGTAAGAGAAAGCGAACTCGCCCTCCGAGTTTCTTCCAGGCATCTCTTCCGGGGGGGGGGGCATCGCCTCCCGAAGAAAGTCTACCGCCCCCCGCCCCCCCCCCCCCCCCCCCCCAACGTTAACGACATGGAATTTATATAGAAAACTTATACTTTTACCAGTGTCCGCCCCCGCCCCCCTCCGAAAATATCAAGTGCCCCCATTCCCCCCCCCCCCCATTCCCCCCCCCCCCCCGTAGAAAAAAGTCTGGAAGAAACACTGCTCGCCCTTCACAATGGTTTAAAAACAAAGAGAGAAAAAAGAAATACAATTGTAGGCCTAAGTAACTTTTTCAAAAAATAATTTGACGATAATTTTTTGGCCCACTTTTTATTAATCAAGTAACAAATATTTCGTTACCTCATGAACAGGGACCGTAACTCTTGTTTTAAAAAGATCTGGTTTGGGCTTGAAAAGTGTGAAGATGACTACTGTAGCCTATTTTCTAGATCATGATCTCTAAGAAATCTAGATCTAAAACTAGATCGATCTAGTCTAGATCTCCTGATCTATTTTAATTTAGCAGCATATGCAGCAGCAATCTAGAGAGTCTAGACTGCTTAATCAACAAAGTAGTTTAGTAGGGCCTACATTAAATCTAGATTATCTAGATCTAGAATTCTAGATCTAGAATTCTAGATCCACTCCAAACTCCAAACAATCCATATTAGTAGTACTACACATACACTGTCACTTACACTAGAATCTAGTGGTAGTTACACTACAACTACACTCACGTCACTAGGCTAGACTACTAGATCTAGATTTCTAGATCTAAAAATGTACTGTAGAGAGTAGAGTCACAGAGTGTGTAGAGTCAACACTCAACACAATCTATAAAATATTCTATAATTTCTCTAACAACTACTAGTGGTACTAGATCTAGTACTAGCTAATAGTAGTTAGCCTAAAAATTAAAAAAAATCAGTTAGGTTAGGACATCTAGCTAGTTTCTTGATCATATTTTTATTTATATAATATATCTAGATCTAGTAACTATTATACTATTCTATTATACTTATACTATAGAATAGCTCAGTGGAGCCATCAGATTCTAGTTCTAAGTCAATCTAAGATTAATCATTTCTTAAATTAATCTAAACAGATCTAGAAAGTTTCCAAGAAAGTAGATTAGCTAATACCTAGATTTCTAATCTAATCATTCTAATCTTACTAAATCTAGCTAGGTAGGTGACAGTAGGTGTCTTCACTTTACAACAGCTCAACATAGACTTTTCTTTATCTACCCTTTATTCTTTAAGTCTAGGAATCAGTCATGACCACATAGCATTTACTTGTCATTGCACCTTCAGTGCTAACAAACAGCTGTAGTAAATTTAATTAAGTTTTTGAAATCTTTCTGCTGTTTTTCTTTCCAATTTTATAATCAGCGTCCAAAATTAGATCAGTTTTAGGCTTAACAGTATTGTCTGTTATGAATCAGTATTTTGTTACAGAAATGAATGGGCAATGGACTGTATCATCACTGTCATTTGTCACTGATTGAGGCCCTCAGATATAACTAGTAAAAGACGAACACAGAAAAATTTATAATTAATATTTTCTTTTCTGATTACAGGTAAATGGTGGCAAATGATGGCTGTTAGGTGTCTCATAAGCAAGAGATGTCTGCATCAAACAATGTGCATTTCTTTTAGAAAAATATTTCGACACTTAAGATGCTTCTGGAAATTTATTGAAAAAAACAGATATAGAATCAGCATAGCTTTTTCACTGTTGTTTGCCATTTTAAACATAATTACATACAGTTGTGGTTGTCAAGGTGTGAAATCCTACCTTGACCCTGTACAACTGACTCATGGATATGTTCCTGTTTTTCCACATCACTATTTCCATAAACCATCCATACTAAATTATAGTGACTCCATGTCAAGGACTGAAAAGATTGACATTTACTTGCATAACCATGTTGCACAAAATATACTGGCTGAGAAGATCACACCTGTTGTTCATGTTATTTGGTGTGACAAAGGTCCATTTACTTTTACTCATTTCTTATCAGTGTTATCTGCTTTTAAAACCATCAGCCCATCTGTTTTAAATTTACATTTGATCAAAGAACCTGATCTAGATCCAGATGGGTATTTTCAATTTCTTCCTGACCTAGAGAGGGATCTTCCACCATTGGTGAAAAAGAAATTAGAAAACACAGATGCATGTTATGGAGATTATCAGGACAAATTATTAACCTATCTAAATTTGTTAGGTACTCTAGGCGGAGTGGTTATCGATGGCAGAACTGTTATTTCCCCATCTAAAGCTGTAAAATCCATGCTTAAAAGTAAAATCACTGTAGCTGTGCAGGCTAATGGCAGCTCTCAGCCATTAATAGTCATGGCTCAGTCCAATGTCTTGAAAGACATTCCTAGTAAATATAAGTTAAACTCTTATCTTGAGTCACAAGCTGCTGATTATTTAAAATGTGAGACAGTTAGGCTGTTTTCTATAGCCTCCATACATCCTTGTGCCTATGTTGATGAAGATATATTTCCCATCATCATTTTCAACAGTTCTTCAGATTTTGACCATCTTGCAAGATGGATTGCATATGGCACTTCAAAAAAACTTGTTTCTATGCCTGCTGAGAAAAATATTGTGCCAAATATTGTTCACTATGTTTGGCTAGGGGAACGCACCTTGGATTTTTTCTCATACCTCAGTTTGCTCAGCAGTCTCCATGTATTGAATGCTGATGCTGTCTACATCCATGGAAACTCAAAGCCTTTGGGAAACCTTTGGAAGGAAGCACAAAAAAACACACGAGTAAAATTTGTTAACAGAGATTTTCCTGATTCCGTTTATGGTGAACCAATAAAACTATACGCTTCACATGCTAGTGATTATCTTCGTGCTGATATTTTGTTGCGGTATGGGGGCATCTATGCAGATTGGGATGTAATCTTTCTTCAAAAACTCCCAACTTCCTTGAAGAGACACAATACTACAGCCAATGTTGACTGGCCAGAAACAGGAGCTTTCCCTGATGTGTTTAACCTAGGTGTGTTAGTGGCTGCACCAGGAGCTCCATATCTTAGGCATTTTCTTGAGTCTTACAGGTGGTATTTGGACAGGCATTGGTCTTACAATGCCATTCACATGCCATACAAGGTCTATGAGAAGCAACCTCATTCGCTGAACATAAACAGACATTTACAAGTAAGTGGTACTTTAATTTTGAGATTATTATTTGGTATATATTCTGGAAATGTTAGCCTTATAACTTATAGAATGAATTATAAAATTCTTTTGACTGCAAAATGGTTAAACAGTCATAAAATTGTCAACAGATTTTATGTGCAAATGATAAATGTCATGCCCCTTGGCTGAAAGATTACAAGACAGAGGAAGTTGACCATCTTAATTCTGGCCAGCTGAACTGGCACACTGATGCTTTGGCCATTCACTGGACTCATCCTGACCCTGTTGAGTTTAAAAGCAAAGAAAATCTGCTGCAGTCAACATCAATAACAGGCGAAATAGGAAAATTCGTTTTGAAAAAGGCTAAATTAATTTTATAGAGTTTTTGCCTACAAGTTGTAAAATAGTTTTAAATATATTCTACATGGAAATTTATCAATCAATGATTTTTAAAAAATGCTCATACATTCATGATCTCCATCAACAAGTCAAATGATGCTGCATTGGTGTGTAAACAAATGTAAACAATCAAAATAATTTGATATTATTTAATACATTGTATTTTTAAAATCCTTTTTGTTTTACTGAACTCCACATACATATTTATAATAGATCTAACAAAGTATAATTTGTAACTGATACCTTAAAAAACAACGAACAAAGTATTTTTCTTCATCATTTGGTTGTTTAAACCTTACTGCAGTGGCTATAGTCTTTTAGCCTTACATTTATTCATCCAGTTTCAGATTGTGCCCTTTTTTAAATTCCTTCCAAGATAGAGATAGATGTTCTGTTTTGGGTGGTTTTATTTTTCCAGTGCTTTATCTAATGCTGTCGTCCAGTTTTAAACCTTGGATGGTTGTGTAAATTCTTTTTCTCTTTGCCCAATAAGAGTACTCTTGTCAGCAGTGGAATACTGCATGCATTCCAGGTTGTTAACTCCTCTTGGCTAATTGCTTGATTTGCTGTTAGTCAAATTGCTAGAATCTTTTTAAATAAGCAATTTGATAATTTGATAAAATCTAGTGTTTCTTCAAATGGTATATAACTAAAGCAATGTTATTTTTATTGTATTATTTTTTTATAAAAGCAACATTATATGTATGTGTGTTCTCCATTACAGGTAAATGCCTTGATTGTTTCCATTAGGATATTGAGTAATTGTTTTGTATTCAGCATTCCTTCAGCCACAATTTTTATCAGTTTGTACTTTTTGAAATATAGTGGCTACTTATCTATTTAGAGCAATTAGTTTTGGAAATTTATAGAAGACAAATACTACTGATTTTTTAGTTATTAGAAAAATAAAACAAGTAAAAGCTAATTAGTTAATATAAAAAGTTCACTATGTCTACTAAATTGTCTTTATTTAGCAAAATACAGCCATGGTTTATAAATTCATTATTAAAACATGTATATCTTTGTTGATATTTGTAATATTTATAATTATTTGCATTGTGTAACCAAGTTACTTTAATCTTATTTGAATTTACAGATTATGTATTGAGGTTATATATTTATTCAATATAACCCACTATTATTATTATTTTCATTTTACAATTATTAAAGTAACCTTGACATATATTTTAAAGTGCTTTTTAAAACCTAAAATATTTAAATATATTTAAAATTGACTTGTAATAAATGGGTACATAATAATTTATTACTGGAAAATCTATCTTTTTAAAAAAATATTTATAACATTAAATTATTTTTTTATCAAAGAATCAAAGCTAAAAATCTGTAATGTATAAGTAAATTACAGTAATGCAATGTTTTTTGCTTTTCTGCAAAGTATCTGTTTTTATAAATAAGCTATGCAACAACAAATTATATTGTAATTGTATCAAGACTAATATTTGTACTTATGCAATATTCCTTTGAAATTTTAGGTCCATTTTGCTGGTGTACCTATCAAGTGATATAAGTTGTGACTCTTAAAAATCTCAGTCCATTCCTTTAGTTGTGTATTGCAATGTTACTGTGATTCAGCTGTATGTATTTTTTTACTTAACTTTTTATTATTAATCTTTTTACTAATTAGATGGTGAATTGTTATTAAAAATAAAAATGAATTTGAAACTTACGATTGCTTGATCAAGTTGCTGTCAGTGCTTAACTGACAGTTACATCCACACTTGGGAATGGCTAAAGGTGTTGAGAAGGGAACTACTGAATGTGTTTTAAAGCAAATATCTTATTAGAAGGATATGTAGTGTCAACTTCATTTAGAAAGAATGACTAAAAGTGAAAAAATAAAGCAGATATAAAAACCTCTTATAATAACAAGCTCTTAAAAAGCACTAAAAATAAGAAAATTAAACTAATTTGTTTCTTTGATAAAAGCTTAGGTTGCTAAAATAAGTTTTATTAAAGAAAGCAAATTCATTTTATTTTCTTATCTTCAGTACATTTAAAAGCTCATTATTATAAAGGTTTTCATGTTTGTTGTCTCTAAAATAATAACTGAGCAGGATTAACATTGAGTATACTATTAAGTAAATCTTGATTTTTTTGCAGTTTAAAAAAATAAATCACTGACACTTTAAATGGTTTGTGTTGTCCAGCACTTTTAGACCACCCCAAGGTGTGAAGTCAGTAGGACAACTCCCATGTAATGTGTTGTCATTCAGTGTCAAATTAAAGCTACATTTTCCTAATTTGTTACTTGTTCACATAGGTGATCAGTAAAGTGAATGGATGCCTGGTATACACTCTCCATCCAATATATATGAACTTAATTTTTTTTTTATATTTGACATGAATTACTTACACTTGTTTGATTTATAGGCAAACAACCAGGGAGTCATACTAAATGTTGCAATGCAAAATATTAACCTAAAACATGAACAATATGTGATCTATTAGGCCCTTTAGAAATAAACAAAAAAGAACACAGACTTTCTATTCTTAAATAACTTTTTATTTTTTTAGTTCATGGAAGATTTGATCATCAATTATATAATATGGGCAATAAAATGAAACGATGTGGAAATTCACATATGAGATAGAATGAAATGGTTTTCAAATATAAAACCTGGAGAAAGAAATCCAACATCTAAGATGCAGCAAAACTTTACAATAAAGAAACATAACTGCATCTCTGAATATGGCAAACATTTAGCCATATGCTCTTGTGGTTAAAAAAATTAAGAACAAAAGCTCAACAATGAACAACAAAGAACACAATTTAAAATGAAAACAAGACAAATGAAGATATTAGAGACAACAAATGTACACATGACACTTTAAATTGAGCAAACCTGCCAATATGAATTGCTTATCTCATTTTCAACAAAGAGAACAGTAATGCATCTAAAGCTACAGATCACAATAAGCCACAAAGACATTGCTTAACAATTGAACTCAAAACATTGTGTAAACAATGATTGAAAGATATACTCAAGTAGATAGTTCAGGTATTTCCAAAGAATAATTCAGAATAATGACAGAACAAATTGATCTACAAGAAAGTGGGTATAAGCATGAGTGTAATTTGACGTAAAAGAATTATTTACTTAACTGAAGAATAATGCTAACATTCTAGATACGTCTACAGTAAAAGCAATTTTCATAATTACTAACTTTCTTACTGAAAAAAAAAATTACTTAGTATCTTTCTTTTATAAGTACTATTTATTAAAACAATCAGACTTCACAGATTAATAACTGATAAAAAAAAAACTGGGCCCTTATCATTGATAGATCATATTTTATTTATGTAAAATTAAATTGTTTACAAATCGTTATTTTGAGTGAACATTTATATACAATCTATATAAAAAGAGTATAAACAACCAAGCTAAAATCATTCATCAACAAGCTTTACTATATAAGATTTTTTTTGTATAAGAACATGAACACAATATTTTCAAATGTTTTTTTTTTTGCAAATTAGAAAGCAGTTACTTAAAGACCAATATACATCAAATAAAAATTTTAGGAAACATTTGCATCAGTAACATTTGACAACTTAATTGCACTGTCTTACTAAAAATTGAATTTTAATAAATTATAAAAGAAACTGTAGCCACAAGTGCAAAAATATTATTAGATAGTACAATTCTTTTACTACAAGTCTTTTCAGTTAAAAGTAATAGCTATTGTAATGCATTTTCTTCTTCAAATTGAACTTTTTTCTAATTTACCGACTAATCATAACAATTAGCTAAACATCAGGAAATATCTGTAAATTGCAAAAATAAAAATGTGCAGCTCAGACTACTGTGCTTCTGGCATATGAAGTTATGGTGTGTGAAGCACTACACTTTGCTGATTTTAATTTCCAACAGCAGATGTCTCAAGCAATTTTGTTGTTGAAAGTGACCTTCTTCAATAGAGTTCACTAGCATAACTTCACTACACAGCACCATCATTATACCTTCTCACAGTCCTAAAGCCTTTCACAATTAACAACAATATTCCAACATTAGAACAGTTCCATTTTGACCCCTTAATGGTTGTGGCTAAGAAGATAACTCTGTCATTTATACTAAAATTAGATTGTTAAAAACTCAAATGTACTATAATGTGGCAACACCAGTTTTCAAGATCAGGAAATTCTACCCTTGTAATTCATAAAAATTATAGTTCAATGCAATTAAACTTTTAAAAATAAATACGCTAACTTATGTTAGAAAAAAAAAAATGGATAGAAAAGTATATAAATTTTAAAGTAGATAAATATATATTTACACACAAAATACCACTATTCAACTTCCATATTTAGAGGGTGAAAAGAAAAACTTGTCTGTGTTATTTTCCATATAGTGTATCCAAAACCCAAATTTTTTGAAGAAAGTATCCGGCTGCTGCTAACAAAGTAGATAAGTTGGATAGTGGAATTTATAGTTGTCAACAAAAAGAAGTTAATGGTGTGAAGCATTGCTGATTCCATTTTATTGAATTGTTTCTTTGCCAAATAGAAATGCTTGCTGTATAGCTGTGTTGAATCATCAGATATGCAGGAGTGCTCAATTTACTAGTGTTGCATTAACAACAATCAAACAACGGGGAAAACAAACTGTTGAGATAAATAGCAAACACCACTCAACCAATAAAATCTGGGTCTTCATCACTGTCATCATCTTCATCACTACCCAGACGCTTTCTTTTCTTCCTTTTCTTTTTTACAGTGGGTGTTCTATGACCACCAGAGGCCAAAAGTTTATGTGTTTTATGTGATGAATGATGACTTTTCTTCTTTTTGTCACTGTGAGGATGATGATGATGATGATCATAAGAGAAATTGGATAGTTTTGGAGATCTTGATGTTGAGGAAGGATTTTCCTGAAAAATAAATACAAATGTTTGAACTAACATACTTGTAGATAAGCCAAGATAAGCTATTAAGATAAGCTATTATTACAGAAATAATTGAGGACACAAAAACTTACAGACATTCCTGGAGTGGAATTGGCCTGCAGCCTATCACTTTCAGGATTTCCATCAACAACAATGGGTTCACCATTTCTACCCTCATCACTTTGGTGGGATGGAGATTTTGAAGTACCAGGTGTAGCATGTCCACCACCCCTCGCTTCATCTCCACTTTCTTCATCCTCATTGGGATCTATGCTCATCATTAAGTCTCTAAACTGTGATTTTAAAATATTTAATAGTATTATTTAAAATAATAATAAATGAAAGAAAAAAGGCAAGTTACACTTATAGACTTGTCAATCAATAAGACAGATAATAATTAGGGTTCATCTGTCAATTTAAGAGTAGTGTGGACAATTGTATGTCCAACTGCCTTTCCCTAAATAAGTTCCAAGTAATGCCTACCAATCAAGACTTTAAACTTCTTAACATATTAAAAAGTGACATATTGATTTTAAAAAATACCTCCAGATATTCTTGAATCATCTTTTGCCTTTTCTCTTCATCTGTTCTAGTATCCTCTTCATAAACTGACTGCAAGACCTTTAAAGTGTGTTGGGGCTCAAATATTGGCATGGCTTTGCGATTTAAAGGTTTTTCATAAACTTTTGCTGCCTCTGTTGGGGAATATCTATGAATTTTGCTGAAATAATTGATTAGTTTTTTTTAAATAGATAATTTATAAATATTGAGATTTCATTGAAATTACTTAAACTATTGTGGTTTAAACATAATTATTACTAAGTGATAACTCTGTATTTAATGTGATAAAATGTGTGTATTCTTAAAAATGTAAACACAGTTTATTTTTTAAGCACACTCAATTCTTTAATTTATTAAATAAAAATTTTAAATTAAAACTAAATACTGAAAAGATTTGGTGCAAAAAAAAAATTACCCCTCTGTAAGGCCATACATCTCTTTGAGATGTTGTTTTAGCACCAATAACAGCACACATCCTTGTGATAAATGCATCACATCCTCAAGAGGTCTGATGTTTTCAGGAAGCTTGTCTGTGTAGGAATAAAACATGCAATAATTTAAGCTTAACCTGAAAAATAGATTTAATTGTTTATAAAAGAAAATAATTTTAGATTCAATTTTATTTGATACACATTTAAAAATTCTTACTTAATAATGATTCAGGGTCATCATCGTCATCTTCATCATCAACGGCACTTACATTGCCATTAGGCAAGTTCTCACCACTTACACCATTCTGTTCCCCTTCCTTAACATGTTTGTGAAGTAAATTCTGCAAAAGTAAATTTTAAATCAAGCATGAAATTAGTAAATTTTTCTTGGATCTGACTCAATACACTCTGTGTAGTTCTTGTGAATTGCAATTTAAGTTTCACACAATGTTTGTACCAATTAACCCTTTATAGGCCTATGCACCAACGGTCACCAACTATGTATAGTACATTTGTTTACTTATTAGTAGAATTATCACTGGTAACGGGAAATGTTTAAGTTGTATTTTGTTTACTTGTTGTTCTATCAGTAGTGTTACGGGTCAGTTGAGGTCAGGCTAGAATAGGGTAGAATAGTCTCAAACTTAGGGGAGAGTGCGTGTGTGAGTTGAATTCACCCTAGAATATTGTTAACCCCGGTGTGTTTATGTATTGTTATCCCAAGGTCGAATGCAGTATAAAAGCGGAGAGTGAATGATTGTCAGGAGTTAGTTGCTAGCGATTATGGCGAGGGCTACACTTGAATGTATTTGAGATGGAATAAAAGTACTAAACGTAGTCACGAAGAGTTGTCCTTTACCTGAAACCAACCTGGACGTAACAAGTAGTGTTTCATTTTATACGTTTCTCATGAGCTAAGAATTTTTTTTTTAAATTACAGGCAATATAAATAGTTTAATATCTTTTCTGTATTTAACATTTTAATAAAATTTAAAAATTTTTTCCAACATTAAATTTTACTGCAATTGCGAAGATCCATTAACACTCTTTTTTAATTTAACGATAATCTTATCTTATTAGAGATGGATATAGTATCTGTATTTTTTAAATGTCTTCAATATTTAAGAGAATGATTAAAATTTAAATTAAGTTCATGTGGTTGACAAGGAGATAGACCAGAACAGCCTTTGACTGCTACACAGTCGAAGTTCACATTAGTTCAGAAATCAGTAGCACGAGTCACAGCTTGAGTAGGCCCTATTAGCTATAAGAAACTGCCAGTGATGTAACTTTTATTTTTCCACAAAGAAGCAGTATTAAATAAATACTCTGGGAAAATTTCAATAACTGCCAAAACCCTGAGGTCACATCCCAGACTTAGCACAAAAGCAAAAATGAAATAAAAAGAACATATTAAATTGGTGAAACATCTATAAATGCACCTTTGTCAACAAAAAAGATAATTACCTCTCTAAATGTCTGCAAAAGGTTTGAGCCTGTTACAGAGACAATGATATCTGTTTGATGGATTATGAATAAAGGTTCATCCTGGGACTGGTATGCAAAATATGCCAGATTATCCGCAATGTAGACTTGCTCTTCAAGGGAAATTCTCTAAAACAATGAATGATATTGGTTAACTTGTTTGTAGTAGACAAAATAACTGCATAAAACTGCAAAAAGATATTTCTTTAAAATTATTGATGAACATGGACAAGTTTACAAGATAAGCATAGGCTACATCAAAACCATACAAAAATATATTTATTAAAATTATTTACAGCAGAATCATCAAAAAGGTTGAGTATTGAAGTAAGCAGGCCTCTTCTGTGAGATCTGTTTGACCGCAAAAGGGAATATAGGAATGCATTGAGAGCTTGCGGTTGATTTTCATCATTAAATCTGCGGCCCCTGACGGGTTCCATGGGGTTGTTTGAATGAAACACTTTCTGAAGTCGATATGATGCTTTCATGCCTTGAAGTGCTTTCATCTGAAAAATGATAAGACAATGTATACTTAGGAACTCAATGCTACTAAAAAAAACACAAGTAAATACAATATTTATGATGCTCCTATACATTTCTTTGATTTTAATGCTGTCCTCATCAAGTGTAACTTTTAAATGTTTATAAAAGAATATTAGGCAAGTTTTATTTTAACATTCACTTACATGAGTAAAACCAGGATATTTTTTCTCTATTTCCTGCAATTGCTGATCAGCTTTCACTCTAATGGCTTGCTCATTGTCAGAACCCATGCTAATTAAGTAGGGGATGCACTGAAAATATTTTAAAAACTTTCTGAATAACAAATTAAAAATATTGCTTTAATAAATAAAAACTGAAAAAACTTAAACTTTTTGAATAACGACATAACATGTCGACTTCTGAACAAATTTTTACACTTTCTCTTCGCGTAAACGGTCGCTTTGGCATTTTTTAATCTGTTTTTAAAAAATCAGTTAAAAGGTTCTATATTATGTAAAATATTTAAGATAATATTTTAGCAATCAGAATCAAATGTTAAGTTGTAAATTTTTAAATATTAGAAATAATATTGAGGCACTCCATGGCGGTCTCAGACCACTTGGTTGCATCCTAAACTCACTCTAAACGATAAATACTATTAGAAAAACATATTAAATTATTTATTTTCTTAATTTAATAATTATATTTTGTGCCTTATAAATAATTAAATGATACTTATTTCAAAACAATGTCAAAGAAAAGTTGGTGGTTACCTCCCTTAGCTTAGGGACTGGGGAAGGATTTTGAGATAGGCTTAAGTAGCAAATGAGTTAATAAAGGAAAACTTGATAAGCTACTTGTAGTTATTTGTTGGCTAAAGACAGATAAGAAAGTCTGTAAATAAACATTGTACGTGTAAAATAGGTTATAACAAATGTGATGGTAAAATACTAAGAAAATAGAGAAAATCAGACTTCTTGATGTTTTATAGGAGAGCAACCAAAATATTTTCAAATTTAGATAGTCATGCTCACCAGTCATCCCTTACTCTGTAACACCAATTAAATAATAAGTAGTTATGCAAAGCTTAAAAAATAGCACTACACAAACCTGGACGGGATGGACTAGACCTTGTTTGAGGACAAGGGTCACGACATTTAGTGCAGTCAACCTAACTTGTGAATTCTCATGAAAAAATGCCTCCATTAATTCCTTAAGATAGACTTGCATCACAGTACTCGCCATTCTAAAAAAGTCATTTTTTAAGTTTCAAAATTAAAATGTATATTTAAAACATAAATAATTCAATGTAATAGTACATGAGCATTTTGCACAATAACTGGCAAAGATGAATAGAAAATAATATTAAATGAAACAGATCATGTGCACTTTCAAAATAATATTTTGCATGTCTAATACATCTTTATTTTAATTTACTTAACTTGTTAAGAAAAATTGCTTTGTTAAGTAATAATTGCTTTATGAATATTACTTACCCTGATTGAACATCACCCATTTCTTTAAGATCCTCTTTTTTGGAATGTTTCTTCCCTTAAAATAAATACAGGCAAGAATTACACAAATGAAACCCACTTTTATTTGAACATTGAGGGAAAAAAAATCCTAAGAAGTTTTTTGGTCACACTAAAAAAGCTTTTTTTGGGGTTTATTATGGTATTTAAAATTTCACTTTTTACTTTCTCGTATATACGAAGTATAGAGAAAGTCTTGTAATCGTGCAGAAAAAAAATCAATATCGAGATTTTTACAAATTTTGACGTTTTACACCTCATTGATACGGAAAAACATAATTTTGCAATCTTGTCCGTATGTCTGTCTGTGTGTAAATACGATAACTTGAGTACTGTTAAAGCTAGGTTGATGAAATTTCATATATAAGTATTTTATCAAAATCGTAGATCCATATCAACTTTTGAGTGGTTTCCGATTACCGGAAGTGGTACTTTTTCTACTTTGAATTTTTCAAAAGCCTATAACTTGAGTACTACTTCAGATAGATCAATGAAATTTCACATGTAGGTAAAAGATCTAATTCTCTACCTTCTATCAAATTTTGACTAAATTTCCGTTGACCGGAAGTACTAATTTACGCTAATTCCGATTTCTCAAAAAAACGCATGTTAATTTAAAAAGTACTAATAATATTGTGCACTATTATGCACATTTTGTTTTGGCGTTCTCTTGGTGTGCAATTCTTTTTTCTACGAGATTCTATACTATTTTTAAAAGTTTAAGTAATTAAAAATCATGACTATATTCTGAGTTATATAAGAATATTTGAGAAAGTTTAGGGGAGATCACTCCCGGTTTATTTAAAACTATGTTGACTTACAATCAGCATCAGACTTGGACATTTGAAGCTCTTCTTCTGTCAAGTATACTTGCAAATTTCTCAGTACCTGAAGGATAAATTATTGTTTCATAAATATAATTATCTCAATTGAAATTAAAATCAGAATAAATAACACGGTAATAGCAGACAAGTATAATCATACCTGACACCTAAGTTTTACTGATGCTTTATCATCTGTCAAAAGCCTTGTGTATAAATCCTTTAGTATTGGCCCCAACATAAACGAATAGTGCCTGCATGCAAAAAAACCTAACAAGAAATAGAAGATTTTGAATGAATGTTTATTTTATTAACAGCAAATGATGCTATTGCTTTTACAATGTTTTTCTAGGCAAACAAATGTTAAGCAATTGTATGACCAAATGAAAATAATACATACCAACTGCTGTCAATGCCTTTAGTTGCACATCTTCATCCTCATGTCCAACAAAATACATGAATACATCAAACACAGTTTCTCTCACACAGATCTGAGATATAAGAAAGTTTAATCACAGTAACCTGTCTCAAATATCTAAGCTAGTTTAATATGGAAAAATTTTCAAATGCAGGTATTCAAATTAAATTATAACTCACTTTAGCTTCACCAATGTCCTTTGAATCTAAATCAAAATGTTTGCATAAGAGTCCAACAGTAAACAATGCCCTTAGAAGTGTTGGCCTTCTTGTTTTTAATGTTGGACAGTCTTTATTAGTTTTGTGATCTAACATTAATCTGGCCAATACACCTAAAGAGAAAAAAATGTAATTGAAAGCCCAGCCTTAATAATAATAATAACAGTTACAAGCATGTTATAAATGTATCTAATCCCAAAGTTTTAATTATAAAATATATTGTGTCTCTTACCGTAAAACTTTTTGAAACAGTCTCGGACTAATTCATAATTATGGCTTACTTCATTCACAACAGCTCCAAGACAACTTACACAGCTCTGCACTACCTGTAAGGAAATAGGATTGTTTTTAATAATGAAATAATTAACTTTTTTTAAAAAATAATCTTATAAAAGTAAGCTTACCATCATCCCATGCTTAAAAATCAGTTTAACCATATCTTCTTCTACTTGGGCTAAAAATGATTCACTTGGATGATCCATTAAGGGTATGACAAGCTCAAGAATGCGGGCTACATAGTGAAGGACCATAACGTCTCCCTGAGTCTGTAACAGCAATACATAATTAAATAATTACTATTACACAATTTTATTTTTTAAAAGCAATTTTCAGTTAATATTTGTAATTTAAATGGAATGGGTTAATAGTTAGAAAATTTCTCACATTGCACTTAATGTCAAGATAAGGCTGAAGAGTAGTTGCATGTTCCACCATGAGATCTGGTTTAATTTTACTGAACAAATGCAGTGTTGATAGACATCCAACAAGACGAGCACTTATTGTTCTTCCTTCAGATTTTTCTATAAAAACGAGATGTTTAAAAAGTACAGTTCTACAGTTCATACTAAAAATCCAATGGATTCAATTGTTGGCAAAGTTTAATAAAAATATAAATCTAAAAATACACTTACCAACACTTTTTTCTTCTATCCTTAAGACATTCTCTACAAGGCAATCAACTATCTGCTTACAAGCTGTTATTGCTGCTTTATTATAATTTCCCTCTTCATCTTTCTTAAGCAACTGTAGATAGATAATAAGGTTGAAGAGAAAATGTATCTCAAACAAAATTTAAAAATAAAAGTCAACAAATAGAAATAAATAATGTTCAAAGGAAAGATTGCTTTAAAAGGAATCTACATGAATATGAATTAATTCTGGCATTTTACAATAATGCAGCTTTATCCAAGGTCTACACAAATTATATGGAAGCAAAGATTATTTGTTCATCTACACTTTCTAAAGAATACTTCAGATGCACTCTTTCTCCATACAAACTAACATTGAGTATAATAGAAAATAATTCCAAAATGTCAGTCATGTTACTCAACTATTTTGCACATGCTAGTTGTTTTTAAGAAATGGATAAATAACCCAAATTGTGAAATTTTTTCATCAACAATCTGCAATCTCTAAAACATTTCATGCAAAAAAAAAATTGCTTACATTTTCTAGTAATTGCTCAAAAAATTCATAGCTGGTGTCTTTGGCAGCAGCAACCTTAAAATAAATTTTTTGAAACAGCAATAGAATAATATCTTCCATAAATATTACATGCAAGTGAAATCTTTATTGATGAACATTTTACACTTACAACATCTGTGATGTTCATTACTTTTTGAACCAGTTTTTCAGTGTCCTTATCACGTGATCCTAAAGGTGTAAACCACATAGTTTGAAAGACTTCATTCACTAGTTTCTGTTTGAAGTAAAAATCATACAACAAGTATTAGCAACTGGTTAAAATAGGTTTCAATAGCAGTATTGACTCCTTTTCGAACATGACAGTCCATGGGACAAGTGAAGTAGAGTTCACCTTTTTCTGTGTTGGGTAGTGTGGCTAAAACTATGCACAGCCACTTTAACATTCCTTAATATGAATTAGATACCCAACAGAGCATGGTGGACTCGGGGACAGTCTACTGACTTTATTTTTAAAAAACTATACCTTGGTTCAGTAAGATTTCTATAATAATTCAACAATTTGAAAAGACAATAGAAGATATAAGCTATAAATATATATTTTTTAATGGGATACATACCTTTATGCCCTCTTCATCATTGACTCTTCTGATCATTTTAACACACATCTCAGGAATTTTAGGAAAATCAGTATGTTCCACACAGATGTCTTTGAAAATGCGTATAACCCTCTTTCTAACACTTATTCCTGTATCCTAAACAAAAAAAATATCAAAATTAATGTTTTTTCTTTTTAAATAAAATAATGTTAAAGATCATTAATTGCATTGGAGCTAATTTTAAGAACTTTTTTTTGGAATACTCTAAAATTGTATACTTTTATAAATTGTTTATTACACAAATATATTTCAACAATGTAAATTGATTATTTGCAGAATGAGGGCATTTTTTAAAAAGTTGTTTCTTACCAAAATTCTATCAGAAAGCATGTCATAGTAATTTGGAATAAGGTCAGGTTGAATGAGGATGAACTTTCCCACTAATTCAATTGCAGCTTCTCTAACAGATGTTGACTGATCAAGAAATCTGCCATGAACTCCCCTTTGCATGTCAGACTAAAAAGAATAGAACACTATTAAGTTAAAACAAAAATATAACTGTAGAATACTTAGCTACAAATGTTATCTTTTTCATATTTCTTAGCATTGATTAGTAAGAAAAATGAAAAAAAGAAACAAGTGCCGGCAAAGGCTTAATAATTAAGTAAGTTTGAAAATTATCAATTAGGGCCACCTACCCTGGCAAGGATAGCTGGGTCAGCTTCAACAACAGCTGTAAGGCATTTCATGGCTTTAGTTCTTACTGCTACTGCTGTTTCACGCAAAACTTTTAAGATCTATTGATGAAATAAAATAAAAGATTTTTCAAAAAGGCTTTATTTATAAGTCATGGTAAATTGTAAAAACCAAAAAGTGTCAACCAAAAATTTAAAAAACTGTCCATCAAACAAAACAATACCTGTGTTAAATAGATATCAAAGCTTTGAGCAAACGGACGCTTGGATGATAAATATCTTGCAACTAAACAAGCACTGTCATAATCAAGTTTGGCACCTGCATATCTGAAGAGAAAAAAACATTTTCCTGAATTAAAAAAGTTTAGATACTTTTGGTTTGAGCCATATTAAAAATATCCTTCAGACCCAACAGCCCCGGAGGCAGATAAATTAGAGATCACCAATTTCACAGACTGCATATGAAACGATTTTGTCAGCACAATGGTCAACTAATTTTACACCCCCCCCCTCCCCATCAACCTGTGAGCCAAATTCTGGACTGAGGAAAATAAGTGTCCTACCATCCTGTCATGCAGCAGTTTTAAAACAAGCCTTTAGTGTTAAGCAGTCAACCCGGTATATATCATAAGCATTTTAGCATAGGGGAATTTCTACTCAGAAGGCCAAGGTTTTATACACCAGTATAAACAATTTAATTGTCAAATTGTGCAACCAACCTAAAATCCCACTGCTACTTAAAAATCTGAATTGAATTAGGTATCCATTACAATGAGGTGGACTAAAAAACTGAGAATAGGAAATTTCAGCAGGTGAACAGTCACTATCTACTATACAAAATAAACCTAAATTTTAAAAGGACAATCATACCTTATATTACCAATAGGTTTATTGTAACAAGAAATTTGAGAGCAAAGAAACACTTTTCTTTTCTCTGCATTCTGCATACATTCTGTTGAGGTTTCTTCTTTAGTTTCATTAAAATCTTCATCTTGCTCTTCGCCTGAGGTATTAAGCTGTGCTTTTAATGATTTTTCAGCTTCAACAGTTGTGTCACGGAACCACTGGGCTATGTAGAATTGTCTTGCAAACTAAAATATATTTTGTATATATTAACAATAAAACAAGTACTTTAAAAAAAAAGATACAATGTAAACTATCATCAAGCGCATAATCAGACTTACAAATAATGCTGATTCACTTTGGGCATTGTAAGCAAGATACTCCAGCATCGCTTGCTGAAGCCTCTCTGTAATATCAGGAGTTCCTTTTTGCTAAAGAAAAATATAAACATTTAACACAATTTATATAGCCAAAATATAAACAACGTACAGTTCTAAAAAAAAACAATTATTGTTAGTTTTTATTTACCTCAGACTTTTTACTTTTGCTAGGAGTTGCAGAATCTTCATCATTATTCTCACTAACCTACAAATTTGACAAAAAAATAAGGTACAATTTAATTTAATGTAGAAAAAAAAAGAAGTATGAATTTAAAATCAGAGATTCACAAGTTGACAAATATGGAAATGAAAGTAATCTTTTTCAGTATTAAACTATCGTCTTTTCTTTGCAGGCCTTTAAAAGTAAAGAGTCAATTATAATTTTAACTTTTCAGTTTATGAGATAAAAGACTGACCAGATAAAATGAAATTAGGGCCTACTATACAATGCTTGACAAAAGGAAACATTTAAGGCAATAACTTGACAGAAACACATTATTTATGCTTATAGTAGAATAGATTTTGACTGCAAATACATATTGTAGGTATTATATTTTTAATCGCAAATAAGACCAAGTCAAGGGGTCACTGTAAGTTCATTAGTTAAGAAATAAAGTCTTCTAACATGCCACAGCAAAAACAAATGCTATTTGAGATTGTTGGTGACGATTTTTCTTTGGTACAAGAAGGGGTGGATTAGTCTTCTTTTCTGAGAAATTTTACAGGAAAAAATTTCAGATTCTAAAATATTTGATGAAATCCCTCTGTAAAAGTTTAAGATAAAGTCATTACCTTTTGTACTATATCAGCAATGACATCTTGGTTTAACTGACTGGTAACTGCATCCTTCCTTAATCTTGCTGCAACAATGCCTAGATACTCCAAAGATGCAACACGGAGAGACATATCCGTTGCTTTACTACTAAACTGCTGTACCTTTAAAATTGTTAATGTTAATATTTACTTAAAGATGCAGAAATCAAATAAATCAACATGCTTGAAGGTAATCATATTTGTATATATCAATATTTTTTAAAGAGGAAAAGTAGAAATGTAATTACTAAAAAAGATATTTTCTCTAAAGTATAGCTTAAAATATACCAGATGTTTTATTTTTAAAATGGCGAGTTACTAAAGGTCACAGTGTAATTATAGTGTTCTCTTTTAACTTACTAAGATTCGTCCTAAAAGACTCAAGAGCAGCTCTGATGCTGGCCACTCAGGTTTATTTACAGTGGTCAGCAAATCTTGAACAAAATTCTCAAATAATGGCCGATAATCTTCTTCACCTTTAGTTGTACATCTTGATAATAAAATACAATTTTTTCACTATTTTAATAAATTAAAAAAGAATGATAAATGATATTTAAGCTTTTGAAGAAGTACAAGAGACATTTAATCTGACATAAAAATGAGCTACTTAAAAAAAAAATTTAACTTTAATTATTGATTCACAGGATTTAGGAGCACAAAAATAAGTAAAAAAATTACCCATACTTACTTCTTCAAAAAAACAGATAAAAAGTTGTAACCTGTCCTCATTGCAGTTTCATATGATGTGACAATTAAAACATCATTATCACTTTTTGTGAGGGAACCCTTTAACAGAACATTTTTAAAACATAATTAGTGATATAGAAGTTTTCATGCTTTGAAATTTATAAAAATGATTTTAAACTACCATAATCAATAGTTTTTATAAAGAGTTTTTGCAAGAAAAAAGTAAACCTCTTCTGCTGTAGTCTTGTTCTTCTTTTGTTTTTCTTGTTCACCCTTTTCTTGTTCATCTTGATCAGCTTCGGGTAATTTTACTACACACTGGATTAGCTGTAAAGCCAGAGCTGTCACCATTTGTATAGATTCATCAGAGTTTAACCTAGGAAAAACGTGTTCACAATTGCAATAATTAAAATGTATCATTTACTCAAAATGAATAATCTTGAAAAACAAAATGGTGCTGGTTATAGATATTTTTACACTTTAAAGCCTGCTAAATGCCAAAGCACAGAAATTACTAAAAGACTATAACTATCTTATAAACATTGATCCAAGGTGATCAGTTTAATAAAGAGGAAAAAGAACCAAACAAATGATACCAATCTACATAAAGTAAAGGTTATTAATTATAAAAACCTAGTAAGTGAAAAGATGATACATAATTTAAAGTTTAAAATGCCAAATATTTCTTTTAAATTTCATCAAAAAGATGTTTAATTTCCAGAAAAGAAACCATTTCCAACAAAAAATTAAAAACTTTATGGTGTGCTTATAGTTTTACCTGTAATTTCTAAGATTTCTTTTGCTTGATGGAAGTCTAGCTAAGCTAGCAAAGATATCTTCTAAGATAAGCTGCCTATGTTTTGAATACCGTGAGAATACCTATGAAGATAAATATGAGCAATTATTCTAACTAATGTCACAAAAATTTGGTGTATAGAAACGCATTGTTAGGCAGGACAACAAAAAATATTGAATTTTAAAATGAAATAAAATAGCAGAAAATGTACAACAAATTTTAAAATCATATACAGTATGTGATAATGTGCATAATTCATACAATAGCTCAGCAATGCATTTTGTGCAATAGTTAAAAGCGATGTATCATTTTAAACAATAGTAAATTCACTATGAAAATGCCTATAAGCAAGAACTTACTGTTGTCACTAGTTTCATTGCATTTAACTGAAGTTCACTAATATTTTCTACAAAAAAGGTAGAAACTCCTAAAGATGAAACCTGAAACGTTTTTAAAAAACAAACTGAACAAAGTATCAACAGAAAATAGTAGATCTCTATAACTTTGAATTATTGAACATTAATTAAGGCCATTTACTTTTAGAAAAAAAGAAAAATTCAAGATGAAGATAAAAAAAAATTACTAATATTTTTTACCTGTAAAATTACTGTATCTGTTAACTGTTGAATTTCTAATAGTGAAGCTAATGCACTAACAAGCTCACACATTTTATTGTACAATGTGATAGTTGATTTATGTTTGACTGATCCAGCTCTTGCACGTTTGGCTTTTAAACTGCCATGATACCCATCTGAAATTTTTTTAAATTGAATCATGCTGATATAATTTTACCATAGTTCTAGAGGCTTATTTTTAACTTTCAATTAGTGTACTTAAAAACTATACTGATGATTAGTGATTTACCTTTAGCTTTAGGATCAATTTTGTAAACAGGATCAAACTCTGGATAAATTGTATTGTGCAATTGAAATTTAGCATAGAGTATTATCCTTTCAATAACATCTTCTAAATAGACTTGTTTTGGCATATTTCTTCCAGTCATTACTGACAATGCAGTTAATGATGCATCCATACTACGCATTACCCTGTCCATGGTTAGTTCTCTCCATAATTTTGACTCTTCCTCATCTTCTTCCTATAATAGAATAGTAAAAATGTTTATTGATTTCAAATCTACAAAAATAAAAATAATCACCTAAAATTAATTTTAAAATGTCAAATTGTTTAAACATTGTTTCTTTGTTACCTGATTAATATTTGGAGTAACTTTACAACCATCACGAACATTCCAAAGCAAAATGGTCAGCAGTTTTACTAAACGTTCAGGTGGAATCTAAAAAAAAGGGTTTTAAAATCTATTAGCTAGCAGTGGATTTAAACAAATATAATGAATTTAATTCTAATATCAAAGATAATACCTGACTGAGTGCATTCATAGCTTTTAACTTTGCAGCTTCTCCACATAAGTCAGTGAGAACTCCTCTAGAAATTAGTGATTCTGGTGGGCATTCAACATCATCACTATCTGTAAACAAGAAAAATTGTAAATAAACAATTTAAGCCTGTTAGAAATTTTTTAGTGCTAGGATCTCTGATAAAAATTTCATTCAAATGAGAATCATAAAATGATAAACATTCATAGTAAAACGGCACCCTTGCAGTATCTGAAATAGTACTTTGTTGCAGAAGCTGTAAATATTTTCAAGCCAAAAATTGTTTAAATCAAATTTTACCTTTATCAATACTAGCAAAATTAGCGTCTTCAGCACAATCAAATACCAGATCTACGCAGCTGTTAAATTTCTTGAATATAGGACTATCCAGTAGATCTTCCAAACTAACAATTGGCTGCAAAAGCCTTTTCTTGCTTTGTTTTTCTTTCTTTTTCATGCGTGCATCTGATTAAATGAAATTTAAATTATGCATTTATTCACACATTACATATACCTGGTAAATAAAAGGTCAAAGCAATTCATATAAAAAGAAAAAAAAGGTAATAAACAATAACTTACTATAAGCTTCAATGTCTTCTTCAATTTCAACAAATTCTGACAGTGAAGATGCATCATCACTCTCCACAGAATTACGCCTCTTTTTCACTAATAAAGTTTTTAAAAAAATATTTTTACTTCATAAAACTATCAAGCCCAGTTTATATTAAAATAAACAAGATTCAAAATGTCTATTTACCTGCCCTATTTTTATATGTATCATCGGAGCGTCTGTTCCTAGAAGCTTGAAAAGACATGTCACCTGGTCCTGCAGTTCTAGAGATATTGTAACTAGTTTCTTCTCTTTTTCTCTTACGAGATTCAGTATCACAGTCAGTTTTCACTTTAGAAAAATTATATACAATTCAATTAAATTATGTATCACCGTTTACTAAGTTTAAACAGTCAGTAAGCTAATATTTGTAGACCATTTGATAAACTTAAGAGATATTTCAAAAATTTTTTTTCTGAAACAGTTATTGCTAGCTCATACAGGTATAATGATTCAATAAATTCAAACAATTGCCTACAAATATTTCTGTAATTTCTGAAGACCTCTTCAAAATAAAAATAAATTATTAACCTACCAGAGCCACCTTTTTGGATAGACTTTAACGTCTTGAGAAATGAACATGAAAATAAATAAAGCACAGATTAAAATAAAGCCATAATTAAAAATTCTTAAAGAGCAATCCTCTTTAAAGTTAGCCAAGTTTTAAAAGGCAAAAATAATTACCAGAAGAAATAATTTCTTATCATAATTGAAAAAAAAAAAACTTACAGAGGGATCTAACATTTCCAACATGACAACTGGTTCATTTTTTTTCTTGGTCTCAATGACTTTTGATTTCTGATATGGTTCAGGATTTTTTATTGATGTGCTTGCTAAGTGTGGAGGTAAAGGCAGTTTGCTTATACTTGTGTTTATTTTATCACCAATGTCATTTAACACGATCACAGGCTCAGGGAAAATAGAAACTCCATGAACATTAGTCCTGTTAGTCATAACATCTGACATTTTCTGTACAGGTTCCTGAGATTTTAAGCCATGAAGATACTGTTGATCAATGCTATTGTTAGAAATAGGTGGATTCCTTGATCGCCTATTATGAAGGTTGGGATTTTGTGACACAATAGGTGATGATTGTTGCGTGAATGGGTTCAATATCCTTTCTGCTGCAGTCGCCTGAGCTGGACTAGCAACTGCAATATTTTAAATGTCAAAAAGTTAGTAAATAAATATCCATGAGTATAAAATGCCACATTACATAACTTTAAAGCACTCTAAGCTATTTGAACCACAAATCTGTCTGTATTAAAAAACTTTAATGTGTCTGATTGTAAATAATAGAAGCTTTGATGTGATGTAGATTCTTGATAAACTTGGCCACAAAGGAACAATAAAACAGTATAATTGCAACAACAGAAAATTAAGTGTAAAACAATTTTACCAGCATTAGGTTGATAACTATGTGCCATTCCAGAATTAGTCTGATGACCAATGCCAGCACTTGCAGCCAAATAAGGACTGTTGCTTGGAGATGCATAAACATTGGGCGGATACCTAGGTGACTGGACATGAGCGAGTCTGAAAAGGATATGTACCGTGTGAAATAATTATGTAATACACCTATAGGCTTTCTTGTATAGAAAGTTTTTTAATTGTAATGTTAGTTTAAATACAAAACTGGGACAACATCCAACAATTTGTTACTATGCTAATTTAATCTATATCTAGACTTAGCATCAGTTGGGTTCTAAATATAGGGATTCATCAGAGGTGTATGATACCAAAAATGTACCCAAAAACAAGATACCTTGGAGAAGAGCTTTGTTGGGAATTACTATGTGAAGATACATGGTGCTGAGCACTGGGAATTCTCTGTCCTTGAAGTGGAAAGCTGGCAAACTGCTGGGCATGAGGGTGAATACCTAGTAGATATATTTTAAGTATCAAATGACAGCCACAATTTTTATAATCATAAATACTACACTATGTGCACAATATATAATAGCATTATATAATCAACCAGAATTAAAGCCAAGCATAGAAAGTTAACTCGGCCAGGAGTCCTTCCAGCTATAATGAATACCCATTTCAACGTTAGGAAAGTTAAAGCGACTTGACATAGTGCTGACCACACTATCCCTTCATATAGAGGTCACTGAAATAAATGAGCTCTACTGCACCTGCCCAATTGGGGTATTTTTACTTACTTTTTTTAAAAATAGAAAGTTATTTATTCTTTATGAACACTTTTAAAAAGCAGAATAATAAACATGATTTTAAAAGTACCATCATATTGTGTATTGCCATGAAAGATGTGTGGATCCTTTCGCATTACAGTTTGTAGCAAGTTAGGGACATATCCTTCAACCGTATTAGTACTCAGTGTATCCTTCAATTCTCTGATAAAAGTATTTAAGAAAAGATAAAATGAAATTCAGGGCTGTGGCAATAAACCAAATGAGCAAAACTAAATGATTTTATAAAAATATTACATAACTGTTCTAAAGAACATTACTGCTATACAACTTTAGATTGTAACACAAATGAGAAATAAATTACCGTCAAATCATTACCAAAAATAAAACATACTTGACCTACTGAAATCAACTAATATTAGATTAAATAAAAATTTAATAGTGAGCACACATCAAGAAATACCAAAAGTACTTACATATGATTGGTATTTGTCTGCCTAAGAGCATGGGCAATTTGATTGCCCAAACCCTCATCATTGGATGCCAGTAGAAGACGTGCATCTTCAGCAATTTTGAGGTTATATAGCAAGGACTTATTTTGAACTGTCTGTGGCAAAGGGGTGGGCAGAGGCAGTTGTGGCAGCACTGTAATGTAAATATCAAAATGTATTTCAAATAGAAAAAAGACCTGCCATTTTAACCTTAAAATGATCTACAGCTGCATATGGAGTATTTTCCAAATACTAAATAGTACAGAGAAATTTACAATCTAATTATTTTCATACCTAGCATACTAAGATTAGTTACCAAATAAAACATTTTTTCTTATTAGACAAAAAAGAAAATCAATGCAGAACATCAAAATGACAATCCTCAATACAAATTGCACTTGTATACTTACAATCAGTCAAGCTTGCCACCCCTGCCAAAGTTGTGATAGGTACACTGGGGGTTTCACCGTTCATAATGCATTTATACTACATCTCTTCATTTCACAAAACTGAAAGGTTTCAAATTATTGTATCATACTTTAACAAGTATTGCAGAATCCCTGAATTTTGACATGGTGAAGTAAAATAAATTATTCCTCCCCTGCCATGCATATTAGTTATAAATAAAGTTATACTATATTTTTTACCACCTGCAGTACACTATTGTGCTATGGACTTGAAAACCCATCAAGAAAAAATATAAAACATATTTGTGTGCTAATTAACTTTCACAATTAAAATATTGCCCTTCAAATTTTTAAAAAACTTATTTTAAGAATTTTACTCAGTAAATAATTTTGAAAATTATAATTTTACCCCAATTAGCTAAACTATCATAAAAATATAAGGACAATACTTCAATTGTACTTTTTCAAATGTAATGAGTGGTATCTCATGGTTGAACAATAAAGTGCAAGATTATTAACCTGAAAGTTCATTTCAAGACAGTGAGACACCCCAAAATCTTCCCAAACCATGAAAGGAAATAGATGAGCTATTCTGACTAATGACTGTTCTGGTCAGGAAGGGTACTCAATTAGATAAATTAAAAAATAGGGTTGACTTGGGTAACTAGAGTAACTTAATTTTAACAGTCATCAGGCCTATGTTTGTGTGTATATATTGTGCGAATGAATGTTGGTCCAAAGAAATAGTGAATGTAGAAAATTATGACATGTATTGAAGATAGTGATGTTTATGTAGAAACTGTGTTGCTGTGGAGTGCAAGTTAGTTGGTGTTTGAATTGGACGTAAAAGCTCAGTAAAATAATAGAATCAGTATAGCATTATGTCGAGTTATTGTCAATCTGGATGTATGGCTGGTTAAATCAAGGCCTTCATAGCCCAAACACTATTGTAAGGACTACTGACAGTTGGTAATAAATTACTAGATCTATCTAAAAAAATACATACGATATGAAAATATTCTTAAAATATTTTTCCTGTCATCTATGCGTAATAAATTATGCTCAGCAAAAATCAATAAGATCAAGTAAAATACTATCCTTATTTATTGCACATGCCCAGAGAGGCTTAAATCACAAGTCAATTTTAATAGGCCTACAGTCAACAGCAAAAAAGGATGTGATTTTACTACCAACAACACAACATCAATTAATAAATACTGTTGGAAAGAGGTAAAGAAAATTCAACACAAACAGATCTGAGTATGAGTACCTATATATGCTGACACTGAAAAGTGATAAGATATCAAATCTGTAGGCCTATATCTTAGTATTACTCGCTAACTTGGAGGCGCAGTCGGTTACCAACAACAATATGGCGTCAGGACTGGACGCATGACTCCCGACGATTTATTGGCCAAATTCCAGTGACCCTCTACAAATTACTATTAAAAATGTTTACTACGAGCAAAATGGCGGGGTTTTCATGCTATAACAACAAACTATAGATATGCAAGAAAAGCATTTCAAAATTTATGTTGGAAAATGAAGGCGGAATTTAAAAGTTGGTTTCATTAAAAATACTAGAACTTTTTAAATATCAACATGAAGAGTACAAAAATGAATTGAAGTCTGTAGAACTATTAGGTTTATCAGTCTATGTAAAAAGAAATCAAATATTGCTAACCACTTTTTTTTAATAAACGATGGCTTTCTAATGACAACCAAATTTATTTATTTTTTAAACCACGTGACCGCTATTTGGTGATCATTAGTGAGGAACTCTGGGTGCATGGCCACTTAAAAGTCTAATCGGATTTGTGGTTTTCTTTATCTTCAAACATAAGAAGTGTTGTCATGAAGGTGTGTTGTGCATGGCAGTGAGTGACAAATATTAAATGAAGTAATTTTGTTTAAAACTAAAAACTTCAAAATTAGTGCTTAAGGACAGCTTAAACCCCAGTTTTGAAGTATTTGGGACTGAAAATATCACTTTTCTAAAAATAGTCTCATTACTAAGTTTATTCAATTTGCTACACGTTTATGTATAAATTATATGTGAAATGTATTAAAACGTATTTTAAATAATTTATTTAAAATGATCACTTCATGTGATAATCCATCGCCATAATTATGCAAAATTAAAAATTTGCGTAACTTGAAAAGTTTTCAACCGATTTTAATAATTTTTTCACCAAGCGGCATAGAATAAAAATACGAACGAAACTACTTCCTAAACCCAGTGTGTATGAAAGATAAATTTTCATTGGTCAATAATGTGAATCGGATGACGAAAACTCGAATGTCAGCCAATCAGAAAGCTCCTTTCACAGACCCTGTTTGTTTACATCGACCTCGCTGTATCTCGGCATTTCCGTTCTCGATAACGCTACAGTCCAGTGATTTGATTCTCACATTCTATTACAAGAGTTTTATTTGTTCATTGAAATGGATTCAACACAAAAAGTGAAAAGAATTCACAAATCTAGAAGCAAAAGGAGGAAGTTTCACGGAAACCGGTACACATATCAGAGCACGGCCGATACTAGTGATAGTCTTAGTACTGGATCTAGATCTAGATCTAGATCTAGAGTAAAGTTCCGCGTGGGATCACACATAGCGAAAAATTCCAAACTCCCGATTTTTATCGGGCGCTATTTTGTAACCGTTTCACACAGAAACAAACCGAAAGTACTTTATTACTCCACTGCCATTCTACTCTAATATGCATGAAGTATTTTGTATTCATACGCATAGTATTTGAGATATTCATGTTTTAGTGACGAACCTGCTTGGGATCAACTTTTCCCACTTTTTTTTTTGCTTGAGATCACCTGTCTCTGCTTGGGATCACTAGCGTATTTTTTACGTTTTGATCCAATTTTAACAATTGAATTAACATTTTACACATTTAAACGTGTTGTTGATTGTATAAATAATTAGTAGATTGCAAAACCAAATAAAAAACATGTTAATTAAATTTATTAACTACACATTACGGATGACCCAGTGATGACTCAAGGGACGCAACTATAACAATCATAACAAAGGGACGTAACAATCACTAACATGACATAACTTAACATTTGCTTAACATATGATTGGATGAGAGATGCAAACTAGATTTAGAAGAGGTAGATGATTGAAATAATTTAAAACAACAGAAAAAAATAGAAAGTATACAGATTCTAGGCTTAGCTTGAAATATAGAGCATCTAGATCTAGGCTAGTCTAGCTCAAGACGTAGGTGTACCCAGCGAGGTTAAAATACAAAAATCGTTACCCCAGCTGGGATCACCCCCATTTCACCTCCAAGATTGTTTTAATAGCCTTAACTACAGTATTTTCAGTGTCCCGCACATAAATAGAAGCTATTTATAGTTAACCTAGTTATAAAAGCTTTGATTGGTTGGTTTTATTCATCTCATCCGGGACCTAGTGCTTTTCATAGGGGGGAACTAGAATGGCCAGCGACGTCATACCTCGAAACTTGAAAATTTAAAAACTAGTCTTCCAGAAGGAGGGAAACAAAAGAATTTGACCTGGATATATTTAGAAATGGACATGTTTACAGCAGATATTGGTAGTTTCGTATAAAACATCCAAACAAATATTATACGAAGCGATAAACAGGAATGTGATCCCACCGAGGTTTTGATCTCACGCGGAACTTTACTCTAGTACAAATCCTGACGATCGGGACACAGACAGCCTGGCTTCAACTTCAACTCCTTCAACTAGATCTAGATCTAATTCTAGACCTACTTCTACATCTACATCATCACTACAAATGGCAGATCCAACTAGATCTAGTCATGAAATTTGCAAGTCGTCTTCTTATCAAAAGTTGAATAAGCCAGATGACACAGTCACAGAGAACAGCAGTTTGAGTGGCTACAGATTTATAAACATAGAAGATCTGGTATCTTTTATAAATTTATTTCCCTGCCCTTCATGTGGTGAAACTAAGGATAATCTGTTTCATATTAATGAACAGTTAACAGGGATCAACACCAAATTAACATTTGAGTGCAGTATGTGTAAGAACATTAGTACATTTTCACACAAAGAAAATGTAAACCTAAGGTTTCAAGTTGCCATGTATGGCATTGGTTGCCATGAAAACAAGGGGCGTCGTTTTCTGGCTGCTATGGATATGCCACAGCCTGTCTCCAGTGTTAGGGCAGCTGTGTATAAAACTAGGATACACAATGCTACAAAGCAGGCTGCAGATATGAGCATGAAACAGGCAGCAGAGGAATTACAAGCTGTTGAGGCCACAAGTGAGGTGACTGTCTCCTGCGACGGAACCTGGCAGCGCAGGGGTTTTTCAAGCAAAAATGGCATATCAACTTGCCTCTCAGTGAGCAACAAAGTGCCTGCAAAAGTCCTGGATGTAGACATTCTCACAAATCATTGTGACACCTGTTGCAAGATGGCCAAAAAACTGGGTGACGATGAATTTGCCAAATGGCTTGAAGGCCACAAACATTTGTGCAAAAAAAACCACGATGGATCGGCAGGTGCTATGGAACCAGCTGGACTAAAAAAGATCTTTCGCAGATCAGAACAACTATATAATTTAAAGTACACAAACTATTTAGGAGATGGGGACTCTAAAAGCTATAAGCAAATAGCTGAAGCTGTTCCTCCAATTTATGAAGGCACCTCCATTACTAAGTTGGAGTGCTGCGGGCATGTGCAAAAAAGGATGGGGAAAAAACTTTTAGATAAAGTAGCTGAAAATAAAAATGTTAGTTTTACTGAAGGGGGGAAGAAGTATAAAGGTATTGGGGGCAAAGATAGATTGACTAAAGTAGCTATAAAAAGAATTCAGGGGCATTATGGGGGGGCTATTCGTTCAAATGTAGGTAATTTAGACAAGATGAAAAAGGCTATATGGGCAATTTGGGAGCATAGGAAAGGTATTCATGTAAATTGTGGTGAGTGGTGCACAGGTCAGATAAAAAATATGTTACCTAATTTTGTTATGGAAATTATAAAGCCTGTATTTGTTGAACTTTCCAGTGACACTCTACTAAAAAAATGTTTGCACGGTGGTACGCAAAATGCTAATGAAGCGTTCCACCATATTATTTGGGAAAAATGTCCTAAAGTTACTTTTGTAGGGAAAGATAGGTTAGAAATTGGAGTGTTTGATGCTGTGATAGTTTATAATGAGGGGGAGATGGGTAGGCTAGCAATTTTTAGGAGTTTAGGTCTAAATTGTGGGTACCACTGTATTTCGGCTTTTAAAAAATTTGACACCACCCGCATAAAAGCAGCTCAAAAATTTATAAATGCACCCCTTACTAGGGGAAAAGGAAAAAAAAACCTTGTACAGACCCTAAAGATGACTCCTATGTGGCAGGAGGTCACTAATTTAACTTGTTTTTTAAATAACTGCATTTTATATCACATTTTTGTTGTTTTCTCAAAATATGGAATTTCAAAAAAAATAATTCTTGTGTACATCATATCTCCAAAAGTTTTCAATATTTTTATGTCATATTTGACACACACTTCAAGTAATATTATTAGAACACATTGTGCTAAAATAATAGCTGTATCTCCTTTCCTTTTTTTAAAACAATTTTTTTTTCACCCACCCCCTGTTAATTTCTGAGTTTTTTTTACCTATGCCACTAAATATTGTACAAAAAATATGTTTTGTTTGCAACTTCAAATATTTTTAGTTCATTATATTTTAGATGTAATAAATAATGGTTATACAAAGTTTTATTTGAATATCTATGTTAGTTTTTGCTATATGCTGTACAGTAATATGTGTGTTTTTATGTCGTTTTCGTCCAAAAAAATAGCTTAAAAATTTTTTTTACGAAAGTATACAACACTTCAGAGCAAAAAATAGTTTTCTAATGATTTTTTCATCAGCCTACATCATTTGAAATAAGTAAATCAAGTCTAATTGCATAAATTCATTTTGGGGGTTTAAGCTGTCCTTAATGGATTAAATACGGGTGTCTATCATTCAGTGGTCATGTTTAAATTTACAATTGGGTAAATTTTAGATTTAGTGAGAAAATGTACAGTATATTTAGATACAAGATTACTATTGTTTAAAAAAATAACAGAAACAATTTCAAAAAACCACAAACCCTACTACATTCTACTACAATTAAGCTGCAGATAATGAAAGTTTCAAAACAAAATATAGATATCTTTAACAAACAAGGGAAGTAAGGTTAGAATCTTCAATTTATTTAGATTTTTAGGAAAAAACATTTCATTCTCAACATAGGCCTTGAGTTATTAGATCTACTTAGGCCCTTAGGGGGCCTACTTAATATTCTATCTAGATTCTAGATCTAGAATTTCGACTAGATCTATTGTAGAGATTTAATATTCAGAGAAGTGTTGAAATATTGGATGATTAGGTATAGAAATATTAATATAAAAATTATAGGCCTAATAGTAGGCCGTTCGATTCACAGCTTCCGGGTTTGTTGTTTTGAAGCCATCTCACGGCTCATGCGCTTACTCAAAATGGCGACCAGTTTCGCTTTCACTAAACGGTAGAGGGATAAAACTAATAATAACGAGGCCATCGTTAATTTTAGACATCGGAACTATCCGTTTCTATTTCAGTCTGTTATTTAAGAATTCCCAGATGTACTTTTGACCTAATTTCTTTATTTGTATTTAACGAGGCCGTCGAGAGAAAGTCACGCTTACTTAGCTTGCGTTTCAAGTCGAATAAACTAAAGCAGGTGCGTTATCCAATAACTTTTTTATTAGACCCAATTTTTATAACATTTTTACTATCAAATAAAAATAGAATTGTTTAATATAATTAGGCTGACAACAATGCTTTTCATGCTGTAAGTAATAATGCCATTTTATTATATTCTTGTTTGGTGAAAACGAGGCGCGGGAAAATGTGTGCCGCGTAAGAATCCAATCATTTGGCTAGATTTATGACTGTTTTTTATGTCACACCTAAAAATAGAATGTTTACGCTTTCTTCGTTGATGATCGTTTTTATTATTTTTTAAATTGAAAGTATGAATTATTAGTTAGATTGCAGATTTTGTAACTTGGTATACTTACCCTTTATCAATTTTAAAAACATAGCATGCTGATTGTAAACAAATATAGTCATAAAACACAGAAATATAAAGTTATAATTGCGATGTGCCACACCCGGGCCACACCCCCTCAAGAAAGCATGTGTTTATTAAGCTGTTTATCTTACTTTACAACTGTAATTAAAATTAATTTTCAAATTTTTATCACTTATTGGGTAAGAATAAGCACATGTTTACCAAAAATAAAAAAAAATAAAAAAGCAAATTCTGTTTTAATGAAGGTCACGGGTGAAGTTTTTTTTTCCTTCTGTCACGTTCAGTGGAGGGTGCCACAGGCTGACCTGACTTTGGAATTTTTTTCAGTAATAATGACTTTGCACAGAAAGTTAAAATATGCTAAATTTGCTTAGTTTACTAGTGTTCTAGCTATTATTGATACATTTTTAATAAAAAAAATCATTCTGTAATTCTCATCAAAAAGCCTAGCCTAATAGACTATAGTGAATAGTGGCTTTGCCAACTCATACATATATGTAGCCTAGCCCAAAACACTAGATCTAGACTAGATAATAGATATACTTGAGTAATAATGTTTATGAACAATGCAAGGTGGAATGGGGGGGTGGTGCAGATTTCGGAAATCTGAATTTATCAAATCTAGGCCCTAGGCATTCTACTTTGGTATTAGAATTAGACATGAAGTGCTTCAAGATCTAGATGCTAGTTTCTTACAATACGCCAACGAAGACGTTAATTAAAAATTGAGCATTTCCAAAACAGTAATGCTAAATCTGACAGCTGAAGGTGTGTATTTTTTATTCGCTGGTGGTAGATCTAGTGTTCTACCCTACTGTACGAACGATAACGCGGATGAATACACATTGGGCCTCAGTAATCAAAACAATCCACCAAAATACAAATGTAAGATACAAAAAAAAAATCATTGACAACAAACAAATGCCGACCAAAGAAAGATATAAATTTAAACACAACTGTGTAAGTTACTGAGTCTTAATTAAACATAGTGGTCACAATCGACATTGATTGGCTTGCTTTCTGAACAAAAATCGTCCATTGTTGGCCATGGTGGGACAACACTCACCTGTACAAATTGGTAATGATCTCATCACTTAATCAGAATTGTAAAACAATAAATGCACCACAAGAAAGATTATTGTTCACATGATTACACTAACGTAAATCCATGTCGATATTTATGTTGTAAACATGATAAATTTGCAATTATTTCCAAGAATTTGACAGTACCCCGCGCCAAAAATTAGCACAACCTAACAACATATTTCTTGTAAACATCCGCTAGAAGTAGTACAAAATACAAGTATTATATTTTACGTTCTATATAATTTCAGTAATTAAAAATATTAAATATCGGTATTTTGTCAATTTTAAACGAACTGATCATAAAATTCTTAAAGGAAACGATGTTTTATTGAAAGCACTGGTTTACGTGCGCATTAATTCATTTAGACCTTTGCGGCCATTGAAAGTAGTGCATAAAAGACGCGTAAGATCAAATAAGCGTAACTTTTATGACATGTTATTTACTAAATTGTGTGAACTGTGTAAGAGCATACTCCGTATGACTGTGACGCGGTGGAGTAAGACATCCTGATCTAGATTAGTAAAAAAAAGAAACAATGGCAGCACGGAGAGTTTTTGTTGTTGGTGTTGGAATGACGAAGGTCTTCTGTTGCATTACTTTTCAAATGTTCACTTTTCTATTTTACTAGTTGTAGAAATCTATAATTTTACTCTCACTATGTGTAAAAATCTAACAAATAAATTACCAATCTAATATTAAATAAGTCTGAATAAGTTTGAGTAGTTTGAGATATCCATTCTAAAATTATTAAATAAAATAATAATAAAATAAAAGAGGTTGCACAAAAACCGAACTTTGAACTTGCTTTACTTATTTACTTAATCATAGGGGGATCTAATACTCAGTCATGATTGTTTTTTATGTAATTTTTTGACAAGAGGCTAGATTACACAGACTATAATAATAATAATATAATTACTTTAGTTTATTTCTAAAGAATCTAGATCTATAGACTATAGATCTATATATATAATATTATTATAGGCCCCTACTCATTATCATTATACTCTCTAGTCTAATATACTGAGTTATTTGACTAGATCTATATTCTCACTTAAATTTTGCCAATCATTTAAATATATTTCTTGAATATATTTCAGTTTGAAAAGCCAGGAAAAAGAGATGACTTTGATTATCCTCAGATGGCTTTGGAAGCAGGTGTGAAAAAACATGTAGATCTATTTTTTTTAATAATGTGTCACTTTACTTCTAAAGTTAACATGATTTACATTTGTTTAAATAATTTTTCCAATTAGGGACTAAAGCACTGGAAGATGCAGGAATTAAATATGATCAGATAGAGCAAGCATGTGTTGGTTATGTTTATGGTGGGTAATGGTCATTTTTTAAAATTCTGTCTCACAATGCTGTTTTGTTGTAATGAGGATATTTCTAAACTCACAATCCCTTATTGCCTTAATCGCTAATTATTTTTATCTGATGTACTTTGACCATTGCAAATTATCAGCTAGTATTATGACTTATCATTTTTATCTTAAATAAACTGATTATATATATATATATATATATATATATATATATATATATATATATATATATATATATATATATATATATATATATATATATATATATATATATATATATATATATATATATATTTAATAGTATATATATATAATAGTGTATATATATTTATATATATATATAATAGTGTGTATATACATATATAATAGTGTGTATATATATATACATATATAACAGTGTATATATATATATATATATATATATATATATATATATATATATATATATATATATATATATATATAAAAATATATATATATAATAGTGTATATATATATATACATATATAACAGTGTATATATATATATATATATATATATATATATATATATATATATATATATATATATATATATATATATATAAATATATATATATAATAGTGTATATATATATAATAGTCTATATATATAATAGTGTATATATATATATAATAGTCTATATATATATAAATATATAATAGTCTCTATATATATATATATATATATATATATATATATATATATATATATATATATATATATATAATAGTCTATATATATATATAATAGTGTATATATATATAATAATGTGTATATATATAATAGTGTGTATATATATATAATAGTGTGTATATATATATAATAGTGTGTATATATATATATAATAGTGTATATATATATAATAGTGTTTATATATAATAGTGTATATATATATATAATTATAATATTGTATATATATATATATATATGTGTGTGTGATTTTTTTTTTTTAAACTGTATGTATGTTGGTGCTTTACATAAGATTATACATCATCAGGTGATACATGTTGTGGTCAGAGAGCTCTATATCAACTTGGTCTGAGTGGAATTCCAATTTACAATGTATGTATGAATGTAAGCCAGCTCTAGAGATGCTGATATAGTATCTGACACTGATTACAACTTTTCCATTGTTTGCAAAAGCTGTAACTTTATCAGCAAAGGGGGACAATCCCTAAAATATTAAGCAGCACATCATTAATGCTCCTTTCTGTGCCCTCACAAATCAAGAGAATCCCCACTCTCATTATCCGTGTAGATAGACGCAAATGTTTACATTAAATACCTAATTGTTGATGGTGGATCAAATATTTATCACATAATACTACTGTTTTATAGCATTGTTAGTCACCTTTATCATTGCCTGTAGTTTTCAGTAAATAACTATTCACAGATGGAAGAAATGCATGATGGTTTTTCTGTAGGGGTTTTGTTGAACAAATTTGATGCATTTATCATTCTCAGGTTAACAATGCTTGTGCCACAGGGTCAACTGCTCTCTACATGGCAAAGAACTTGATTGCTGGAGGTTATTGGCATTTTACCCTTTTTTTAGATTTTAAGTAACTTGTGGTACACTAAAAATTATTTTTAACAAGTCAGATTTTACATGTTTCAAAGTTAAATTGTATGAATTATAAACTTGCTCTCTATTAAGTTTTCTTATTCTTATTTTAGGACTGGCTGATTGTGTTATGGCAATAGGCTTTGAAAAGATGGAAAGTGGATCTTTAAAACCAAAGGTGCATATAGCTGTTTATTGAGCTATAAATAGGTGACAAATCTATTATATAAAACTTCCTTGAACTGATCATTTTTGACAAAGACTATAAAGAAGGAAAAAATTACACCAGTTGCAATGTTCATAATTACTGGCAAAAAAAAATTTAAGTAAAGTAAGAGAATGGATTTACCATAGTTTAATAAAATAACTTAACTTTCAGTGGACTGATCGCACGAGTCCTATGGACAAACATTTACAAGTCATGATAGAAACAAGAGGCTTTGACAAAGCACCAGCCACTCCTCAGATTTTTGGAAATGCTGGCAGAGAGCATATGGAGAAGTATGGTATGCATTTGGCAAGCTTTACTGTCAGTAATAATTTAAATACTCCTTAATACTGTTGCTAGGTTTTCTTTAATTTTAACTGCATTTTCTGTTATGATAGTTTAATTTTTGTTATTTCAGGCACAACACCAGACCACTTTGCCAAAATTGCCTACAAAAACCATAAGCATTCAACTAACAATCCGTGAGTTGAGCTTCAGTAAAATTCACACTTTCTAATTTGTTCAAAGTTATGGTATCAAAGTGATGTTATTACAAGCTCTCTAATTAGCTACACCATTAGTTAATATTGATATTAATCAGAATATATAATACATTCAATTACAACACCAATGTAAGGGCTGAGGTAAATGGCATTTACAAAATTGAAATACTGTGTAAAATTGTTTTTAAGTTTGATTTCAAGGAAGTTTTTTTTATGTTGCTTTTTTTAAAAATACTCCAGGTATTCACAGTTCCAAACAGAATACAGTTTTGATGAAATAAAAAACTCACCCATGATTTACTATCCTTTAACTAAGCTTCAGTGTTGGTAAGCTATTAATTTAACATTAAATGTTGTACAGTGATACCTAGACATTTGAGTTCCCCAAGATACAAGCTGTAGAGCGAGCTAAATTTTGCTTTGATATATATGAGCAAAATTTGAGATACATGTAACTGGAGTATAGAAACAAACAAAAAAGTGGGGGGGGGGGGGGGGGGGGGCATTTCATGGGCTGGTACAAATTAATGGCATTTCAATACATTTTAATGGAGAAAGCTGATTTCGATACATGCAATTTGATATACAAGCAATGTTACAGAACCAATTAAATGTATATCTTGAGGTACCACTGTATTATGTTTGGTGTAAGCAATAAAATAGATAATGGGAAGCCTTCTGAAAATAGTAATTTGAAAAGTTCAATCATTCTAGCCCAACGTCAGATGGCTCAGCTTGCGCCATTCTTGCCAGTGAAGATTTTGTCAGGAAAAATGGACTGCAGGCTCAAGCTGTGGAGATTGTGGCAATGGAACTAGGCACAGATGAGCCCAGTGTATTTAATGAACTTAGCTGCATGAAAATGGTAATGTTTCTTCTGATGTTTTTATTGTTGTTTTCCATGTAGTTTGATATGTATCACATGTATGAAAAGTTTTTTATGCTTTTAGTTCACATTCTAATATTTTCAGGTAGTTCATTCATACTATTGATGATTTGTAAAAGCATAAAAATATAGTTTAACATGATAAATTGTAGACGTGAGTCTTTTATGCTAATAATAATTTTGTTACAGATCGGTTTTGATATGGCTGAAAAGACAGCTAAAAGGGCTTTTGCAAAAGCAGGTAATATTTTTTTTTAACTCCTATTGTAAATACTGATAAAGAAAGCATTATTTCTAAATCACTATTAGCAGTGCTTAAGATTAAACCTAATTAATAATGTTTTTTAAGTTTGTAAGTTGTATTTTAGGCCTGAAGCCATCCGATGTTCAAGTTGTGGAGCTCCATGATTGTTTCTCATGCAATGAACTACTTACATACGAGGCTCTTGGACTTTGTGGCAAAGGTTAGTAGGCCTGTATACAGTTATTTGCATACTCCTAAAACTTTTAAAAAGTAATGGAAATATTATATTTTTTATTTAACTTCAGGAGAGGCTGGTTCATTCATTGATAAGGGTGATAATACTTATGGAGGAAAATATGTTGTTAACCCTAGTGGTGGTCTGATTTCAAAGGGACATCCCCTTGGTGCAACTGGTAAGACTAAAATTTATTTCTTAATTAAATCTGAATTGAATCATTGCTGCTTTAGTCTGATAAGGCAACAAAATATGAAAATGGTATATATATTCAGATAAGAACACTTACTTTAATCTGTGAAGATAAGGTAACATAGACAGAACGAGTAACTTTATCAAAATCTATTTAATGCTATTTCAAAGTTCAACAAGGGCGGTGCTCGGTTTAGGTGCTATAACAAAAACAAAACTTTTTTTTATAGGATGAATGTGAGTGATATCCACTTTAGGCTCTCTCTTGCCCCCCCCCCCTCCCCTCATTATATATGTGTATGTATGTGTATATAAATATGTGTGTGTGTATATATATATATATATATATATATATCTATATACTACTAAAAGTCAAGTTTGTTTACATGTTTGAATATTTATTTTTTTGTTTTTTTGTTTGTTTGTTTGTTTGCCTGATCAAGTATCCTGATATGTTCGGCTCTATCTGGAGAGCTGTAAAATAGTATGTAGGTAGAGAATAATTTTTTAATGCAGACAGACTGTTAATCACAAATTTATTTAAAGACGTTAATTAATTTATTGATTTATTCATCGTTAAATTAACCGTATTTTTTAAAAAATGTTAATACTTTGAATAAACTTTGTGGGGATAGTGACGTCCCTTGATAGTGACGTCAGAGTTTTTTGTTGACTCTTTAGTACAATAAAATGGCGGCGTCTATCGAAGAAAATTGTGTTCCCATTCCAAAGTTTAACGCGTTCTAAATCTAATTTTCTGTCGGTCATAACTTAAACAATACGTCCGTTTGCTGTATTTATTACGTTCCAACACTTATATCAATTTTCAACTGTCTTTTTTTATTTAGTTTTACAATAAATTTCTCTAGATCTAAAGATCAGCTGTCGAAGGAAATTTATGAATCTAGCCTAGATCTAGATCACTAAACTCAATGTAAATTCTAAATCTAGACTTAATGTAAATTCTACATCTAGAATCTATTTCAGGCCTTAATACATCTAGAATCTATTTCAGGCCTTAATTATTTTATATAAATCTTTGTTTGGCTAATTTAAGATAAAATTTAATTTGAAAGTTACTACTTCTAGACTAGACGCTCGAAATCAAGTTGCATCAAAGTATAGTATAAAAATTCATTTGTGACGTCAGGAGTAAATAGCTAAGTTTGTAGCGTTGTCCGCTCTCATGCGAGTGGTACAGGTTCTAGACCAATATGTCAATGATATTTTTTTTCAATTTTTTTTTTTTTAGATGTTAATGATAAAAAATGATTTTTTTTTTCAATTTTTTTTTTTAGATGTTAATGATAAAGTTGCCTATCTGAACTTGGCAGGATACAGGGCAGGTGAAGTAGAGTTCATCTGTTTCTTTGTCCTAACCATATGAAAGGATAGTGTGGTCAGAGACATGCTCGGCTGGAATCGTTTTTTAAACGATAAAAACATGTTGTCTGAGACTTGGCGGGACACTGGGCAGGTGAAGTAGAGTTGAGTAGGTCACATGTGACGTCAGTATATGAAGGGATAGTCCGAAATCGGTGTTTTCGGTGTTTTTAAAAGATAAGAAACATATTTTTGAATGTGTGCTCTGTTTTTGTGACGATAAGTGACACTGCAGTAGCGTAGCGAGGAGGGGGCGGGGGGCGGGTGGGGAGGCGGGGGGGGGGGGGGAAGGGGAGGCGGGGGGGGGGGGGGAAGGGGAGGCGGGGGGGGGGGAAAGGGGAGGCGGGGGGGGAGGGGAGGCGGGGGGGAGTGAAGGGGGGGGGGGGGCGGGGGGACGTATGTTGGGGCGCCAAAATGGTTTGGAAAAATAAATTGAAAGGTTGAGGGGGGTTCAAATCGAAAGTTTGAGTGGGGGGGGGGGGGAGGGGGTGCACATCAAAAGTTTGAGGGGGGGGGGTTGAAAATCAAAATCTTGGGGGGGGGTTAAAATCGAAAAGTTTGTCCCCGGGCGCCGGGAAGGCTCGCTATGCCTCTGAGTGACAGACGTGATGTTTTTTGATGGATGACCCCCGAAACCCACAGTTATCCAAGGGATGACGGGTATTCTAGTATACACTGTAGATACTCACTTAATTTTCAATTGCATTTCCTAATTTAGTAATTGAACCTATTTCATTGCAACATATAAGATAACAAATCACATAGAAATAGGCCCAAACTAATTTAGGATCGGAAGTTTTAAAATTGTTTTCATGCCTGCTGAAAATTATGAAAAAATATAACTTCATTTCTAGCAAGTCAGTCAAAAGTTTATGAAACACAGAAGCTTGATATTTGTAATGGTTTCCCATGTTTTTTTTTTTTTTTTATTCTTATGTTTTTTTGTATTAATATTATTAAATTTGAATAAATTCCTTTTTTTTAGCTGTGTCATTCTTCAGTATGCCTTATTTAAATGATAATTAAGAGAAACAATAGCTTTTTTAATTTGTTTAGTACAAAACTATTCAAATGAACTTTATGGGCACCCTATTAGATTATTTAAATAAGAGCAATATGTCATGGTGGTAGTTTGAACACTTGCCTATTTTTCACACTTCAGCTTATGTAGTTAAAATTACTACTATAGTAAATCTTTTTTTTTTTAAGTCTCAAAATGTATATCATTATGCCACTAACAAAGTCATGTAAGCTAGAATTTCAGTAAGCCTAGATTAAACATGGTACAGGTGTAAAGAAATTTCACTTTGAACTGAAACCTATATTATATTTAACTTCAAGTTTCTATTTTTGCTAGAACTATTATTAGGGGATTCATATTGTATACAACACTAAAAAAATTGGTATCGCAATACACTAGGAACCTGTTAATGTTATCATTGCTTTATCTCTAGTTTTCATTTTAATCTACTAATATCTTATGACCAATTTTAATAATTTATCCCAAACATGTTTATGGGGTCGTCCATAAATGAAGTCACACTCGTAGGAGGGAGGGGGGGGTCTGTAATTTTGTGATGGTGCATGATGAGGTGGTGGGGGGAGGGGGGGGGGTGTTCCAGATGGTGTGACGTCACACTTTTGCATTGTGAAAAAGCAATGTTAGAAAAGGAATTTTAGTCGTTATTTCGCGTTTTAGAAAACTATTTTTAAAAATTGTAATAGGAGTTGATTAAAATACTCCGTTGACAGAGTTCAGACAAGATTTTGGAAAAAGATCGTATTTCAAGAATAATTCAACTGCAATTTTGAGGGGGGGGGTGTAGGCTGAGGTGTGACGTCATTTTAGGGGGTCTGGCTTTTTGTGACGAAGTGTGGGGGAGGGGGAGGTAAAAATCGTCAAAAAAAGTGTGATGTCATGTCACTTATGAATGCCTCCCCCCCTTTTTTTTTTGGTGATATTTTATTGTAAAATTGTACAGCCTGCATTGAGAAATGTATTCAGATTTTATTCGAGCTGCAAACAATTATGTTTACAGTTTATGGGGCCCACATCAAAATCATATAGTTAACTAATGCGTGTAATATCTAAATCAATTAAATGGGAGGTAAATAATTTGAAGTTTTACCGTACAAGCATAACACTATTTCCGGTCTTCCTGTTGTAGGAGTTGACTCCCTTAGCTTTGTTTATCACGGTTGCTTATCACGGTAGATACTAAGATAGAACTACTTGTCGGTCTACTATAGTCTGTTTTTGTAATTGCATTGGTAGCCTAGATCTATTAGATTTTATATAGATATATAGATCTACTTAATGTACCTTGTCCCCTGTAATAGCATTTGGTTAAAGCACGAGGACAGAGGGGCGTTGATTGTTACATTTATAAAGGGGGTATGTCTAACTCTAACTAACTATATTTTACTATAACTATAAATATAGTAGTATATAGTATATAGGCCTATACTATATATTTATATATAACTTTAAGTCAAGTAGTACTACTAGTACTTAGTAGTAGATCTACGTTATGCCGCTGTAATATTTACATTGGGCCTAATATTTATTAGGCCTATTTAATAATAATTATTAATAATAAAATAATGAAATAAATCTAGATTTAGATCTACTAGCCTAATTATTGTAATTATCTAATACTAATCTACTAACTATATTATTAGGCCCTATTATATACTAGATCTATATATTAAGATTTAAGAATAGGCCGTTTTATTTATATATTTATATAAGCATACCCTACATATTACTAACATAACATACATCTCATCAAACTTAACTTTAACTTTCAAAATTACATTTTTAAATTAGATCTAGATTCTAGATCTAATAATTAATTTATAAAATAAACTAATAATAACTTAGAGATGCTGATTGAATACCAAATGATCTAGACCTAACTACTAATAATAAAACCATGTTTTAAAATGTTTAAGTTTAGTTAATAGAAGAAGTGTAAAGTTTAAGTTTAGTTAGATGTCTAGTTTGAAGTTAATAATAATTAATATAGGCTATAGGCCTACACTCAATGTGTCACAAAATAAATACCACTCATGTTCCTCTCTCTCAAGTACTAGAGTAGATAGAGACTAATAGTCTAAATCTAATAGTTCTAGAATTGCAGTTACATTTTTAAATTCACATTTCATTTACTTAGCTAAAAGTTTTAAAAATTGTTTATCCATTTTTGGGTTTTTCTTTTCTAAAAAACAAAATGGATTTTCTTATCTGAAATTACAGTTATAAAGCAATTTTCATTAAAAACTAAAATAACTAGCCACTTAGCTTGATCTTGAGCAAACTTATACTTATTTTTATGGTTTAAATGTACAGACCTAACATTATTCACCTGAATAAGAAAATAGCTATAAACAAACATGTTGAAATGAATTTTTTGTTTGACCTTGATAAGAACAACTGATTCCTATCTTTTATTCTGCCCTACGATTTATTTATTTTATTTTACAACAATAAGGATTAGCACAGTGTTCTGAATTGTGTTGGCAACTAAGAGGAATGGCTGGAAAAAGACAAGTTCCCAATGCTAAAGTAGCTCTTCAGCATAATTTAGGACTTGGTGGTGCTGTTGTTGTGTCCCTATACAAACATGGGTTTCCAGAGGCTGCTGTGTAGGTTTTCTTTATAAAAAACAAAGTTATGTGGTTAATAAAGTTATTAGTATGGAAAAGGCTATTTTTTTTTGCCTCAGCTAAAAACACTGTCGATGTTAATTTTACAATTTTGCATTAAAAAAACAACTAACATTTCTTTTTCTTCAGACTAAGGAATAATATTCAAGCTGTACCAACCAGCTCATCTATTGAAAACGATTTCAAATCTTCTGCAATGTTTTCAGAAATTAAAAAAGCATTAGAACAGGTATGTGATCTTTGTTACACCGTAGGGATATATAAATATTAATGTATGTTTATTTTATAGCTGATAAAATATAAAGTAATGAAAGTCCCTTTTTTAAAACAAAAATTGCAAGTAATACACCATTTTTTAGGGCTGCTTTTTGTTGTTGTTTTTTTTTTTTTTTTTTTTAAAGTAAGATTATCACACATGTATTAATAACTTGGTTTGAATTACAATTCCATACTTAATATGGTTATTTATTCTATTAACTTTTAATTTTGATACCACTATCCTAGTTTACTAAATTTTTAATTGCTTGTTACAGGATGGCGCAAACATTGTTAAAAAGATGAAAGGTGTTTTTTGTTTCAAAGTCAAAGGACCTGGAAATAAGGAAGGTGTTTGGGTTGTAGATGTCAAAAATGGAAATGGTGCTGTGAAGTTTGATTCTGCAGGTAGGCCTATAACTATATTTGTTTCACCAAGAAAGATTTCTATCGACCAGTTCAAACATGTGAATATTCAGTATTAATTTAAAGTGAAGAAAAAAATATCATTTTTCTTGGTTATCATTAATTGCAGATAAAGCTGATACAACTATCACAATGGCTGATGAAGATTTGTATAACCTTATGTTGGGCAAGTTGAACCCTCAGACTGTGAGTAAACCATTCTTTGTATCTTTATACCAATAAGAAATGCATTAGCTACACCCACAAAAAAAAAAAGATGTACATGTAATTCTGTACAAGTAGTTAGATTAAAAACCATTTACACATAAGTATATAAATGTCTGTCAATGGTAACAATCCTTGTAACATTGTATGTTTTGCAGGCATTTTTTCAAGGAAAACTTAAGATTGCTGGGAATATGGGCTTAGCAATGAAATTAAAAGAACTTCAACCCAAATCAGGATCAAAGCTTTGAAATTTTCATAAATCTTGTTGCTCATTATGTGATTTTTTGAAAAACTTTTTTATGGGGCCCTTGAATTGAACACTATTCCATGTGTATTTATGAGTTATATGTAATGATACAATTTTCCCACTGCATAAATATATCTTTGATTAAATACACTATTATAAGCAGATGTTTTTTCTGTAATCTGTTCTATTAAAAGATTTTGTGATGAAAGAAAAGTTTATACTAAGTATTTACAGACACAAGGTGTTTTTTAAAAATGAAATCTAACAAAAGGTTTCTATTAAATATTGTTTTATTTGATTAATATAAAAAATGTATATGGAATGTGATTTTTATATAATAAAACAAACATTTGAACAGTAGTTGCGTGTGTTTTTAGCAGACTTTCATATGTGAATATTTTAATTTGTAGATCCACTTGGGTAAATAATGGAATGTACAGTAATAAACATGTAGCAAATAAATCATATACACTTACTTAATTTCACAACCAAATGTGTGTAGACAAAGATAAACATTTTCTCTGGCAATGAATCAGGTACCAACATTTTTGTAAAAGAAACAGTTAAAGCAGTTTCAAATGTGATACTTAGATTCACCACAGTAAGGCAAAACATGCCAGATCTATACAATAATGAAGTGATTTGCTTAAGAAACTTAGCAGATCAAAATGACTAAGTGAAAAATTATCCGTGTACATGAGTTCAAATATTTACACAAGGAAATGTAAATTGTCAAATAGTTTTTAAACATTTTCTTTTGATAATTTACATAAAAACAATGACTGATGAGCCATTTTAGGCCTTGACTCAAGATATTTTTTCTTAATTTTATTTATGCTTAATGCTTAGTTCATCAATCAGAACTTGCCTTTTCACATCATTCATTTTTAAAACAAATGGTCTCTGCTCATTGGTCAAAAGTTTAGATGGTATCGGAACAGTGAGAAGTGCAATCTGTGGCTCTGGTTCAGCAACACTCTCTAAAGTTGTGCAGTCATGAAGAGAAACTACCGTAAAGCTAATCTGTGACCTCTCATCAACTATCTTGAAACGGTAACAATTTGTGTGGGTAGGGGTAACTCTGGCAGATTTTCTGAAATTTTCAACATTGTCAGGCAAGTTGCTCCCAGTTACTTCGATTTCACCTCCAACACCAATAAAACACCTGATTCCAACAAGGTTGTCAAAGCGGCTGTAGTCAGTGGACCTGAGATAAATATTTAGCCCAGTCACATGGTCTTCAGCGTCTCGCCCTTCTCTGTTGTAGAACTGTATTCTACCCTGGATGTAAATTTCCGAAGTGGGCATGTATTTTGACTTAGACACAATATAAACTATTGGGGATGTCAAAATAATTCCCTCGGTACTGGCCAGCACAGAGTTTTTCTGCTTATGGAATCCCATTTTCCACCAACCATCAGGTTTAAACACACGCTCGTCTCTCTGTAGCACCAAGGGATTGACTTTGTCTCTTGAGAAATGTCGGTACTGGTCCAGCAAGTTTTGGAAGCGGTCATGGTTGAGGTCAAAGTACACTCCATGAGGTGGGAAACGGTATGAGACGTACATGATGTCTTCGTTTACTACAACGTCCCCATCCTCGTGCCAGATCATGAGCTTAGACTGCTTCACATTGTCACAGATCCATTTTAACTGGGGCACTGAGTTATGAATCAATGACAGGCGAGCCTATAAACAAAAACAAAACTGTTAGATGCAACTAAATACCATGATTAGAAGTATTATATTTAAGTACTAGAATGCTTCATTTGTAAGGAACAAAATCAGTTATAATTTTTTAAATGTATCAAATAGTCCTGAGTTAATTTTTAAAGGTTATTTTTATTGTAAAATTTCCATAAATAAGTGGAATAGTCACATATTCACCTGAAATATAATCTGCTGATATTCCTCAAATTCAAACTCTTGTACTAGATGTAGCATGTCCCAAACCATCTGCCATTCATAAGCACTTTGTGTGAGGTCAGTGTGTGTTCCAGTTGTCCATCCAAGCGATATGGTGCACCTAGAATTGACAAGAACATAGATCATGATCAATTAAAATGTTAGCACACAATTTAAATTTCCTAGCTTAAGGATAGGCACCACGGATAAAAATTTTTTTTTTATTTAACACATTTCCGGTTGTTTAATAAGTTCATATAATTATAGTTGTTAAACTATAGACAAAAATAATATATAGCCGTCAATAGCAGTACTGGTTGCCATGGAAACAGCGAAAAGGTGTGAAAACTAACACCTTTTCAAATCGCTAAGGCTTTGTTCCCATAAGAGATTTTAAAAAGCGGATGAAAGATTTAGATTTCTCAAACCAAACTATACATTTCTACGTTTACTCATTGCGATAGCTTGTACTCAATTTTTTATACAAATTTTTACGTAAATTTATGTACAAAAATTAGGGGGTGGTGTTACATAAATATCAATATTTCCTAAAGTATTGTAGTAAACTTAATGTACAAACGTAGTTTTGTAGATAGTATAATGCTGAATGCACGTGGAACATTTTATTCTTGTATGACAAAGGGTTCCAAAGCCTTAGCGATTTGAATGTTGAATTTTGAGTAAAAATGCAAAGTTGAGAAAACGTGAAAAGAAGAGCGGGAAAAGGCACGGTGCGTTTTCTCTTATAGAAAACAGAAAAAAACTTCTCTTATAGAAAACAGAAAAAAACGTATTGTTATAAGTGGAAGAACCATTTGTCTAATAAAATACGCTTTGATTTATGTTGTAAGCTTTAGATAGATTTTTTCTATGTAAGCAGAAAATATGTATACAACAGGTAATGAATGTATGACTATTAAGTATTACACATCCTATCAATCGAGCGGTATTCTCAGAACAGCTATCATCAAACCAGATCAAGTTTTGTTTGTTAGCCGGTCTTCTCACTTCAATACAATGTCTATCCCTACTTAAATTGTAGCTTACACAAGTTTATTGCCTTATGATAATAGCCTACAACACAACACTGGGTACAACGCTGGAGGCTAGACACGCCCCTCCACCCCATCCCACCGCTGGATAGTGCGTGAGGAACCGATGAACCATAGATTACCAATGTTCATTCAACCGCGAATAACACATCTGTGTAGATAGGGTCAAGTACAGGGCCTAAGTGAATGCTTCCCAGCTATCCTATCTACTACTATCTAGTATTTACATTCGTTGCTAGCACACCCAATACGGAGAGTGGCATACACATTAACACACGTGTCGTATACAGTCCGGTGTAAAGCCTGATGAACGCGTTCAAGCCTATCACAGCATGCCGTAACAAGATTATAAACCGGCCGTTGGTTGAATGGCGAGATGGGAATGAAGGGGGTAAAGGGGATGGACAGTACATTCTTCAAACTGATAGTCATGTCCATGACGCATTGTTTCAGCTTAGTATAATTTTAAAGCGTACGCAACAGTGTTTAATATTGTTCCAGTGATAATCAACAGTACATTTCTAGGCAAAGTTCCAATTATTAAACTTAATGTTGTTGTATAACTTTAAAACAACAAATAGAAGAGTATACGCAAATGAGGTAAACAAACGAGACAGGCGATTGTTTTGTTTATCTAGAAACAAGATGGCTGCCTAGCACACGTGGTTAGTTGCAACCTATCGTGAATTATTTTGATTTACTGTACTATAATATGATTGGTCAAGCGTATCAATGAACCTCTTCCCATTCATAAATTTTACGCGCATGCCCTTATATGGAGTTTAATATAAAATTTTACTTTGAAGAAAACAACTTCTATCCCAATTATTTTTAGAACAAAAGAAAAGGTCACTACACCAGCGGGTACACGAGTGCTTCGCCCTTAGATTGCTGTTAAGTTTATGGTGCCTCGCGGGCAATAAATGATGTAATACCCGCTCGAAGATAGCCGCTGTCCGCGTAGTAGTGTGAAAACTTGCCGGGGGGTACCATGTTTCACATCGCAATAAACGAATAACCGTAAGCTGTAGAAGTCCGAAATGTTCGGGTTAGATAGATAAAAGGTATTAGTATCGAATTAAGAAATAAAAATTTTGGGTAGCAAAATTAACATTTTATCGAAAACATGGGTATCTTGTTCCCTTAAATACTACTTTGATGTTCAAGGCAAAAAAAATTTGAATATTAAACTTAGTTATACTTAGGAAACTGCCGCTGGATGGCTCTAATAAATCGATTATGGTCAATCACAGCTTCTTCTCCATGTGGTCCTCTTAAAACATTAGCATGCAACCAAACTGGGAATTTAATTGGATTCTGTAAAATATTACATAGAAATCAATTCCTACAGGTTGTTTGATATACAATCTTATGCTAAAGTAGCTTCTTACAATGAAAAAAAGTAGACTCTTATTTAACTTATCACTTACCTGTTTGTGAAAATCACTTAAAATCTGGATAGATATCTCCACTGATTCCATTGAGTGAAAGTGCAATCTGATACCTTTAGTACCAGAGCGTACTTCTTGCAGCCATTCTTTAAGTGTGATGTCACTTGTCGGAGAACTTGGTTTTGCCATAATAGGAACAAGTTTCTGAGATTTTGTTCCATGGTCTTTTAGTATAACATCACCCGAAATCATGTGTACTTTTTCATCTGAAATTAGATTCAAGTTTTTTTTTTTTAACCTATAGAAAATTAATAGATAAAATTGTGTACACTTATTAAGTCTCACTTCACATGAAAAATATTTTATAAAGCCTATTCTAATTATTGAATAATTAATGAGTTTAAAAAAATTACTATTCACTGCTGCTTTTACAGCTTGTCTGCTATTAGCTTCTCTCTCCCATCTGACTTTACTAGCATCTCTGTTCACATCAAAGTATGCCAGACTGTCCATCTCAGGTCCAATATTAAAATATGTAAGTTTGGGAGCTAAAAATTTTGGAATTAAACCTGTAAAAAATAAAACAAATTTGTGGCATAATTTTTTTTTAACTTTTAATTTATACAACTACCACATTTTCAGGTGCACAAACAATAGTAAAGTTCAAAACACGGCAAGTAGGCCTACTTAACATGCAATTTACAACATGCTCGTGCACCCTATGAGTAGTATGAGCTATCGATATCATGATGGTATCCAACAATATTACAATAAACCTTCAATAAGTAGCTTTTAATACTTTTATGACAGATGTTTGAAACCTGCAGCACCAGAACCCCAATCCACATGCAGTTATTGCAGTGCAATGATTCTGCAATTCCAAACTATTAATATTTACTAGATCTATTAGCTAAATGACAAATGTGGCTATTATTTGTATACTATACTGTACTGTAGGCCTATAATTATATAATAGGTCATAATTAGGATATTAAATACTACTATAATATATAGAATCTATATATATATATAATGCCTGAGTAGTAAAGGCCTACTAGGGGCCTATACTATACATTAAATATTATTAAATATTAGATCTATGTAGAATCTATATATATTTTTTTTTTAAAATGAATAGGCTACAAATTGGAGAACAGCAATGTCAACAGTGTCAGTTAAAGATTGAAGATTGGTGACTTAGTCTGATTACTTGATTACTGGGTAATCTATCGTTTTGGGTACGTAAAATCGCCCGCGGCTATTAATGTACGAAAACGTTACCTCATTGTCAAGGCTTTAATAGAAGTATATTGTCATATGTTTGTGTCAAATATTATAGATAAATGAATAATAAACCTAAATCAATGGCTAAATATATCGATATAGGCCAGAAATAAACTTTAAACAGCAGTGTTTGCGAGCAAGATTTGCCATATAAACAGCAGCCATTTGTAAAATAGAGTGGCTTCCCCCTGATCTCGCGCTAAAAGCTTATAAAATAAAACTTAAACAAGATGGCTGCTATAGTAAATGAGCATGGTTGCATCTGTTGGAAACATCGCTAGTCTTCATTTATTACTGAAAAGTTTTAATTCAATTCTTTAAAAACAGGTACATAAATGAAACAAGGAAACATTTTTGTATTTTAAAAAATATAAATCCTCCTCAAAATGTGAAATAATTATTAAAATTTAAGGAGTCACCTGGTTTTCACATTACAAGTCGCGGGCGATTTTACGTACCCAAAACGATAGATTACCGATTACTGAAATACTCATAATATTAGGTGTCAGATCAAAGCATCGGGCATCAGTGAACACTGAAGTTATTGAAGTTAAGTAAAGAAGTTAAGTTATATTAAGTAGTAGGCCTAAATAGTAAATACTATAGGTCAGGTCTACTATAGTAAATATTAAATAATAAATAATTTAAATAAATAAAGTAAAGAGGTCAAGTTTGTTGTGGGACGTGGGTTGACGAGTTGACGACTAACCTCCATTTATTGAATAATAAATTAACACTACAATTATTGCCACAATCAGCTGAGCAACTATTGACTTTCTGAAATATCTTGGCAATGCGGTCAACAGACCTCCAGAATTTTCTTTAGATAGCCGCATATTGTTTTTCGTAGAGGTGTCTGCAGATGTGACCAGGAAATCGTTTCTGGATTTTTCTAGGACGCTGACATCTTTATTCATTCTTTAAATTCGAATCCTAACAACATCAAAGCCATTGTGTTATTTATTGTTTTGATAAAACACAATTATCACATTAATGTTGATATGGCAAAAAAATGTTAATTAAAATATTTTTAATGCAGATTCTAGATTCTAAATGCATTCATTATCTAGATCTAGTACATCATTTATTCATTTTATTTTTGCTTCACAAAAAAAAATATTTAAACTGCGAATTCATATTTTCATGAGAATCATACAGGCCATTACTGTAACATCTTAATTTTTTAAATATTAAACTTCAAATGAGCTAAGCAATAGTCAAGATGAGTAGGCCTACTTAATCACTTTTAAAAATAAAAGTTAACAACTCGCATTAAACAAATAAAGGAAAGTTCACATGTTTTTGTGATCTCGCGTTTATAAGGGTAGTGTGGACTGTTCATAAGCAGCCACATTAATTATTAAATAGTGTTTCTTCCCGACTTTTTCTCCGGGGGGCTGGTGATATTTTCGGGGGTGTGGGTGGGGGATGACGACACACTGGTAGAATTATATATTTTCTATATAAATTCATACATTCTATTTCGTTTGGGAGGAGGGGAGGGGCGGTAGACGTCCGTCGCCTCCTCCCCCCCCCCCCCCCCCCTAGAGATGCCTGGAAGAAACTGTCCAACACGTAAATTAGACACCCGCCAGAGTTCTGGCGGCTATCTATACCTTGAATCACATTTAAACAAGCTAGAAAATGCAATTTTAAATGAAAGTTGGTTAACCGCTTATTACCAGTTCAACAAAGTTTGTGTCGGCTTATCTATACTGTACTGAGCTGCCGGTCGCCGGTAACCACACTGTTATTTTTAGCACAGAGGTATGAATGAAGACAACTGCACTACTGAAAGTAATTACGAGATGATACTACTCTTTCGGGATCCGCACTCCGCGGCATCATAAGAAGTTACCTGCTGGGTACCCCGGCTTGTTATTACGACCCAGTCAAAATCGACCCAGTCAAAATCGTTCTCAGAAAGATGCGCAACGGAAAAAAGCACAAACAGAAAAAAAAAGCGCAAACAGAAATTTGCGCAAACGGAAAAATGCGCAAACAGAAAACTGCACAAACAGAAAACTGCGCTCGCAGAAAAAAGCGCAAAGAGAAAAATGCGCAACCAGAAAATTGCGCATAGAGAAAAATGCACACCCAGAAAAAAAGCACAAACAGAAATTTGCACACTCAGAAAAAAGCGCAAAGAGAAGAGTGCGTACACAGAAAAATGTGCGACGCTCGCGGGTGGGGTGTATAAACCGGCAGTTTAGCCTTAGAGCGGACGGAGAAACGACGGCCCTAGCCACTAATTCATGCAGCACGCGTGTTGGCCAGAGTTTCTTCCAGGCATCTCATCGGGGGGGGGGGGGGGGGGCGAAGCCCCCCCCCCCCCCCCGAACGAAATGAAATTTATATAATTTATATAGAAAATATATACTTATAACAGTGTCCGCCCCCCCCCCCCCCCCGAAGAAAGTTTACCGCCCCCCCCCCCCCCCCCGAAGATTTCAAGTGCCCCCCCCCCCCCCGGAGAAAAAAGTCTGGAAGAAACACTGGTGTTGGCGCTATAGTCTTTTTAGATGCGCGCTACACAGACAATTCCCGGTCAGAAAGATAGTCAAATAAAGATTTGCAGAAGACGACTTATTCTTCGATTTTGATCGTCTGAGAGTGAGAGCGAGAAACAGAAGAGAAGAAGAATATAACGTTTGATAGAAGCAAGAATTTACAATACATCTAAATATCTTGCACATTCTATTGTCATTGGAATAACAGTTTTTCGGTTAACTAAAAGAGAGATGTGCAATTGCACGCAAAAATATCAGTACCTCCATGTCCAAAAATAAGCAGGATGGACGGATGGTTATCTCTTGTAATAACTGGCAGGTAACGCCACTAATGCGTGACTTCAGTGTACGAAAGACCGTAGTCTGTGATGCAATTCTTAGGGTAATAAACCGGGAGTGATCTCCCCTAAACTTTCTCGAATATTCTTATATAACTTGGAATATAGACATGATTTTTAATTACTTAAACTTTTAAAAATAGAATAGAATCTCATAGAAGAAGAATTGCGCACCAAGCGAACGCCAAAACAAAATGTGCATAATAGTGCGCAATATTATTAGTACTTTATAAATTTACATGCGTTTTTTTATTTTTTGAGAAATCGGGAAAAAGCGTAAATTAGTACTTCCGGTCAACGGAAATTTACTCAAAATTTGACAGAAGGTAGAGAATTAGATCTTTTACTTACATGTGAAATTTCATTGACCTATCTGAAATAGTACTCAAGTTATAGGCTTTTGAAAAATTCAAAGTAGAAAAGGTACGACTTCCGGTTATCGGAAATCGCTCAAAAGTTGATACGTATCTACGATTTTGATAAAATACTTTTATATGAAATTTCATCAATCTAGCTGTAACGGTACTCAAGTTATCGTGTTTACACACAGACAGACAGACAGACACACACAGACAGACACACAGACATATGGACAAGATTGCAAAATTATGTTTTTCCGTATCAGTGAGGTATAAAACGTCGAGATTTGTAAAAATCTTGATTATTTTTTTTTTGCACGATTACAAGACTTTCTCTATACTTCGTATATACGAGAAAGTAAAAAATGGTGTTCGTGCTGCTACGCAGTCACCCATCTGCAAGTCTCTCGTGATTTTGACCTAGGTTTAGTGCCGGATTGACGCATAAAGTTAACAAACTCATCCATTGTACTCTAATTTTCTTATATATTGATGTTTCTATGCATTATAGAAAGAACGGTGGCATCAAATTAAAATATAGAGGAATGGGGATGAAATATATGTCTATGTACACACATATACATAGACCAACTGAAATATGCAAGCATATTTGGGAAGTTTTTGGGAAGTTGTTGAGAATACTCCTGGGGAGGTTTCTGCAGAAATTTTTTTCAATTTCGCAGGGGTAGCGCCCAGGCACTGCGCAGAGTTTCTTCCTGGCATCTCTTCCCCCCGCCGAAGAAAGTCTACGCCCCCCCCCCCCCCCGAAATTTCCATACAGTATATTAAAACATAAAAGTCAGATGCGGTTCGACACCTTTCATCCGAGTGCTATAAAACTTTAAGTATTTGATGAGAATACACGCCAGAAGGTTTTTGTTAACAAAATTATTAAAATTTGATTTAGCGGCGCCAGGGAGGGTGCGATTGTCAATACACAATTTGGCGCCCAGAGTTCCAGAGCGGCTATGTATTCACTTGGCATCCGTTAATCGTGCGTCCTGCATAGCGGGTAAGGGGTACTTCTGCAGTTTTCAACGTTAAAACCTCAACAGGCGCAACCGCCGGCGCTCCGTAGATTGCACGACCCGAAGCGCCCCGGGTTCCCATGCCAGTACTATATGACGCCTCTGTGGTAATCGGGGGCTCCCGAGAGCGCACCTCTACGTCCCTGACACTTGGGCGGTCACCGAAGTGTATTCTACGGGTACAGAAGTATGTGTATAAGCTTTAATCACTGCAGACTTAATAATAACGATGTCTATATATAGTCTGTTAAGAATACAACTGGATGTAGCATTGTTTTTTTTTTCTAAAGTTAGCAAATTTGCGTACTTAGACGATTATTTAACTTTAATCAATAAGTAGGCAAAAAAAAAGCATTTTTTTTCTGTACATTTTGCAATTTTTCGCCTTGGTGCCACCCCCCCCCCTAAATGGTGTCACCCGGTGCGATCCGCACCCCCCGCCCCGTTCGCTACGCCTCTGACTGCAGGGCGTCTTCAGAGACTCGACGACACTGAGCAACACTATAGACTTTAATTTAGCTTAGTTTCTTAAAATAAAAACAAAAACTAGACTGAATAATAACAATATTACACTAAGTAAAATTACCAACCATTCCATTCACAGAAGTGATGAAATAGGCTACTAAAAACCCACCTTAACGTCCCCACCAACGTTAGCTTTCAGATGTTTTGACAGACTAATAGGCATACAGTAAGCCAACTACTTTCATATTTGGCATGAAAACATGCAGACCGCAAAATGTAGGCCTAGAACACATATTTATAAAATTATGTTAGCCTGATATTACTGATAACGATTAAGTTTTTATATCTCTAAAACAATACAATTAAATAAAAACAATTGTAGAAATAATTCTAAATGCTAAAAATGACTGAACGACGTTTTTATTATTATCATATGTCTAAGAAAAAATGTTTTATTTTTATTAAAAACTTTTATTCAACTTGCTTCCTCGTTCTTTTGTCTTTGCGCTTAAGGGTCAAAACGAGCGAGAGAAATTTCGACCAATTCTACAGGACTGAGTTGTTTAAAACTTGGCTATGTTGGGTCAAATCCTGACGACAACTCAATGTGACATTAAATTTGACTTAATTAGATGTTTAATTATTGTTAAAGAATTAACTTAAGTTTTCCTCTATTGGCACTATTTTCCACTCTTCTAGGTCTAAATGCAAATTGTGTTTGAGGTATAATTGTTTTTAGTCTTGTAATTCTATTGTAGGGTTTTTTAAAATTTTTGAAAAAAAATTATTTAAAAAGTTTTAATAACAAGCTTTTTATAAAATTAAATGCACTAAAAAAAATATGCTTTTCTTTAAATATATTATGTATGCATTAAATCCCTCAGAAGAACTTGGAACATCGAGAGCACTGCCTACACTTTCCTAAATACGACTGTTTAACAGCAATGTGAAATCTGTTCTCCTTTATAGTTCTGAGACGTGGAGAGTAACAAACTAATAACATAAATCTGTTCTCCTTTATAGTTCTGAGACGTGGAGAGTAACAAACTAATAACAACATACTTCAGACTTTCATTAACGGCTGCCGTAGCTGCACATTGAACATCAGGTGGCCTGAAAAAATTACCAATGCTAAACTGTGAAGAAAAAGTGGGCAAGACCATATTGGCAAAGAAATACAAGGGGAAGGATTGTACACACATTGAGAATCAAGATTAGCATCAAATAATACAAAAAGCTAATGATACAACAAATAACAAAAAACCTCCTTTGTTTTATTGTCATATTTATTTGTGGTGTAATAGTTCATACTTAAACATGTACCAACGTTAACAATTTGCATACCGGTACTTTATTTCCTGCAATTAAAGAAAATGGATGCGACTTTATTTTATTCTGTTGTACGCTCCTTTATTAACAATATGTTCAAAAAAATTTAACATATGAAATCATACGTGGAAGAGATTCTCATTTATTGCTTATCTGAATTGTGAACAGATGATACTACTCTGACCAAAAGAAAAATTCCTTCTTCTAAAAACAAAAGTAGATTTAAAAAAAAAATACAAAATACACAACAGGCACAAGTTGGCCTTTAAAGTAAACGAGCCGGCCCGCGGCATAACATACGCCGCTATTTAGTTGTTTCTAATTTTCAATAATTCATAATTTGTGAATTCGACAGTACCAACGCTGACACTGAAAATATTTCTTTAAAACACTATAAGTAGCTCGTTAAGGACCATAACCCCCCCCCCCCCCTACGTTTAAAATCGTTGGCTCTGCTTGTAAACATTTAGAGTGAACACAGCTCACTAAAACCATGTAGGGGTGGGGAGGTAGGGAGAGCGTTTGCAGCTTGTTTTCTAACGGCTCGAAGAAGAGAATTATATATATAGATAGATAGATAGATAAAAGACAGACTTATTACCCCCATATGATTAAAAAAAAAAAAAAAACTGACAATTTAATTATATTGAATAAATCTACTGAGAAACTGATTATAGCTATAAAAATATGTAATCATCATGGTCATAAATTGGAAGCCTATAACAAAAATGTCAGCCATCAGAGGACGTTACAACAAAAATAAATTCATTTTTTTAACCTTTACTAATCATTTAAAATACAATAATTTGGTTTGTGTAATTTTTTCCAACGAACTCCAATAATTTAAAATTATAACTACAATAAAACTTTCTTAAACAGCAGCTGTACTGCATTAACATAAAATAAGTAGAGGGGTGGTCAAACACTTTCTACATCTAGGATTACACACCTAAGGAGAACTAATCTACAACCTAAACCAAAACAGTAATCTTGCTAGATCTAATACTATTGCTAAAAATTGTTATGGGAATAACAACAAATACAACACTCTACCAAAAAGTCTACTCAAATACTTTTCCTAAAAGGACAATCTAATAAAACATAGTTTACCTAAGTTTTAAAGTGTATGCATCTTAAACAGTGTAAATATGGTCTTTTCTATATCATGTGGATAAAACAGTTTGGTCAATAATCTTAAGTGTTCTTCACAAAAAATAATAAATTAATCATTGGTTTCTCTATTTGTATGTAGATAGAACTATCAAGCAAATAGGATGACTTGTACACAAGTGCAACAAAAATAACAAATGTAAATAGCTTCATGAATGAACAATATACACAGTTATCAATGCAGCTCATAGACTTAGCATAGAGTATTGAAGGTAAAAGAGGCAGGTTGAACATTGACTGATGAAGGTAGTAAACCTTACAACAGACTCAGGATTTTGAAGCAAACTATTTAAACTAGGACAAAAATTAATACCAGCATTGATGTTGAACTCATAAGCACCATATCAGAACATGCATTCCATGAAATAAACGGTTTAGAAATGTGGAGCTTTATGTACATCTGTATACATTTTAGGTGTATAATTTCAGTTACTCAAATACTGACAATTTCCACTTCATTGTGTAGCTTCAGTAGAAAGAAAAGCAAATAACCAAGTTATCATAGACAGATTGTTGCTTCATCAAGTAGACATTTTACACAATATCACCTGCATAGCATAGTTTGATGGGGAATTCAGATTTCCAATCCAACATGAAGTACAGACTTTACAAAACTCAGTTTATCTTGCATATTTATCAATGTATACATACAATTAGTTAATCTCATTTTCTAAAAAATTTTGTTGTTGTTTCTAAACTTTCATGCACATTTCATTTTATCTCTTCAGTACAAGGTTAATCAAATTAATATGTTCAAGCGCAATGGGACATACCATTATCAATAGGGACACATTTGAAATAAAAATTTTCCCAACTGAATTTTTTCCAACCACCCAGGCAATAATGCAGTGATTCATGCCTAACCTGTTAATTAAATGCAAAGCAAATGCAACAGGACAGAAAGTAAAGAGAAAAGCTGGAAGAATGTCATGGACACATGGGTGTAACAAAAGACAATCTAGCCCAAGCAAGTTCACCGTTCTGCTTTACAGTAACATGAAATAAACAATTTCATTATTATGTACACATGGATATGTAGGAGTGATGGCACTAAAGCTTGTAAAAGAATATACAGATATTAATTAGCAATGATTAAGTGGTATGTGATGAATGATTTGAATAAATTAATAAACTGGAAAAAAATGAATGCAACTGGATATTTGCACATCACAGTAAAAATAAAATGATTTTTAGAATCCCACCACAGTGATAAAGTTGAATTAACAAAATGACTAAAAATAAGTTGTTCATGCAACAAAAATGGCAGGTATTCCAGAACATGAATGAACAAGCTGATGCTATGTCATGGTCCCCAACAGTAACAGGGGCTGTGTGAACATTCAATGTTTCGGTGGGAATGTATTGCTTACATCTTTGAAATAAACGCCTGTCAATTCTACTTTGGTCTTCTAAGCCAGTCAAATATCTTTTAAAAAAATATTTGTCCTCTTGCAGACTAAGCTTTTAAACAGAGTAAAGGGGGGGGGGGGAGCTCTATCATATGAAACACATTTATTGCTCCCCAAATATTTTATAGTAGAATTAGTTACTCATTAGCATAAAAAATATAACTACCATTTTAAATTCGTTATATAGACTGTAGCTTACATTCTAAAAACTAGCACTAACGGTTGAAAATAACACAGTGATAAGAATACAGCGATGGGAATTTATGATATGTATTATTTCATGCTGGTTGGATGTGGAAATCAATTGAAGAGTTCCAATCTGAAGATAAAAAAAGTTGTTGTACACAGCACTAAGTCTGTGTCAGCAATACAAACCATGGAGATATGAGACAGATTACTAACCAAAGTTTTGTACTGGCCAGTAGTGAACACAAGTCTGGAAAATATTTGACCAGTGAAACTTTTGACTGTACACACATTGATACCCAGTTGTACACTTAAAATTTGATTTCAGAAACTCTTAAAATGTGACATTAATCCTTTGTAAAATAGTATTTCCATTTCATTATATTAATTTTTTTTTCACAAAGCTGTTAATGTACAAAGTTTTTAATGGAGGAAGCATACAATATAAACAATTAGTTACATAAATATACAAGGCAGTAAAGATAATTATTGAACATAGTTAAATAACTATTTACTTGAAATTTTAATAAATTTTATAAATTCAGAATTTTTTAGTTTTACATTTGAAAAATAATTTTACTGACAATAAAGGATAAAAAAAGATTTGACAAAACATACCCTGTATCTTCATGTCATAAACAATATTGCACTTCATGAAGAGCCTAAAGCAAATGTATACATTACAGAAGGGGGAAAGGTCAACAGCAATGTAAACCAGACAACTATTCCACAAGCACACAGCAGCCTTTCACTCAGCTACCAGTCACCAATAGTTTGCATGAAAACCTTTCACTCAGATAACAAGAGACCAGCAATGTCGTCACAGGCAACGGTCCCACAAGTTAATGACAGCCTTTTGCTCAGTTAACCAGAGATTAGTATCACAAATAGGCAGCTGCAGCTTCTGCATATTCTGTTCCCATGATGCCCCTGCATAGTAGCGTAAATTCTTTGACAACGTCTCTTGTTTTACGTTTATTCATCCTGTCTCTGTCCATGGAGAGATGACACAAATTAAAGTTTGGCTGGTCAAATAAACTATTTTTTTCTAATTGTGTTTAAAAATTACAGATAAGTACTTGAAACATTCTATTACAAAAAAAATGGGTAAGTACCGTAACAGGTTCTTAATGAAGTTTTCCTTGTCTTGTCTCGAAGCTCTGGGTGAAGGATAACCCTCATTCTCTAAAATAGTTTTCAGCCACATGGCAAGCTGGCTGACAAAATGTTTGTTCAGAGCCATGATGACGTCTGCTATGTAATCAATTATTCCTCTTTGAGATTCTCCTCCTATAGCCTGGTGAAAGAAACTTTCCTTGGTGAACAATGCCTTTATACAAATAACCAGCATTGCAGGAAGTAATAAATTATTATTTAAAAAAAAAAACAACCCATTAACAGTTTTCATACTTTGTTACATAAATTTCTAAACAAACGTAATCGGTACAAAAAAATAAAAAAAACAAAGTACCATTATAGATCTGATCATGTCAAGAAACATGAACTCTACTTTATCTACCTAATGGATCGCTAGGCCTAAAGAGGAATATTAACTTTTTACTTTTAAAGGTCTGATCAGGAAGGTATGTGACCTCAGCTTACAGTAGCATTGTGTTGAGCATTTTTGCTTTCCCAAGGGTCGAATAAGGTGCCCATAAGAGGTGGGTGAACTCAGGGAACAGAACTTGATACTTTTGTTATCAAATCTTTCACAGGTGAGTAAAACTTTTAAATTTAAAACCATAAAAACGTACTCTCATAATTCTGTCAATTAAAATATGTCCATGTGTTGTGATGACATTCTTGATGACTTCACTTTCTGCACCTCCATTTATAAATTCAATCTGTTTTAATGACAAAAAAGACAAATTAGTCTAATTCTAATGGGGAAAAAAGCATTTCATTTTTTAAAAAAAATAATAAACAATAACAAAAATAAACAATAACAAAAGATGTTTTGTTTAAAACTTACAATAAAGTTGCATGATGCTTTTACTGTTGCATGTTCTGGAAGGGCCATACTTAAAACAGCTGAGGATTGAATAACAAAACATGCATTGTATGGTTTCATAAAAAAAAAATGTATCACTAGTTTATGCGGTTTCATTTTCCCCAATGATTTCAAAGAAATAAAAAGTAGACATGCTCACACACCTGCATGGAATATTGTTGCTAAATCACAGGTGCTGTCTAGTATTATCTTCTTCAGTTTTTTCATTACCTGAACAAACAAGCAATAAAATCACTGTTACATACAACAATCCTCACACTTCAACAAAACTTAAATATAAACTGACGGCCCAATTTAACACAATACAGGGTAGAAAGCTAATGAGCATTAAAACAAATAGAATGTTTGACAAACCTGTGCTAGGAAACACATGAAGCCCTCTATAACATCAGTGAAATTTCTCATACCTGAAATGGCAATAACTTATTGTAGGTCTACATAAGATAAAAGTTAATCATTTTATATAAGTCAGATTCTGAAACTACAGGTCACACAATAAAGTTCTAATATAAATAAAATAACTCACCAGTATTAAACATTTGTAAAGATCTGGAACACACATTTTCTACAATTACTTTAGAAAATGGTATGAAATTTTCTTGGAGACCAAATATCAGCAGCATCTAGAATAAAAAGAATATACAGAAAGATATAACTCCTCTAAAATACTTTTGCATGAAGGCTATTGAAATATTTATATACTATTTATTTAACACACTGATTTGGGTTTTGCCGTTACCACATTTCTAACACAAGTGCTATGCAGAAATAGCTATGTTTTGAAAAAACAGTAAGAAATGTCTATTTTTACAAATGACAGTTGTATTAAAAGGCAATAATAAACTTGCCATCCATACCTGTTTGCATAGATCAATGATTGCAGTACTTGGACATCTCTGGTATAAAGTTATGACTAGTTGGGTGAGTTCACCAGACAGTGGAGCAAAATCATTATCCAGTTTCTGTAGTGCTTTTTTATACAGATCACATACAGCCTAAACCAGGAACATTTAAACAGACAATAAATTCATTATTCATTAACATACATTTAGTATTTTCAATGTTTCCACTATGGCAAAATGCACAAATTGAGGAATACATAAGATAAAGATAGAGCATTATGAAATGGAAATAATCAAAGTTAACTATGATTTATTTCTTCAACTCACCTCAATAATACCAGTATCAAATATCCAGGAGTTTGAAATTTTTTGAATGGACGGACTGATCTTTTCAAGTATCACAAAAATCTAAAAAAGATGTTAAAAAAAGTAAAATATCACTAAATTCTAATCAAGGTGTTCAGAAAACAATGTACTTTAGTTATATGATATGGTGGCCATCTGCACATTGCACCACTCATCTCTACACTGTGACCTGTCCCTTCACATCAATATGCAGCTCTCTCTCTCCACCTTTAATCCCCCACATTACACTTTCACCCACACAGAATTCTTTTTGTGAATAAGTTAAAACTTTATAAAATATTTTTCAGACACTTGAATTAGATAGATAGTACATTGTGATCAAGGCTTGATCTCACACAGCCTAAATAAAAAAAAAATCAAACTGAGGAGTGATTGATCTGTATAACCAGGCAAGGCTTACAGGTTTAGGTTCAGAAGGATCTGTTGCTTGTTGCTGCTGTTTGGTGAGTTGCTGGTGCTGCTGCTCCTCATCTCCTCCATCTAGTTCTGTATCCAATGACCCAAACAACCAGGCAAATATATTCACTGTAGTGTAAACATCTGCTCTGTTTGATGGACAAGGCTGAAAACATAACTTACTATTATTTATTCGTAGATGTACCACAATAACACTTAAAATAGAAAAAAAACAACAATAAGCTGGATAAAAAATGATTGGGAACAATATTCTAATCACAGATTTGTAAATATTATAATGTTTTTGAAAGAAGGATGATAAAAAAATATATTAAATTTTATCATTTAGAGATGCTACAGTTGATACACTAAAATAAGTGATAACATTTTTAAAAAATATTAAAAAAAAAAAACCCAGACAAGACTTAACAAGCTAGATCAAGCCAAGTTTGTTATTAATAATTAAGTAGTGCTTTAAATTAAACAGAACAAAGTTAATAAAACATTTCAAGAAACAGACCTGAAGTTCTGAAAGGGCAACAAGATGTTCTATATGTGGAGTGATCATTTTGTCAAGGTACTGCATGATTTCATTTGATGACATTACTGACAGGATGTGACCCACACTAGACATAAGTCGCAGAAGATCTCTAGACTATAGAATAAATTAGATGCTTAATTTAGAACTTTTTTTTTTTGCAAGCTTGCACATTCAACTTCATTTTATTATTATTGTTGTTAATTATACTTATTTCATTTAAGTTAACAAACATTAGCTTAACCTAGAGTATTATTAAAAAAAAATACCTTTAGTGTATTTGCTTCAAAACAGCTCTAAGAATAAAAACAATATAAATATTATTAGAATAAATTTCCTTTTTTTAAAAAATGGGAAAAAAAAAAAATTTGTTTGGTTTTGTTTTAAAAAATAAAATATAACACTAAAATGAGTTTCTATTGACCAACCTGGCAAGCCATTAAAATCTGATGCGCAAAAGGTTGTATGTTAGAAATATTTTCCCTTGTGATATCCTTAAGTGCTATTGTAGCAGCTGTCCCCACTTCTGGATTGCTGATGCCCTGAAGAACCAGTGGCAATATACAGCTCAGTGTTTCTGGGTGCCATTGCATCCATTCAGCAAAAGAACCTAAGCAAAAACAACTTAGATATTATACCTCATCCGTTTGGGCATGGCTTTGTATACTTGAAGTAATTATCTTTAACATATAAAATAAGGAAAAAAAATTGATAAGGAAATGAATACATGTAAACACTTAAAAACAATTGAGTTGAATGATAAAGTAATTAATGAAGTGACTTACCAATCATATTTAGAGCTGTTGATATTTGTTGTGAATTAGCAAATGGAATTTCCCGAAGTTGACTAAAAAGTTTAGGAATATAAAGCTTTTCATCTGACTGAACATTTTCTGATATGGATGAAAACACAAACAGGATCGCCTCTACATTCTGGGAATTAAAGCATTGTAAGATATTACTGAAAGACAACTACAGTTTACTTAACTAAGGATATATTATCTTTTTAAAAAAAATCTATTACAATTACACACAGTTTTAAAGAAAATCTGTAATTTACCTGCCAGTCCTGAGTGCCTTCTTTATATTTTTCTACTAAGGTAACCAGACAGTTGACAAGTTGAGCAAGCAACTCAACACCCAGAATGCTGTAGGAGTACATCTACAGAACACAGAAACATCTCATATTCAATCACTTAATAATGCAAATTAATTTTCTAAACATTCAATAAATCATACAAAATTGTAATAACACACCTAGTTTATTATTAATATTACAATTATAATTTTAATATTTTGAATTTGAAGAAAAATAAAAAAAACTGAGCATTTCTTAACTTACCAAAGTGTCTCCTATATCTTGTCTATAACATCTGAATTGTTCCTTTTCCTCTACATAGATGAAAAAATATTTCTGATATAAGAGGAAGATATTTATAAAATATATTTATAGAGCTTATCCTACCGAAGAGCCATGGGTGTTTTTTTCAAAGAAGTTGTGCTAATATAACTAGGACTATAGGTGGCTGCATAATACAGTAAATTATAATTTATATAAATAAATATGAAATAATATCAGAAGACCTCTTTGTTTACACACAAGGCAACAATGACAAAATAGTCATTTTTAAAATTCATGGATTATGGTTTTAAAGTAAGATTTATTTCTTTACCAAGGTCCTGTGGTTACCAGCTTTATAAAAGTAGACAATGAGTGTTTGGTTAATAAAGAATTTTTACTTACCCAAACTCCACGATACATAATCAGCATCTGGAGGGTGCCTTGCTTTCACAAGTAGTACATCAATTAAAGAGAAAAATATTGGTTTAAATACTTCCATTAAAGGGGTGTAGTCTTCTTCAGAAATCATGCTTAATTCATCCTGAAATAAAGAAAAAATGAAATTTAAAATATTATTACAACTGATCATTGAAGAATAAACTGATAAACTTAAGATTTATACCTGCAACAAATACCAAAATGTAAAAGTTTGATCACTGCAGCTTTCATCCACTGGGAAATGACCTGGGAGTCCTGAACAAGCCTGAAAAAAAAACATTTTAATTTTTTCAATCACACAATTTCGAATAAAAATTGTTTTACTAAAAGAAAAAAAGAGAGCACAAATTATAATTCATAATGGAGATGTGCAAGTTAATTTACTAGAGACAAGAATTAGCCACCTACCAAAATCATCTGTAGCAGGGATGTTGTGTTCTGTTTCACCTCCTCTGGTCCTAGCACTGATTCCACTATAAGTTTAGTATGGTTTTCCGACAGAGAAACAATCACCCTGCAGATTCCTTCACAAGTTTCCTATACCAAAGTAATGGATTTGATGAAGAAACTTGGATGTGTGTGGAAAATAAAGACTTCACAATAGCTATGTTTGAGAGAAGGCTAAGGTATAAAAAAATGCATTAATGCTAAATACCTTATCTTCATCATGTACTGCATTTGAAAGTAATTCATGAAGAGCTAGTACTTCTGATAAAATCCTCTGAATTGTCACTGGATATCTGTAAAACATAATGATTAATTAATTTAGCAACATTCCAAAATATTCTATAAAAAAAAAAATTGAACAAATAAACGTAACTATGGACAGAAAATTTTGAATAAATAATACAAACTTGTAAGATTCTGGATGTGCGAATACACTAATCAATGTATCACAGGCAATATCAAATAAATGGGGATTGCGCATTGAACGGAAAACCTGGAAAAAAGAAACAAGTTATATACAATATTAGATCAGAGCAGGTATAAGGAGAAAAGCCTAAATTTAAACAATATCTTGTATTTTTACCTGATGAATAATGGGCTCAGCTCTGTCAATAGCAAGACCAAAGTCAACCCAGCGTGAAAATGCCTTTAGAGCACATTGATAAACTTCTAATGGGCTTTCATCTGTGAGCAGTGCTTGAAGTAATGGAATCACTAAAACAAAATGACATCAATAATAAAGATTTAGGAGCAAATCTAGATGTGAAGTATGTAGTAATTTAATACAACATAATCAAAATTTTAAAATTGTGTGTGGTCTTCTGTGAAAAAAGAATATATTAAATTATTTTTAAAAATGAAGGCCTTAATGATACTGCAAACATCAATTTAATTTTTGTGTAAATGGAATAATTAAAAAACTTTTATTTTATTTATAAAATACATGCTTTAAATTCAATTTTTACAAACTTTCTAAAAGAGGTAAAAAAAAAAAATGCCAAGAAGACCCGTGCAAATGTGTTTTATATATCAAGAAGTCTCAAGAACCCATTATTTCTAGTAACTATTGTGCTTCAACAACTAAAATAAAAGTACGACATCAAAAAATAATTCTTGAGTCTACTAGTGTACAAAAGGCTAAACCAGCTTAGTGAAACATGACTCCTGAAAGGGGATGTAGAATAGTACTGTTAACAAAAAAAAAAATCTTTTTGTAGCAATAGGCAGTTTAGTAGTAACACTTTCCCAGAGTTAGTTCTACAACGCTATGTCACACACTACAAAGTGAATTGTCTTTGTCTAAACTGACCTACTAAATAAGGTACAAGAGAAACAAATACAAAAAAGTTGACAACTATACCACAAGAAATCCATTTTTTTCCAACTATCTGAAATACACCCAATGTGAAACTTTCAAATAGTCGTTGTTTGTAGAAATGTTAAGTTTGTTTTATAATATGAACTACACTGCTGTCGCACATAACATTTGCACTAATTTTAATTTATAAATAGCCCATTTCATATAGTCTGTCAATTTTTCTAAAAAAAAAAAGGGGGAAATAAGAATACTGTAAACGGAACTAATGGTTTAACATGTAACACAATATATAAGCCATATTGGGTCTGGTTTTAATTGCAATGTAGATTTTAGTATTGATTTACCAAACTGTTTTAACCAAGGCTATTGTGTCACGTAAAAGCCCAAAAAGTCAAATCTGGACAGTTGTAAAATAATTATTTTTTTTACACAGGGTCAGCAGTGAGACATCAGATTAAAAATTACCATGATCGAGCCCCTTGGTTAGTTCTTGCCTCAAAATTATCCTCCTTTGTTGAGAAAGATTGGTGCTGAAAAACTAAAAGGAGAAAAAAGGGGATGGGGAGAAAGCAATACAATAAAAAAACTATAGCTCACAATTATGAACACTTGACTATTCTTGTTTTTGGTAAAAAAAATAATACAATTCAGTCAAGAATAAGCTGCAGAAAGAACGCAGCATAGAGTTTTAAAATTAAAATTCTCAACAGAAACAAAAAAAAAGTGTTCATCAATGCAGCTAATTTTTCAAGCTTACATTCTAGTTATTAGCCTATTCTAAATATTGAATGACAGTGAAATCTAGAATAGCTAAATATCTATAAATTAATAGCGCAAATGTCCCATGTCCACATTACTAATAGTAGTATTAAAGTCAAACCAACTTAGTTAAGTGTGTTACACTTTTTGCAGTATAAAAAAACTATGCTCAAGTTAAAGGGGTAAATACAAATACAGGCATATATGTACATTTATAAATATGTATATCACAAACATTGTACACTAGCAGTTTGAACCAAGATAAAGTGCTGAGTCTGTTAAAAATGCTCCTTAAAATAGTAGCAACTGGTTGTTAAAATAAAACCAAGCCCTTATGTGAAAAATGACAAACTAAAATAAAATCTGTTATATGAATATGATGTTGAAAACAAAAAGATTAGATACATATTAAATAAATGCAGCACACTAAAGAAACAAAATGTATCCCTATCTAAAAAAGGTGGACAGAGATAATGAGCATGCAGAATAATACCACTGCTGACACATCAAAGCTCTAACATGTGCCACCTCCTCTATACTCCAGGGAAAAACAACACATGTTGCAGAAATTTTTTACTACTAAAATAAAACCCAACTCCACTGTAACTCTTTAGAATCTATTTCCATTTAAAAAAATATTTTTCAAGTATATATCAAATAGCATGCCACCAGTTTTAAAAATAAAAGTGAACAGTTTGTTAATAGAAATTATTAAGAAAACAATATGTGATGCCCGTATTTGAGGCAAGTAAAACTTGAGCTTACCTCCTCAGGGAGAACAGTGAGTACTTCAAGTAAAATCTGACACCTGGTTACAGTCTGAAAATAAGTTTTTATCTGTTACTCTCTCTAGATGCAACAAGAAGTAATGAATGAATACTAGCATTATACTGTAAAATCCATTTTTAAAAACCTTAATAATACAAAGAACATTCAGGCTAATAACTGAGGACAAAATAATTTCATTAAACTTGTCCTTGAAGATATAACAGTGATGATGGGTAAATTGATAATTTAAATAAGACTAGAACACCTAGTTATCTGTTAGATTGAATGTTAAGGAAATATTTAATTAAGATATCATTGAAATCATTTGAATCGAATGCTGTCAGTTACTTGTAAATAAAAACTCAAACCCCTGTAAATAATAGAAATAAACTAGCATATACAAACATGAATTTTTAAAATGAGATGCCTTTTTATTTTAGTCAATTTTTGCAAGAAATAAAGTGAAATGATAAAAAATAAATTAGACTCAACAATACTAGAGCTACTTTAAAATCCATAGCTTAAGAGAAAAAAACAATTAAAATTATTTTGCAAATAACAATATTCTAAAAAAATGTTCTAAAAAGATAACACCAGAGATGTAATTGACTAAAATATGGAAATGGCAGAAACAGGCTGCTTAGTCATAGTTATGACAACTAGTCAATGGTACTTTTAATTTTTTTCCCGGTGTGGAAATTACAAATTTCAATGAAACAAAAGTTTAAAAACTTTTTTTTTTTAGAGAATTACACATAAAAAACTTACTGGTAAGGAAGCTAAGCCCTCTTGTTGGAATGTGGAGATAAGATTTTGTATAGCATCAGACCATTGCTCTGGCAGGAGTTGAAGAACTAATGCTGATAGCTGCCAGAGAAAAACATTCAATGAACTACTGAATAAATTCAGACCCTTAAAGTAAGAAGTTACAAAATGTTTCAACTAATTAACAAGATTTTTAACTAAATATTTGTAAGCAAACTAAGGTAAAACTTTAAAACTTACCCCAACACATAATCTAGTTAGAATTATTTTAGGTCCTAAAGCAAACTGTACTATAGTCTCAAGTAATTTGGACTTTAAAGATTCATACTGTTCTGATGGTACTTCATGCCTGCAAAGACACATTAAACAATTGTTATCCTCCTTCAAAAGTATGAACAAAAAAATGTGGACTAACATCACTTCCATTCTTGTCTCAATACTAGTAATTGTATGTATGCATAACAAAATATACATGATCATTAACTGTATTATTATTATTGTGATTATAGTATTATTGTGTTTGACTACTGGCACCATCTACATTACTATACAGATTAATGACATGAGATGACAATATATTTATAAAAAGGTTTAAAGAAAACTGCAATTCCCCAAAAGGACTAAGAAATTATTTTTTTAAAAATGTCTTACCAAAATCTAACAATTTTTACATGCAGGCAGCTTGCACCATAATACTGTACTTCTATGCCCTGAAAATTAAAAGTAAACAATGAGGACAAAAAGAAAGAATGCTGAAGTATGTGTTTGCAAATGACTTTTCAGAACACACCTCTAAATGTTTCTTTTTTTTATCTTTTTTAATCTATAGATTTTGTTCTATTCTATTCAATAAATGAGCAAAATAAACAAAAAAAAAGCTCTTTTAAAAATGTAGGATTTATTAAAAGTAAGACAATTTTTGCTTTCAATTAATGAAAAAAATAATATATGAGGTTTAAATAAATATTCATTTCTATGTAAGCAAATGTAATACAAATAGAAATAATCTAGCAAATAATCACAGGAAGTATTTTTTCATTCCATTGACTTAATGTAAAAGGAGTTAAAATAGTGCTTTTAAATAGAATTAATACAATTTCTGACCTTGTTAGGTGCCATTAGCTCCCAACAGAAGGACCATGCTGACTGAGATATCTGGGCACCAGTTAACCAGTAGTGGACTTCACTTTGAAGACTGGGATTCAAATAAAACTGTTTCACCGCCTAAAAATATAAAAATATTTTTGAAATTCCAATATCAAATTAATCATTCAAAGAATAAGTTTAAACACTAATAAGAAATTGGGTAAAGAGTAAAAATATGTGATGATAGTATTAAATGTCCTAGAGCAGGAGAGGAAGAAAACACTAACCTGTTCTACATTAGCAGCAGAATAATCTGGTATAGCTGTACCTACATTGCAATCATGCAATGAGTAATGCATTGTTGCAAACTGTGGAAAAGCTCCTTTCTTTAGTTTGCTAGTCTTCTGTAAGACAACTTAAATCTTGAGCCTACGGATAGCAATAAAAAAACAATGTGAATATTAAACAAGAAGTTGGCAACTGTTAATGACTAAATGTTTTATTAAAATAGTACATTTTAAAATTATTTTAATGCATGGTTATTCTCAATATGACCAAACATGTTGCAACATTTTTTTAAAAGTAGCCAGATACAATTACTAAACAGTTGGTTAATTCCTGTGAAATTAGTATTAGAAAACAAGCCAAGTAGATTTTTTCCACACGTATTAACTATGTAAAGCATAAAAGTAGTAACAAATTACAAATATTAGGCCTAATATACAGGCATAGACTTCAGGAGAGAAATTTTAAAATTACGCTGAGTAGTATCTAAATTCTAGATATTACTGGGGAAGATAAAAATTAGGCCTATCAATTCAACTGAAACTACATTGAATAAGTAGTAGTTAGACTTTGAAGTAGAAGCAGAGGCGTAGCGAGGGGGGGCGAGGGGTGCGGACCGCATCGGGTGACACCATTTAGGGGGGGTGACACCAAGGCAAAAAATAGCAAAATATATAGAGAAAAACTTGAGGGGGGGGGTGCAAATCAAAAGTTTGAGAGGGGGGTGTGCAAATCGAAAATTTGTCCCCGGGAAGGGTCGCTACGCCTTGGGGGGGGGGGTGACGTGACACCATTAAGTGCCGCACCGGGTGACACCCAACCTCGCTACGCCACTGAGTAGAAGTTGCACTCTCTCTCCAGTCTCTCTATCTCTATTTCAAATTTCTAGTATAATAATTTATATCTAGAATTTTGATTATTAACAATTAACAAATTTAAAAAATTAAACAATCACTCAGAAAAAATACAAAGGTTCAGTATACTGAGTATACTTAAGTATTTAAAACCCGGCTACACACTGACTACTACTAGATTCTAGATCTACATACAGTACTACTACACACACAAGTCACCGAGAACTCTAGGCTCTAGTGACCACACTCACACACAGTGATCAGTGACAGGCTGTTTAACACAGGTCAACCACCTAGAGAAGAGATTGTGGTAGATTGTCCTAGATTCTAGATCATTAAGAAGTTTGAAATTAGAATAGAAGCATGACCCAGATTTAGAAATCTAGCACTAAATCAAAAACCTGTAAGATTAGCTGATTATCTGATTCTACTCCAGAGTCAGAACTCACTGACTGAAGTTCAGTGAAGTTGTGAGTTACCCCTTCTTGTCAGATTTAGAACAAACAACGTATTCAGATTTTTGCACAAAAGCACATAGAGATCTATATTCTAGTAGTTTGATAAGTTTACCGTCTTAAATAAATACAACTTGGACTAGATATAGATCTATACGAGATCTAACAAGAACTCAAGGTCCAACACATTATCATTAACAAGTCACTTTGACGCCATCTTGAAAATTCCGAAATCTTATGCGGAATAAGAGTCGAGAAAAACTAAAGAGTGCGACATCACTTTTCATTTTTTATTGATCTTAAAAGTAACCGTTCATTTTAATATTTTAAAGGCAATTATAATCTAGTAAAATTTTTAAAAAGTAAGGTTAAGAGAATATTTTAGAGGCGATTTTTATGTGTGTATGTTTCTAATCTAGGCTACACTGTAATGTTTTAGATTTTAGACAGATCATGTTTTCCAAATTCACATGGGCTTAGATCTAGATCTATAAGATTTTAAAGACAAAGTTATCTCCCGTGTATTTATGTATCAAATCTTGAGTGGTCGAAAATGATATCAGTTCAGATAGGCAAATTTAGCCTTCTTAACAATATTCTGTGGCCTCATGTCTAGTTTATCGGTTTTATTTAGATATTTAGATATTATGAAATAATGAGCACTATGAAAATATTTTACTGTTGTTTTTTTTGCAACATTTTTGAATAAAAGTTAGACTAGACAGGGTAGACCGGGATCGATCGATTCGCTTCGACAGACAATAAAATGTTGTTATTTACTTATACTAGGCCTACATAATAGCTAGGCTAAATAGTTGATAGTATGTTTAGTGTGGCACGCTTGAAAAACTCGATAAGTGTTAGTAAAATATTTTAAATTTCAGGAGGGGGGGGTGTAACTAGGGGAGGGCGCCAATCCGGGGGAAGGGGGCGGCTGCCAAAGGGGGTAGAAACATTGCAATTTTATTTCTGCATTATAGTCAAAGTTATGGATATAGACCGCCTATTGGCTATTAGGACTTCTTCAACTTTTTTTTTTAAAACACCAAGTGTGTAATATCCAAATAAAACATTGTTACTGGATAGCAGAGTTTCTTCAAGGCATCTCTTCGGGGGGGGGGGGGGCGAAGCCCCCCCCCCCCCCCCCCCCCCCCCCCCGAAATTTTTTTTACCGCCCCCCCCCCCGAACGAAATGAAATTTATATAATTTATATAGAAAATATATACTTTTAACAGTGTCCGCGCCCCCCCCCCTCCGAAGAAAGTCTACCGCCCCCCCCCCCCCCCCCCGAAAATTTCAAGTGCCCCCCCGGAGAAAAAAGCCTGGAAGAAACACTGCTGGATAGTGACTGGTAACAAGAGCTCCCCACCTTTAAGAATGGTGGTGGCGCTTTTTCGATGACAACACCGGAGGACATAGCTACTACTAAAAAATATAGAAATATAGGCCTAAATCCATTTCACTCACAAGATCCACCAATTACTGTTCATTTTTACACTAGGAGCAGACAATTGTATATGTTATAAAATTACAAATAGGCCTCTGCAAGAATGTTTTACCTATCAATAGGCAACATTATTTCCTCGTTTTGTGTGTGTGTGTGTTGGAGGGGGTGTTAGCCTTTCATTGCCACTCTCAAGATCCGTCTCTGCATTTATTGAATTCAGCTGAAAGCCGCCTACTTTCAGAATGTGTACGCCCCATACCGTGAAAAGATAAGATAGCCATTTTAAGTCATCGAGCTCCATTGAACATGTATGGGCGGGTGGTCGTGGGACAGACAACTCTAGACAACGACACAACTGATTGAGTGGCTGAACGCTTCCGCCAAACCTATAGGCCGCCATTGAGCTCTTCAGTAGATATTGGTGTTTCTGTTTTATCGTGTTGAAATTGTTAATAACACGAGCTGAATAATCGTCAAAAACTTTGATGAATTATTTACATTTCACATAAACCAGAGTTTATATAATGTCGACCGGGGCTTGCTAACAAACTCCTCATTTGCAATAGTAAATCAACATAGTCATATTACCACTATATTTAGCGATATGCACGTGACTATTTTACGAACACCATTCAAAGCCTCCACCCCTCCCCCCAATACACTATGGCTGAAATTGAATTGCTTACAGTTACAGTGTACTGCCTCGTCACTACGTCTATCAACCAGAGAAAATGCGAATGCCTTATTGCGCAGCCGTGCGAATCCCCCAGTTTATGTTATGCCTATATGAACATATCAATTAAGCTGTCGTCAGGTGATCGAAGATTACGTCTGCAGGTCAACAGGCCTTTTGAAAGATAAGAAAACGGGTGCCTGTGTTTAAGAAGCAAATGAAAAAAAAAACTTTGATCCTGGTTTCATACAGTAAATATTCAATACATGCATTGTGTTGTTCATAATGAAACGGCAATTACAGTTGTATAAAGGCAGGACTTTACCCACGTAATCCCCCCCCCCCCCCCCCCTTCTCCCACCCGGTACCTCCGCCCCCAGATGAATAGCCCATGTCATTTTCCTCCACTTTGTGTTGCCTCGCCTTATCATCTTTGTTAGATTTCCGTGAGCCAAAACAAAGCGACAAGTTACCTACTTTACTAATGGACTTATAGCCTACAAACTGGCCGTATCAACAAATCATGGGGAGAATGTTATCCGGGACCTACGTTTGTGTTATAGGGCCTATTGTATACAGGGCTCCTGTTACGTTTACAAGTTATGCTTGACAACATTAGGGACCTTTATTTAGAGATGTATCTCCAGATCCCAGTGGTGTTGCAGAAGTTCAACATCCAGTCCATATCTCACTTAAAATATAATTCAAACATGCTCTTAACATCATAACTTCAGCTACCGTTTAATATTGCTGTTGTTTCACTATACTATTCTAGTACATGTTTTACATGAAGGCTAATGTGGAAAAATATTATTTTAGTTATCTAAAAGGTTGATGGAAAACACACAACAATATCGCCGTAAATCAACTTTTACAATCTACTTTTACGGCTTACATTTCCTACACATCTTGTCTAAATACCACATGATTTGTTAATTTAATTTACATGTAAGAAGAAAGTAAAACGAATAATTTTAAATTTTATCACAGCCTTTTAAAAATGAATTCACCATAAAGGACTGAGTTATCCAAGTACAGGTGACCCAATAAATAGCGGGGGCATCTATAACTGACGTCACACCTTTTTTTTTTACTTTTAACCCCCCCCCCCCCCCTCCTCCACCTCTAAAAATCACACCTAGTCACACAAAGCCAGACCCCACCCTAAAAACGTCACACCTCAAACTTTCAGTTTTTTTTAAAAAATATCGATTTCTTTCTAACACATTTACTGTGCTGGGTCATCATAGGGTATATAACACATTAATCCATTTCCATTACAATTTACAAAAAAAAAAACAGTTTACTAAAACGCGAAATAACGGCTAAAATTCAGTTTTTAACATTACTTTTTTAACATCCGAAAGTGTGACGTCACACTATAGAAACCTATCTCCCCATCATCACCCATTTTGACGTCATTTGTGGACGATCCTAACGCAACATAAACTTTTAAAGGTCAATGTAAATGTCATTCGCTCGTCCAACTGTTACGTCTTACACCAAACTTAGACTACCACCAGCTTCAATACGAATGTTGTAAGGACAGAAACACAGCGCGCGGCAACAAACTGCTACAATCTAGTTGCTTGTTAGCGAAGGTCTTATGAGGTTTTCTTTTATCGGCCGCGTTATCAGCCCAACAAGGGAAACACGTCAACAGACTTTTGGGGCTGCCAAATGATTCGCGTCACAATTGACGCGAGTTATAGAACTTGGTTTATTTTTATACGCGCTTTTTTTCCTTTCGCGTAGGATAGGTTAGATTAGATTTTTACATACATTAGTAGAATTTAAAACTAATTACTAGATCTATCGTTTGCATTGTTTGATTGTGTTTGGGGCTCATGTGAAGCACAGCGTGTATCCGGGTTGGGAAAAAAAATTGTGATTTGTAGTGGGTCCTTGAATACGTCAAAAAAAAAAAAAAATCAATACTAACGGTTATTGATTTTTTGATAACTACCTTCTGTTTTGTTATTTACCTTCGGTACAGTAGTAAAAAAGGTCACATTTCATTATTTGAAGAGAAAAGTCGAGCGCACTTTCAATAAGCTTCATGTGTAGGTAGAATGGTGTGTGTGTGTGCTACCCGGAGTACCAAGTAATTGGATTTGGATTTAGGCTGTAGGTTTAAAGTGTACCCCGTGACTAGGGGGGTGTTGGGGAGTTGGTGCCTTACTTACACAGAGTGCTGAACCAACACACGGAGACTAGGAAATGTTTCTTTGTGAAGGAACACGTCTATGACGGTAAGAGTATGTCTTTATGTGTTGTTACAATTTCGCAACTTGTTTTTTTTTTGTTTACTTAGCGTACTTAGTAACTACTATGTAACAACAACAAAAAATAGCGCGTTGTTTCAATGTGAATGGTGAAAAAAAAGGAAAATTTTCATTCATCAGCAGACGATCAAAATCATGTTTATAAAAATTCGAATAAAACTATTTAAAACCACAACAACACGTTCTTAAAATAGTCGAGTCTAAAGGTAAATATGATTACACGCATTATAAAACAACTGTAAATAATTTATTATAATGAATGTGCCGTTGATAAACAGAACGGGTTTATTTTGTATATGTCATTTATAATAGTTTTTTGTTCTTATTTCACACTAGACTAAATTTCAGTACCATTATATTTGATAGCAGGCTTATACCCTGCCTTGAACTTTGTAAACCGATATGTTACCTCTATGAAAGCTTACAGTTAGCATATAAACCATATAATTAGCATTTGTTTGACAGCGTACCAGTAGACTATATTGTCAGCAGTGACTGTTTCTATTTCTATTGTTAAAAATTCTTTGTCATTCCAAAATCGTTTGCCCAAAGTTTGCTTTAAACTTGAGGCCGTTCTTCATATTGGTGTCCGATATAGCCTGTTTGATCAAATGTTCGTTTGCCTGTTACACTGTCGCTTACCACTGGTCTGTAGCGAACACTATTAAAACATGGCTACCAGAGGCGTATCCAGGTTTTCGTTGTAGGGGGAGCGAAAAATAGCAAAACAGGCGCCGAATTTTTAACACGTTCTATATACGTGTATTATATATATATATATATATATATATATATATATATATATATATATATATATATATATAT